GCTGATAGGTGTGGAACTACAATTGTCCAGTGCGTACCACCCAGAAACGGATGGCACCACAGAACGTGCTCACCAGACCCTTGTCAGGGCACACCCACCTGACCCGGGTCCACCCGGACCCACCCGGCCACACCACACCCGCTCCCCACTGCCCAACCCTCTCCCTCCTCCTTCCTCTGTCTCTCCTCCCCTTTCCTTTCTCTCTTTCTTCCCCTTTCTTTATCTCATTCCTCTCATCTTCCTTTTCTTGTTTATTTCCTTCTATCTACACGGACCACCTTCCCCGCACCAACGCACTATTGACCCGTCCGGCCCACACACCCCAGACGGCTCCCCACTGTGCCCAGCACGTGCACATGCAGCGGACGCTCTCAGGATCCCCCGCAGGGATACCCGGATGCCTGCGGCTGTCTCCAAGGGTGACATGGCGCTCATCATGTGACTCAAGCTGCATGTACATAAATGTACCTGAAGTCGGAACCGAAGAAGTAACCTTCTTCTCACATTCTCCACTTCAGGTAAGTAGTATAGTTTTCCCTTTTAATAACAATAACACATTCTCCACTTCAGTCTAAGTGGCCAGGGACTGCTGTCCCTTCCCGGACCCGCCAGCACGCACGCCCGGTTTGCACCCCACAAGGGCCCTTCTGCCGGGCGATACATCCGGACCCCCTCTACCCCGGACGCATCCCTGACACAGCCTCCGGACCCTTCCAGACCTCTCTTCTCCTCCATCTCTCATTGGTTGAACACTCCCCCCAATCTCTCCGAGTTGATTGACAAAAGCTTGCTAACACCTGGCAGCCTTCATCTCACTCCTGTGTTCTCCCACTCCCTCTGTCGCTATTGTAGTCAGAATATTCAGCCTCCAATTCTAAGGCCTTCAAGGGTTCAGGCCTAAGAAGGGGATACTGTCATATCCATACAATCCTGACCTCCGCTCTGGGCTCCCAGAACTCCGAACCTGACTTCTGGAGTCCTACTTCCCTTCCGTCACCTCCTAGCCGACTCCCAAGAGGTTATCCCACCTCTGGCTCCAACACCACCTTCGGTCTGACTCCGGAACATTCTGGGTCCGACCTCAACCTCGACACCTTCCAGACAAGCATGCAACACCTATGCTCCTGACTCCGGACCTCCGCTCCGGAATCCCATTTGCGTCTCTGTCTCTGGAACCTCCAGGGTTAGCTCTGACCTCGGACTTTGACCCCACCTCCGCTTATACCCATTGTATTGGTTAGCTCATTCCATTTAATTACGTTTGCCAATATTCCAGAGTTCAACTTCCAAGTTCGGACTTTCCAGACTTACATCGGACCTTGCAACTATTGCATTGCTCCATTCAATTCCGCTATACTCCCTCATTCCTATTTGGGCTGCTGCTTCCTTTCTATTCAGTCAGCTAGCCATTCCCCACTCCCAACCTCCTTCCTTCCTCCTTGGGCCTTGGCCCTTCACTCCTCCTTTGGGAAACACCATTGAGTCAAACCCTTGACCCTCGGTGTTGTTCCTCCTTCCAGCTCCCTTTGTCTCCTTTCGGAGTACCCTTGCTCCTTTTGATTCTGGACCCCTCCTTATATACAATGTACATAGTAACTTGTAACCTCAGTCCGAAATCGACCTGAATTCCCCCCAAGAGAGTCCTTCCACGCTAAGTCTCCAGTTCCCCTCTGGAATCGTCCACCCTTGCCCAGTTCTAACACATAGGGCTAGACTGGCCTCTGAGGTTAGCATGGCCTGGGCTGTGAACATGCATCCATCTCCTTTTGTTTCCTCTACTCGACAAAACCTCGTGACTTGGGGATTCTCGATCTTGACCTGTAGCCTGTAGAGGCTACCACTTAGGTAAGCCCGTGAGACGAGCTTTCCAGACCGTGAATCCACAATGTCAGCGGAATTGGAGGGGAAGGTTGTTTGGAGCCCAACACTTGCCAGCTGTCAGGTGGATAAGAGATTTTCGCTAATGTCGGGTACGTGGAGGACTTTGGTGAATCTGCCAGGACTAGACTGATTTCCAATAAAGGTTCAGATTTCAATGTCACCGATTCTGATTGCATTTATGTGTTTTTGGTTTGCCACCAGTATCCTTTTTGGGTGAGTCAGTTCCTGGTATGATGAGAAGATTGCACAGTCCAAGGCCATATGTGATGATGCCCCAGAGTCAACAACAAAGTGTGTGTGGGAGGGTGAGTTTGAGGCTACAAGAGCAGTTCCAGGTTTGGGGGCTTCTTGTGTGATATATATCATGTAACTCTCTCCTGAATCTTCCATCTCGGCCATTCTTGCCAATTGTCCCTTCCCTGGTTTCTTCCCCGATCTCCTTGGTTGTCCACTTCTGAATCTTGGACCTGTCCCTTCTGCTCCACCCCCTTCTGCTCCACCCCCTTCTGCTCCACCCCCTTCTGCTCCACCCCCTTCTGCTCCACCCCCTTCTGCTCCACCCCCTTCTGCTCCACCCCCTTCTGCTCCACCCCCTTCTGCTCCACCCCCTTCTGCTCCACCCCCTTCTGCTCCACCCCCTTCTGCTCCACCCCCTTCTGCTCCACCCCCTTCTGCTCCACCCCCTTCTGCCCAACACTGTTCAGCAGTGTGACCCTCCCTTTTGCAGTTACCACACACTAATTTGCTCCCTTCCTTAGGTTTTTGACCCAACTGACCCAAAGAAGCTTTCCCTTTTGGGTTCCTCTTTCCAACTTGGATTAGCATAGCTGTCTCCTGCTTATGCTTGAGTTTGCTCTCATGTACAAGTATGGCATCAATTGTGTCTTGTAGGGTAAGTTTGTCCTTGTTCAAAAGAATCTCTTGGATCATTTCCCACTCCTCAGGGAGTGCCATGAGTATTGCCATGGTTTGAATTTCCTCACTGATCGTGGTTCCAAGTGGGTCAAGTTTAATGAACAGTTCTTTTAGCTCCTGAATCTGGCTATAGATGTCCTTTTCAGGAAGCATGATGGTACAGAAGAGTTTCTTCATAAGGTAAAAGACCGATTTCGCGCCTTTTCCTTCAAATTTCTTCTTGATTTCTGTCCATGCTGTAGGAGCTTCTTTTATACCCTTAATGAGGAGTTTAACTTCCTCATCAACAGATATGACAAGCTGCAGTAATGCTGCTGAGTTTCCTTCTTTCCAGATTTGGAGTGGGGTTAATGTGGTTGCGGGTTGTGGGGCAGGAGTAGTGGGAGGAGTGTTTCCTGAACCTGTGCCAGTAGCGGCAGGTGTAGTGGTGGGTGCAGATGCAGGTGGAGAGGATGAGGGTTTGGTTATTGAGCCATCAACATATTCCAGTAGGTGGTGATTTTCAAGAACTAACTCGATCATTGATTTCCAAGTCCCATAGTTGGAGCCATCAGCTCATAGCCGGTCATTTTCAAAGATTCTAGTATTGACTTCATGGGAAATGGTTGTCATGGTTGTTACTGGGTTGATGGGAGTCCTTTTTAATATAAAATTATAGAGCTTCTGGGCTCATAACCTAACGGAGGGCTATAATAATGTACTCAGTCTCCATAGTGAGAACTGATATTATTAGCATTCTAACCTATAATAATGTACTGGTTGGAATGAGTTACTAAGTTATGAGGAATGTCAAAGAGGAAACTGACCTCAGTCTCCATAGCGAGAACTGAGGAAAAAAGAAAACAATCCCAAATAACGAGAAACTATACATTCGCGATCACGAGGACCGTGTGTCACATGCGGGTCATGTGCGCTTGCTGGTGAGTCATGGGTTGTTGCCTCACAACAGATGGTCAAGGAAAACACGCAAAATTCTTCGTTCAATGGTCAAACGGTTCCACAAGTTGGGAGCCTTGGAGCTTACTGCGCAGAAAGGCACCTTTGAATGATTACTTAGATGTCTTAGGGGTAAGCAACATTACGAAATCATGATGGGAAACTACCCCAATATCAGACGTAACTGAACATATAAAAGGACTATCCATTGCGGCAATATCGATAGGTCTCGCTTGTAGCTCGACCAACCCCCCCATATCGACCCCCCCTGACCATGGACACGCCACTATGTTCAATCCACACTCGCATACCATCATCCCACCTAGGAGAGGATTCACTGCGAAAGTAAAACCCAGATTCACGATTGTACCCGGCATGGAATCAAAGGACTATGCAGCGGTATGCCGCCATCTTGCTATGATAGAGTCTGGTGGCACGATTACTGGCCCTGAACCGAACTTTTGGACGCAATGGGTGGAGGCTAACAACCTCACGGACGTGATTCTGAACGCGATCGAGTCTCACGCGCTCCATGCTCCCTATCTAGAAGCGCAAGCCATCTTAAATTCTGGCACGGTCATTGGTTCCCCTAGCAGGTTCACGCATCCACCACCCCCTCCTACATCTCCCTACCACAGCCGAGAGCGGGTGCCACCCCACTGCGGAGGTCCTTACACCAGACGCGGTGTGCACGGACGAAACAAATACCATAATGTTGGGACGAGGCCTACTGAACGACACACCGACAACACGGGACCTAGTGGTGGAACCCCAACTCCAACCCCGACTCCCTACCCATTCGCGAACACAGACAACGTGCCAATCGACCCCAACAATCTCTTTGTGAACGCGGAATATGTGCCATCGGTTGCCCCCCCAAACTTTGTAACGCTTCACTTTCAAGCACCATCGGCCATATGAATGACCTCTCAATGGCAACGCTACAGACGGAACACTCGGTCGACACCACCGAAGGAGCGGCTGAGGCGAGCTCTTCAGCTCCAAAGAACGACTAGACTTCGTCGTAAGTGCAGGTTCTGAATTTATTTTATCATTCCCTTTATCTTTAGTAGTATATACGACTTCTAACGACTAATCCCTAATTCGTAGATGCGAGTCACCAACGTCGCAGGAGGGCGACTGTAAGCGATAAGCGTAGAGAACCGTATATAAGCTAGAACCTCAGTAGATAGGAAAAGCAGAGATCTTGTATTTACACCCCTAGTGTAATATCGAGTTCGACTTTGGTTCAGCGACTTTCGATTACCCTAAGATTTCGTGAGTCCCTTAACCACCTGAACTCAATCGCCGGCCTCTGCCGACGTTAAGGTCCCTCACACGGAGCTCAAACTTAACACCGCTTGGTCCCACCAGCTCCGGTTCGTGTTCGTGAACTCTTGGGCGCCCTAAATGAACGAAGGTTCTGGGACCTATGAATGGATGGCATCTATGACTGTGGGCGCGAATAATACACGCAACCTCTTTTTCCGTGTATTTCATTTCACTGCATTGAAACATTCCTTGCTCCGTCGGCTGTTTATTTTGCTTGTTCTCGACTGTTGAGAAATGACCTTAAGGCCCAATATCTGGGGTATTTCTGGGAGCTCGACGGCACGTCCCCCCATCAGCCTGTTTGCCTTGCGCTGCGGTCCGCGAAGGCGCGTACGTTGTCAAAATGGCGTTGAACCCGACCCTCCCCACCGAGGACATTACCCTCTATGATTTTATGTTTAATCGTTCATTTGGGAACAATCCCTGGTTTTTGGATGCCATTACTGGTGAGGCTCGCACGGGTGCCGACCTCAAAGAGCGCGTCGACGCTCTAGCATTGGGTCTTCAAAAGCACTTGGGTCTTTCTTATGCGTCGACACGTCGTAATGATCCAAATTATACCGTTGGACCCGTATTCAGTCTTGTATCTACCAATGATGTTGACTTTGGCACTGTTATATGGGCCAGTCACCTCCTCGGCGCCACCGTCGCGCCAAGCAATGCCGGTGGTACTATTGACGAGCTTACCCACCAGCTACGTCTATCTGGTGCACAAGTTATCTTCGCTCACCCAACAACTCTTGAACGATCTTTGACGGCGGCTCATGCCGTGGGGATCAAGGATGAGTGTGTGATCGTCTTAGCCCGAGGGAGGTGGGTGGACCTCTACAGTGAAGGAGTGTAAGTGCGCCTGTATAACCCATTCAGTCTGCCATCTGACTCTTGTATCTTTAGCCACGTTGCAAAGACGTACACGGTCGATGATCGAGCAGAAGCCCTCTACACGATTGATGAACTAATCGGTGTTGGGAAGTCTGCGGCCAGTCAGGGAGCAATAATAAGACGAGCGCCGTTGAATTCGACACGGCCACGAGTTGCTTTCCTTTGTTTCAGTTCAGGAACCAGCAAGTATTCTCTCATGTCATTGTCAATCGTCCACTGATGGCCAACCATAGCTGGTCTTCCTAAGGCCGTGGTAATGCCCCACCGTGCTGTCATCGCCAACGTCCTTCAAGTTTCGGCTTTTACCATCCCGAGAGAATGCACCGCTCCAGGGGATAAATCCCTTGGTGTCATCCCGCTTTCACACATATACGGACTCCTAACACTCGTACATCTGTGCCCGTACCTTGGTATTACTTCCACGCTCTTCCAATCTCTTCCTCCATTCGAGAAGTTCTTGAACATTTTGGGGACTCTCAAAATTAGCCACCTGTTCCTCGCTCCTCCTCTTATCAACGCCTTTATCAAACACCCGGCCGCTCAGGGTCGCGACTTTTCCTACTTCAAATCGTGCTTGGTAGCTGCTGCACCCCTTGATGCTGAGCGGGAGATTGCCTTCAGAGCTCTCGCGGGTCCGGAGTTGGTCCTGGGACAGGTGTTTGGTATGACTGAGACTGGTACGTATGAGTTTGCATCTCTGGATCTCGCTTATCCAGTCACTCAGGCGGACTCACTGGGTTACCCGTCGGCGAGAAGCCAGTGTCGGGTTCTGTCGGTCGTTTACTTCCTCTAACTGACGCCAAAATCACGGACCCTGAAGGCAATGTGGTCGGAATTGGCAGGCGAGGAGAGCTGCGTATCAAAGGGCCACAACTCTGCTTGGGGTATTTGGACAACGAGAGCGCCACTGTGGAAGCCTTTGATAGCGGGGGATACCTGATGAGGTCGAGATGCGCGAGGGTGGTGATATCTTCGTCATGGATCGTCTCAAGCAGATCATTAAAACCAAGGTGCCTTCTGGTCCCATTAATCCTGAACTCGTCTGACCTTCTGATTGCACAGGGCTTTCAAATTAGTCCGGCTGAGCTCGAAGGTCACCTTTTCAAGCATCCATTTGTTAAGGATGTAGGCGTGGTCGGCAAGCCCGACGAATGCGCTGGAGAGCTCCCTGTAGCATTCGTCGTTTTGAGTGATGCTGGTCAAGAGGCATATAGATGGGGAAGTGGCGGGGTGAAGGACGCCATCAAGACTCATGTTCGTGAACACAAGGTCAACCCTTTCTGCCACTATGCCAGTCCTTGCTTTATTCACTTCGATCGTAGTCTGAATATAAATGGCTCGGCGACGTCATCTTCCTCGAGACTATCCCTAAACTTCCCAGTGGGAAAATCGTGGCTAGAGAGCTCAAAACAATGTTTTATCACGAAAAATCCACAAAGTAGTCAGATATGCTCTGTTGCTCCCTGGAGCACCCAAGAACAATGAGAGCAAGGTCCCCTGTTCTAAACGTCCATGCACTCCAGAAACCTAGAGCACCATGGAGCACCACAGTAACCTTGAAAATCACTCACATCAGGACAGAATAACCAATAGTTAGATGTGTGTTAAATTGGAACATTGTGAGGCATGGCTAGCATGTGTTTATCTTGTCATACTCTGCTTACTAGAGTACATACTCGCTTCTCTCATTGGACTCTGCACCGCATGACTAATCGTTGTTGTCCGAACTATTATCATCCAATATAAAACAATTTACAAGACACCCATTGGACACAGTAATGACCCATGCAAGAAAGGAAACAGCAGACAAAGAGGAAGAAAACAAGGCTTTGTATCAGTAGAAATTAAAGACTCGAGGGTGTGGATGGCCCAACATCCATTTAAGTAAGCTAACTACCAACGGGTAGTGAGGGTGTCAGGGCCACAACATATATGAACGTTGACATTATTGGCCCATGGCTCCCCAGGTGATCTGGTAACGGCGCGCGATAATGATGTGTACTATCAAGTCTTCTTGCTTCGTGCAAACCATGGTGCACAAAAGGGGATTTCAAAGCAGCAGAGGAAACATGGTGTCAAGCATACCATGAACTGGAGATAAAGAGAGGCTGGTCACCTGCCTAAAGTGGAGAACGCACTTGTAGACATAGGACAAGTTGCCTCTAATAGGTAAGTACACACAGTGGGAATTGGAGTTGCGTAAAAAACCATTTAAAAGATGGTAAAATACTATCATTTTTACTATGATTTGAATAATATTTTACCATCAAATCCATGGTCCTTTACCAGGATTCCATTACCACGCTTTTGAGGGTAAATGACCTATATTTTCTTTGTTTTTGACCACAATAATGATGGTAAACGGTCAATTTACCATGGTGCAGTTGGTAATTTACCTGCTCCGACTTGGTCATTTACGACATTTTTGATTGGTAAAAAACACAGCTATTTGTGGTCATTTCCGACCATTTTCGTGGTAATATACAGTGAAATCGAGACTACTTCTATCAGGTCGAATTACGAGAGACATGAATGAGAAAAAGAACCGATGGGGATTGATTTGAACAGCGAGCTAGAAATAAAGTACGACCCGAGCTTTGACTCAATCAAGCATGGTCCACGTAACCTAATGAAAATGCAAGAAGTCATGAGTCTGAGAGTAAGATGACAGAGGAACAAGCTTATGAGTAGCAGATGCAAAGCTCAACTCTTGCATGCAACACCGTGACGTACCATACAGGGCCTTGGCCTGAGATGGGCCAGGTTCATTGATTCGGGCTTTCTTCTGTCGTGGGGCTGTCATAATGGTGACCACGTTCCACCACAAGTGTGGCCTTTGGGCAATGCCATAATGGAGGCTGGGAAACTCTTGTTTGCCGTTGGATAATGAATTTCTAGGAAAAGCTATTATATCTCATTCATCAATGAGTTAGAGACACATAAAATTGCGAAAATTCATGTGAAAATGCGCAAAGACGCATAAAGATGCGTTGAAACATGCCCAGGTAGGAGGCCTTCATAGGATCACTGTTGGTGGAGCAGTACACTGAGTGTCCATGACCTTGCAGATTTATGAGTACTTGCCTCGGAAGGATGTTTGGGGGGAGGTTGGCTAGTTGCGGAGGGAGGAGAAGGTTGAATTGGGAGAAAATGAGCAGATCTAGGTGACGCGCGGGTTACCTTGCTTGCAAGGTCACTTTCCGGGTCCACAATTCATGGGAATCTTCACTTTCCCATGCCACCGTTCTGTGATCCCATTGGCTACTGCTGTTGTCTCGTGATCACCTCACATGTTTTTGAATGCGGAGTTGTCCGATTCCATGCTAGAGACAATTGATCATGATGACCCAGTCTTGCTACTGGGATCCGCAACGGATGTAGGATGTGGACTTGCTGTTTCCGATGACACTCCCAACCGACTGTTATCATTCGTAAAAGTCGAATCGTATCACAGCCAGAGCTCTGTGATAATGTTACATAAGCATTAAATGGCGTTAGCCCTCCTGTTGGTGGAGGTGCTAGATCGATGATGATCTGTCAGGTTGTTTGGCCTTGGGGCTTGATAATCTGTGAAACCATATGCCCCTGGTTGTTGACTGTCTTCGATTTCCCATCCTTCATTCTTATCCAGTACGTCCATTTTTCTGGGAACATTGGTATGACTCCTTGTTCTAAATTCCCCACTCGCATGGTCTAGCCTGACTAGCTACAAGCTAATACCCTTCAACAAGGTTTGTTATTTCAATGTACAAATACTTGGAAGTTTTCACCGATAACATTTCTTCTCTTTCTTTGAAAGGCAAAGTGACACTCTGTGATCCAACACTAAAGGGATCTGATCTGAGAAGCCCATCATGATGGAACTTTACCTTCTTAATATTTTGGGACCCTCTAACTAAGTGGCTCAGAATTTGAAGATACTAGATCCACACCTCCAACGGGTTATGATGGTGGACAAGGTCCTTGTTCCTCACACACCTGAAGGTTATACAGACGCGAGGGTAGCGGCAGCAATGCTTGAGTCCAAATCACGGAAAAGTTGTCTGAGCATTATACACAAAGATGGCTATCTTGGGCCAGAATTTGGACTCTAAAGTTTCACAAGAAAACATACCTATTCAAGACCATATGGTAGCATCCGGAAAATATCAAACCAAACCTTTGTGACATTATCATGAAGGATCCAATGTAGTCATTCTGCCTTCCAAATACGAGTTCACTCTTCCTGGTGCAACTGTTCAAGTGTCGTTCACTACTGTCTGCCATGTTATCGGATCATAAGAGGGCAAACGTGCAATGTTTTCGGCCAAGATCAACAAAATGATCATTTTGAGGAAACTGGAAAGATTGACGATGAAGGACTGAGGAAAGAATGGTTCTCCCTCTAAGCGCGCATTCCATGGTCCTTCTTTCTCACCCACTAAACGTCAATGCCTATAGATTTTTGACTGTGATGTGATACTCATGTAAAATATCCTCTCTACATTTATAATGAGCACGACTCTTCCCTGCAATTTAAATCCTTGTTCCCTTTGCTGCCACGGGTTCAAGCAAGGTCGTGGCTGCGAAAGCGGCCCTTCTAGTAGAGTGAACGATGTGTGAAGTAGTACGGAAATTGCCGAGAACAACATCGCCCGATCTCAGTCTAAGCACCATGCAGGACTCCAGCCTCTATGACTTCGTAACAATAACAGTATCTGCCCACTGCCCCTACCATGGAGGACATGTCTGGGAGGGGTTCTTGCTGTGGCCTCCCAGACTGCATCATCAGGTGCCATCTTCAGCTTGCTGACCTCAGTGCGATCGATGCACTTAGAGTTTTTCCAGAGAGGGAGACAACTGGATCTGATGCCCACGAAAGCCCAGAGAACGGTTCACTCGGTTTTTCCTATGATTTACAACACCCCTTGCACACGATGAGACAGCCAGCGGCCCCGACCCAGTTGACTCGCTTAGAAGCACATCGAAATTTTACTACATCTTTATGTGCCGGCTTCCATACTCGGGGCTCCTCACAACAAGAAACATATTCCCAACGATCTCATTGTCATAAGATTGCGATCTATTGTACAACAAGCCCCATCAACAGATCATCAAGCCTTTCCCGGAAATTATGCCTCGCTGGGGAAAGTCATGGACTGTTGGGGGAGGCGACAAGTTCTCCACCTTGTGGGCCCAAGAACGGCGAACCAAGTACAGGGGCTCATCCTTTGTCCGGGTAGGAGCGCCTAAAATTTTGTAACTTCCACTATTGAGCTGACCTTCACTGCTGGTACGAAGTCGCGGTGGACTCAAATCCCCAAGTACGTCGCGAAATCCTGCTTGTGAGAAGGGTTTGTTACAGCGAGCTTCATGAAATACTCAAATGTGTCGTTCCCAGGACTCTTTGGAACAAGCATGCCCATGCGGCATCTTCTTGCCCTTGTTTCGGACAGCAGCGCTTATATGGACGCAACCTCTTTCACCAAGCTCTCCGACACCACTCAAATTATCGCACTCACATCGGTCTCATCAGTCAGCTGTGGCCACTTCCCATTATCCGCACACCTGAACTCTGTATAATATGTCGCAGCTCGAATACCATGAATTGAGTGGTAATTTACGAATTGAGGAGTCTGGTATTTAACTTCGCGAACGTATATTGTAATTTACCATGATAAAAATACCACGAAAATTGTGGTAAATGGTGAAAAACCAGACAAAAAGTAGTTTTTTACGGGGCTTTACTTCCCACAGTGTACAATTGTAAGGATTCAGCCGACAATTAATTGTCAGTGGCAGGCGGGTGAAGTCATGGAGGGAGCAGGACATGGACGTCAGCTCCCCCTGATTAGCCGGTAATATCGATCATGAGAATCACACCACGCGCAATGGACACGACTACGGTGATATTCAATACAACGTGCGAGACTCAGTTCATTTACCTTATATCGTTCCTGGCTACGTCATGTTCAATTATTAACCTAGCGAATCCTTGGAGTCGAACTCGGGGCGGCAACGCATACTTCTTCCACAGAGTGGCGGGAGTGAAGACATAAATGTGAACGTACGACTAGGGTACATCATTACTCAGTGCACCAGCGAGGAGGGCTACAATATGTATCACACGAGAAACAAAACTAAGGGTCATGAAGGGAGAGGAGAAATGATGGATGGAAACAATCGAGAAAACAGAGACAAAACAAGTGGGATAACGGATTAAAAAAGAGGGATTTTCACTGCACCTAGATCCTGTATTTCAAAAAAAATGTAGCAAACAACCATGAGTTTAGGAATCCCAGACGGGTCCGTGACAGTGAATACCACGGGAGTTGCAACCCCGTATGGTATCAGCAGTGCCCTTCGGATTGGAAGTGATGAAAACGACTTCAAGGTTGTTTTTGCGAACGATGGACTCGATAAGGTTAATCATGTCTGGCCTACCCTTGACGCGGGTGTCCCAGATGGTGATAACTTCGTCGTAATAACCCTCAGGTTCATCCTGGAAGGCCTCACGAAGATCGGGAAGGACTGTCGTGCCGTACGTGGGTTCGATGTTACTACAGGAAATAGCGTAAATGACCGGGGACTTGAGCTATATCGCAATATTACACATACCCAGATATCCAGAGCATATGCCACTTGCTCTTAGGATCCCGTTGAATGAAGATGGACAATGCGACACCAATGGCCGAGCCCGTCACGACGTACAGGCCACTTCGGAAGAACGATGTCATAAGGGGAAGACCGGTGAACTTATACATGCGGGTCCACAAGTGCGTTGGGGGATCCGCAATGAGGCCACGGGTGAAGTCTCCTTGACCAACAACGCACATGTAGTGTTCGTTTGAATCCGAACTTTTACTAGTAATCCCGAAAGCGTGGTTCTCCTTGAAGGGACTGCGAGATACCGACCAAACAAACCTGGATGGTATCCGCCTTTGAAGCGAAGCAAGATGACGGCGTTGGAAAGGACTTCCGCACTGACCGGAACCTTACGATAGGTGAACCAGGGCCCGAAAATGAGAACGGATAAGCTCGCGGCAATATAAATGTCTGGCTTGCGATACAGGCGGCGGGCTAAGAACCGGTGAGTCTCAATGTCCCAAGTATCGGAAAGACCGACCAGAATCCAAAGGATCCCAAGGCCGATCCATCCGGCATAACGATGGATATTCTCGAAGACGTTGTGATGATGTTCACGTAGTGACGGCCAGGCGCTGGCGCACACGCCGACAAGGATGAAAGATGCAAGGAACACAAAGACCAAAAGTGTGGGGTGGACGAGATTATCCCCTTTGCGATATAACTCGATCATGGTAGCGATAAGCCATAAGGTACCCGCGAATGCCATTCCTGAGTGGACACCACCAATGTTGAGTAGGAAGGTGCAATGCCGTTTCGGAACCAAAATGGTGGCCAACGCTTGAATAAGAAGAGTAAGGTAGTATAGAGGCACCGGACAAAGACCTCGCTACGAGCGCACAACGCTGCCATGATTAGAGAGAGGGAGAAAGTGGCACTCCATTCCTGCCCAATTTTCCACTTGTGAGCGAGCGTGAACCCAATGCCGATGGCATTGGGGATGAAGATAACGATGAACATGCATCGGTATAACGAGAACCACTCTTTGAGCGCTAGGCCACGATTATCCGCAACATCTGCTTTCTTCTCTCTGAAGAGTTTGGCTTGCTCCGTATGAAGGTACGCCTATTATCGGCTTCCCTTTCACTGTGTCGACTCATGACCAAGGCTAAACCTTTTTCAATATCGGTGCCATTTGCCTCGGGTTGACCGCGTCGCTGAACGACTTTTTGTCCTCTAGAAGCGGAACCTGGTCCTCGCCTAATGTATCATCAGAGGAGACTGACTTCCGGGAGGGCAACTCGACAGGGTCTTCTTGATCGCAACAGGTTTTGCGAATTGGACGACAGGAGATTGACCAAACATTGTCTTGAGCTCTCTAGCCAATATTTTCCCACTGGGAAGTTTAGGGATAGTCTCGAGGAAGATGACGTCGCCGAGCCATTTATATTCAGACTACGATCGAAGTGAATAAAGCAAGGACTGGCTGGCATAGAGTTAGAAAGGGCTAACCTTGTGTTCACGAACATGAGTCTTGATGGCTTCCTTCACCCCACCACTTCCCCATCTATATGCCTCTTGACCAGCATCACTCAATACGACGAATGCTACGGGGACCTCTCCAGCGCGTTCATCGGGCTTGCCGACCACGCCTACATCCTTAACAAATGGATGCTTGAGAAGGTGACCTTCGAGCTCAGCCGGACTAATTTGAAATCCCTGTGTAATCAAAAGATCAGACGAGTTCAGGATTGATGAGGACCAGAAGGCACCTTGGTTTTAATGATCTGCTTTAGACGATCCATGACGAAGATATCACCACCCTCACGCATCTCGACCTCATCGCCACTTAGCAGGTATCCCTCGCTATCAAAGGCTTCCACAGTGGCTCTCTCGTTGTCCAAATACCCCAAGCAGAGTTGTGGCCCTTTGATACGCAGCTCTCCTCGCCTGCCAATTCCGACCACATTGCCTTCAGGGTCCGTGATTTTGGCGTCGGTTAGGGGAAGTAAACGACCGACAGAACCCGACACTGGCTTCTCGCCGACGGGCAACCCAGTAATAAGACCGGCTGAGTGACTGGATAAGCGAGGTCCAGAGATGCAAACTCATACACACGTACCGTCTCAGTCATACCAAACACCTGTCCCAGGACCAACTCCGGACCCGCGAGCGCCTTGAAAGCAATCTCCCGCTCAGCATCAAGGGGTGCAGCAGCTACCAAGCACGATTTGAAGTAGGAAAAGTCGCGGCCCTGAGCGGCCGGGTGCCTGATAAAGGCATTGATAAGAGGAGGAGCGAGGAACAGGTGGTTGATCTTGAGAGCCCCACAATGTTCAAGAACTTCTCGAATGGAGGAAGAGATTGGAAGAGTGTGGAAGTAATACCAAGGTACGGGCACAGGTGCACGAGTGTTAGGAGTCCGTACATGTGTGAAAGCGGGATGACACCGAGGGATTTATCCCCTGGAGCGGCGCGTTCTCTCGGGATGGCAGAAGCTGAAACTTGAAGGACGTTGGCGATGACGGCACGGTGGGGCACTACCACGGCCTTAGGAAGACCAGCTATGGTTGACCATCAGTGGAGGATCGACAATGACATGAGAAAATACTTGCTAGTTCCTGAACTGAAACAAAGGAAAGCAACTCTGGCCGTGTCGAATTCAACGGCGCTCGTCTTATTGTTGCTCCTTGACTGGCCGCGGCCTCCCAACACCGATTAGTTCATCAATCGTGTAGAGGGCTTCTGCTTGATCATCAACACTGTACGTCTTTGCAACGTGGCTAAAGGTACAAAAGTCAGATGACAGACTGGATGGGTTATACGGGCGTACTTACACTCCTTCACTGTAGAGGTCCACCCACCTCCCTCGGGCTAAGACGATCACACACTCATCCTTGATCCCCACGGCGCGAGCCGCCGTCAAAGATCGTTCAAGAGTTGTTGGGTGAGCGAAGATAACTTGTGCACCAGATAGACGTAGCTGGTGGGTAAGCTCGTCAACAGTACCACCGCATTGCTTGGCGCGACGGTGGCGCCGAGGAGGTGACTGGCCCAGATAACAGTGCCAAAGTCAACATCATTGGTAGACACAAGACTGACTACGGGTCCAATGGTATAATTGGGATCATTACGACGTGTCGATGCATAAGAAAGACCCAAGTGCTTTTGAAGACCCAATGCTAGAGCGTTGACACGTTCTTTGAGATCGGTGCCCGTGCGAGCATCACCAGTAATGGCATCCAGAAACCAGGGATTGTTCCCAAATGGACGATTGAACATAAAATCATAGAGGGTAATGTCCTCAGTGGGGAGGGTCGGGTTCAACGCCATTTTGACGACGTACGCGCCTTCGCGGACCGCAGCGCGAGGCAAACAGGCTGGTGGGGAGGGGGTGTGCCGGAGAACTCCCAGAAACCCCCAAAATACTGGGCCTTAAGGTCATTTCTCAACAGTTGAGAACAAGCAAAATAAACAGCAGGAATGTTTGAATGCAGCGAAATGAAATACACGGAAAAATAGGTTGCGTGTGTTATTCGCGCCCCACAGTCATAGATGCCATCCATTCATAGGTCCCAGATCCTTCATTTTTATTTAGAGCGCGCAAGAGTTCACGAACACGAACCAGAGAGTTGGTGAGAAGGAATGATTGCCAAACGATTGTAAGCCGGCAATGTCCGTGGGAAATGGCTGTCCCCGACGCGTCGTGTATTCCAGTTGCCGAACTCCGCCAAACAGTCCCAAAAAGCTGGACTTGGATTATCGCATCCCGTAACGAAACCGCACCCTTTGGGGGGGCGGAGAAATCGGATGGAGCGAGTGTCAGCATATAGAGCGCCGCAGAGGCCGCAACTGGCAACTGGCAGTGTCTAGAAGTCTGAAGACAAGAACAAATTACTTATTGTGAGTATGTCCCTCGGTGCAATGTGAGGCCTCCTTTTTCATAGGGGCAAATTAGTGCTCACACCCATGCATACAAAGAATTGTAGTTTCATAACTCCTGGGCGATCCGCGTGAGGACATGTCAATGAACTTAGTTCCCATTCCATACTGTGATTTTCTGGAAGCGAAGAAGCGGGGATCAACACTAAGAGATCAACACTGACGCCCATCACCCCGTACATAAATCGGTCCGACTTCCAAGATTCATTGACGGACGTATGTTTCGATGCAGCGCCCTATTGTTATGAGGCATGACAGTTCTTGGGGCGGACGCGGGTATGACTCCCATCCATCACTTGCGAATGACGCAGGCCAAGTCCCCTACTTATTTTTTCTCCTGATCGGCACCAGCGCGTTGTCTCTATGCGCCTTCGGAAGACACGGAAATACGTACATAATACATAGTGTGTGGGAAATTGACCCTATAGTAGTCGGTGTCGACTTCCGGCAAATGTGTCCAATGGGCAATGAATTGATCAGGTAGAACTGTGTTGGATCCCCAATGTAGATGACAGTCTACTGTCACCGAACACTAATCGACGGGGCTCGTCAGACGAGAGGCTGTCGGGAGAACTCGGCAACTAATTAAGGGCTGGGAAAATCCCTTTGCAACGGAACACGGATCATGAAATTCAATATATTGATGTGTTGCGTCGGCACTTCGCAGATTGGCAGAGCCGATTCCGTCCCGGGCTGTCAGAACCTATTCAAACTGCCCGATTAGACGCCTGGATGCGTGGCAATTCCGACCGCACTGCGCGGTCGCAATGAAGGCTGAATGAAAGGTCGGTATGTGTTGAGTCAGACGCATTGGTGGGAAGACGTCACCCTAGGCGCAGGGTCGGCTATTTACCTCCTGTGCGAGGCATAAAACAAGTTGGACAACTAAAAAAATTAACTGTTGAGGTGTGGGATGATGGGGGTCAATTTTCGCACATTTATGTTGTCCCACGATTTCCACATGGAGCTGTGCTTGCGCTGTCGTGAAACACGCGGCAACAACTGCAGTGCGATACGCATTTTCCCGCGGTGGACCAGCCCCCACTTTGGGGGCTTCGCCTCTCCCTATTGACAATTTCGCGAAGTGCCAATTCGATGCTCGACTTGGGCATCGAGGATTACGTGATGATTGGCACAACATCGCTGATCGGGGGAACTACACGACTACCACACGCTCGCTGGGCTCGACCCCCGGGGTCAATTAGGCAAGACTCCTCATTACTCATGGACCTGGTCTCACTGTTTCCAGTTTATGACCTGCTTACCGTTGGACACACTCGCTCCCATCATTGTGCTTCTCACGTTCTCTGGTATCCTTCCTTACTCTGTATCGACCCAATGCGGGGAAGTGCATTCGTTTGCGCCGTTCTCATTCTGTCGCTCATTGACTTGAGGATGTGTCTCCGGGCGCATTTCTGGCTCTTTGCCTGATATCATTCCGACAATGTTCCATTCTTTGAACTTTTTTGCATTTGGTCCTTCTGGAGGATAGGGGGGCTTTTAGTCTCATCAAGCATTCCAGTTTCGACGCACCAGATCGGCTTGTGGCCAACGACTCGGATAGCTGCCGTATTTTGCCCCTCAGTGACCATGCACCCCGCTTTCTATGTAGTCATTTCTATCATTTCGACCTACTGTTAGAGTTTGGACCTTTGCACGTTGTCGAGCTTTTCCGGAGTGATATATTTGATTGGCCCTCTCAATTGGACGCGGAGTCGTGCAGACCCTTCTCTTCGACGTACTCGTCATCGGGAGCCACGTTGGAGAGGGAAGAAGGAGAGGAGGTTTGTGCGGCCGCTGGAATCTTCTTGTTTCTGCTTGGGATGGCTTTGAATCGGCTCTTGATCCAGACAAGGTGCACCGGATTGTGTTCATTGCTAGTTCGGACAACTTCCCTTATAGGGCTGGGTTGATCATCTTGGGAAATTCACAGTTCGTTTAAGGGGTTGTTTGAATCATGCAATTTTAGTTCCCGGCGATCCAAGGGCTGTCACCACGCTCTGCCCAGCATCAGGAATGGTTGGAAATTGACCTCGAAACACGTGCTTGTGCTGAAAATTTTACCTTAGCTGACGGTTCCTCTCTCATCTGGTCCGACACCGAGGATCCAGTCCACCCGACTCTACCCCAGACAGCATCATGTATGGATGTTTCCCTCTTGTACGCACGGTGTAGAGAGCTAGGAAAGCCACACTGCCACCACCAATGGGGCCCGCGGGATAACAAGACAGAGTTCACACGCACTGGCCCAATGCTGGCCACACAGCTTAATAGTGTTGACTCTAGTAGGAATGCCGCCTATATCCGGAGCGCTTCCCGAGTCTTTTGGATCTTTGTCACATCGGAATGTGAGAAGTTGTCGATCATGCTTAACAGAGGCTGGTCATCTGCCTAGATTGCAAGTTAAGGTTCGGGCCCCATGCATCCAGACCCCCATCTCTGGGGGGGCGAGCTAGATGGCCTAGGCTGGGAAGAATTCTGTGCAAGCTTATTGGCCCATCTGGTTGCTCGTTAATCTGATGTCAAGCCTGAGGCACTCCATTCCCAGGACACTGACCAGTAATTTTCTTTGCTCTTCGCTTCAATCTCTGCGATATCGCCACGACCTGATGTCTTTCTTAGTTGCCGTGTATTAGAACACCTTCTCTCGCCCACATAAATCCAATACTATTTGTCTAATCGATGGATTGTGCCCAGTCTTGTTCGCAATCGAGGATTCCCCGTAGGATCATTAGCCCTGAAAAAAATGTCGATTCTGAGTATGTAGTTGACCGTCATAATGAGATGAACACATAGGGTTCACGCTGCGTCGAGCAGCACATATATATTTGTTCATTCGAACAGATCCAGTAGGCTAGGTGCTCTAATCGTTGTGTAAAGGTAAGTCTCATTATCTAAGCTCTGACCTATCACTCAGGATACTTTATGGAGGAAGGAATAGGTGAAAGGCAGCTGCGCGCCTAGTGAAAGTGCCGACCGGGCGTGGGAACGATGCTCGGTGTTTGACGAACATCACGACCAACTCAGCAACTGCTTGCAAAAATGTCAACGCCTCAGTTCTCTCATCCATTTACTCTGGAAGAAGCCATGCAGTTCGAAGTGGGACTCATTACAGGAGGTCGCAGCATCTATCTGAGTTTGGATGAAAGGCAACCCGTCTAATTTTTGTTGTTGGAAAGGTCATCAGAAATTGCGAGGCTAGAGAATTCTCTGCAACATCTTTTCACTACGCAAGAACAACTGGAAGAGGCAATCGGATGGGAGACAGAACCCGATCCGGACCTTCTAGGGGCACTCCAGGACAACAGGGTGGTTATGTAAATTTTCACTATCCCATACTAAACTACCGTGTTGACTTGCTGCATATTTTGCGTGTAGTGCATCGCAAACCGAACGCATCGGTATTCTAAGAGTAGCTTTGGAGAGAAAAGGCCTCGCCTCGGCAAACAACCCGCATTACGATCAGAATATCCCACCATCGGAAGGTGAAAACCGCGATCCCGACATTGGAGTGTTTCTGTGAAAATCAAGGAGTTAACGTGGTTGCCCCCGATGATGGATCCTATAGTGGTTTGATGAATGAACACACGTGGGGACTTTCATACAGGTCTTCAGAATGTAGCAGAAAATGAATCATTGGCAATATATGTAATGCATGGCACCCGATATATGCAGGGAAATTTCTTGGACCGCGAGCTTGCCCATGCCGATGGTCTCCCCAGACATGCAGGACCTGAGCCAGATGCATGGCGTGTCGCTACTTCAGCTTTCAATGAGGGAAAGAGACGCAGCAACCTCTATTTCTTCAGCGCCAATCGGCAGGGGATTCTCAGCAACGTTCGAGATAAATTCACATAGCTGTATACATGTATAATAGGGGAAAAGAAGTCGCTATCACCTTGTTCGCTGTGTGTGAAGACCCTCTGGAACGGCAATATGGAAATGCTAGGGATCTCTGCCTACACAACTGGAAACGAGGAACGGCTGCAACCTGTAGCAGGGTAGGCAGAATAGTCACGACACTTCGCTGCATAGCAAGCTTAAGCACGGAAGGAGGGCGTATTGACCAGTTTGAATGTGAAGACAAGAAACTTGCTCAGCACGGCGGTAACGACAGAGGAAGTTAAGGTTAAGTTTGGTGGTAACGTGATCCTCCTCTTGTCAAACCGAAGTTCGAATCGTTTCTATATTACTCCGTCATTAGAGGGAAAAGGGGACGTGATTGTCCTTACTGGAGGACGACTTCAACGTCACTCTTGGAATAAGTAGCGAAGTAGCACTACTCGAGGTGGTTGTCTCCCGAACTTGCGTCAACGCGCAATAGTCCAAAATGTATCAAATGCCAGAATCAGAACCTGAAACAGAGAGCACACCTAGTGAGCAGCAGATCGCTGACGCTCATGCTTTGCTTGTCCGCTATCCGTTTGTGTCAGCCACTCCGATATCTCATGGTAAGTCAATATCACCGGACATTCTTGAGTTATTTCGCTGACTGGATGTTCAAGTCGCGAGGCATTTGGATCATATGTCTTCCACAGCACCGATCCCTTCCGTTGCTCAACCCCATCTCTTCCCCGGAAACCACATTTCTATGGCTAACCCACCTCCTTATGCTCATCTCCCTCCGGTCCTAGACGCGCTGACACCACCCGAAGGTCCAGCACGCGAACTCTGGGACTCTCAAAGAGGAGTCGCTATAAATGCCCTGGAGGAAGAATCGAGGACTATTCCTTTTGATGCTTGGTCTCATCCCATACCACCTCGTCATGCACCGTTGAATGCCGATACAAAGTGGCAGAAGTCTGCTTATCAATCATCTGCCCTTGCAACGACAATTTTACGGTCTGTGCATCGCCATCGAAGTGCGCCTATGCTACCTTCTGGCCTGTTACCACCCCCCTCGTCTCTTGCGAATGCTCTCGGCAATGAAGCCCATTCATCTCAGCAACACCAATTTGTCCCTTCCAACCGCCCCTTCCACCCGTCGCAATCTTTGGCTTTTTTTGATGAGTTTTTAGAGAAGACCCTTGGGTCGCAAGCGAACCCCTCACTTCGACCTTCATCCGAATCTCGCCCTACAACCGACTTCAATAACCAGCTTCAGTCCGATCTTTTGAGAGGACCCCTAGAACGGTTACGCACCCCTGTCAGAACCCCACCAGCAATTGAAACCCCCAATAACAAGCCTGCGGAGTTGACTCCTCGCCCCCCTCTTCCCCAAGAATCACCAGATCCCCTCTCACTTGTTCCGGGTGCCTCGAAGGAGACTAACGGTGCTGCCATAACGCCAACTCGTCCCGCCAAACGCAAAGCTGACTCTGCATTTCCCACGTCCCGTGTTTCAGTCGTGATCACTCAACTACCCCCTGGCAGCAGCAGCCGCCCAGGAAGTTTGAGCTCAAAGGGCTCTTCAACGACCCTTAGCTTTATAGGAGGGAAGGATTCATTGTCTCCTTCGGTGAAAAAGGCGGATCGTGCCGCATATACAGATATAGATGAGGCCACTCCATGGACCTCACGAATTACCGCTCGAGACACACCTGGAAGGAGCAAAAAAACTCTGAAACTTGAAAGAGACGCCAAAGGTTAAAGTCCAACTTATTGCGTGGAGACCCTAGCCTGATTACTTGTCCGCTGGTTATCCAGTACCACTCCAGAAGTTTATGAGTTATCTTGAAGAAATCTTTGAAGCTGAAGATTCTCTACCTCTCGATGCTGATAAAGATCATCGTCTTTCCCCTGCTGTTGCTGCTCATTTTTCTCACCTAATGACGTCTTTCTCCGAGCCACTTTTGCATTCAAATTCGATGCAGAGGCTCGTTTACCTCCTCAATCAACTTGCGCATCCTTCGAAACGCTCGCGGGTACATCAGCACTCCTCGCAGGCTAGGTCCGAGCCCATTGTTCGATTGTCGCAAGTTGATGCCGCATCCTTGCAGAGATTACTCAGGATGCTCGGGAGAACGGTTGAATTGGGATCTGGTGAGCAACGCGAGTTCGCCCCCTTCGACTGGAAGCCCCTCGAGAACAGTGCTGCGACAACTCAGAAAACCCCGCAGAAATCGCCGAAGAAACGCAAGAAGGAGCAGACTATTGCCTCGTCCAATGGAAAGAATACCAATGACAACGGCCGATCTAGTCGAAGCCGAAGTCGTAGTCGTTCCAAAACGAGGGAGCCTGATAAACAGCTTGGAGGGGACAATGTATCAATCCCTGACTCAAAACTTCAAGGAGTGCCTGACATTCTTCCAATTGATGAGGCGGCAAAGTTCGACAGGGAGCTGGACATTGCGTCGGAATGCGCACTTGCTGTGGAATGCTGTTTATCCCTTCTCACCGCGGATGCTCTTCCGAAACAGGTGGGTGAAAAGGGTGTTTTTCTGCTATTATTGATTCCGCACCTCTTAGGTTTACTCAGAAGAACTAATTTCGAGCTGTATGATGGCTATCAAGAATTTGCTAACTTACTGGATCTATCCATTTGTGGAGGCTACTAGTGAGATTCAGGGTACGCACTCTCGAAACAATCGGATAATTGGATTGGTTGTTCATCTATAATGGTAGGAACTCAAGGTCCTGTCCTTAGTCATATAGTCAGGTCCCTGTCACATGAGGCTATCGCCAGACGAAATCGACTCGGAAACGTGTTTCGCACTGTCTCATCCATATTTCCTCGCATTGATGCACTTTTGGGCATGGGCAAGCCATCGAATGCGCATATGATTACTATGTCGGATTCCATAGTCATCATGGCTGCTTATATCTCTATTGGCCCATTCTTTGTGGTTGAGCCGGGTACCGTGCAGTCGAAGGCGAAAGACAAAGTCAGGGAAAAGGTAATCTTAGGTGTTCAGAACGTTCTCGGCGGTGAGGCAGGTTTCCGAGCGCTTCGGCTTTCAGCGCTTTCCGTGATCAGAACCGTAAGGCCATCGCTTAGATTCTTGGTGAGTTTACTGAGTATATGGAAAATAGATCTTTGAAGGTGCCCCTGGGCAAAGAGATTGGATCGTGGAAGAGATACTAACTTCCCTGCTGAAGTTGCCCGATATAAATCGCAAGGCCGGGCAGTTCAAGTTCGTTTATACAAAGTCCATGATACTGCTGGCACTAATTATCTGATAGGCTTCGTGATGGGCAATCGATACATACCATTTCGGCTTTGCTGCTCCAACTGATACAAACATCTGCATGCGATGTGGGGGTTCATGCACGTCGAATTCGGTCGGAAAGAAGGAAACTCATGGCCCAGCTTGGCGGTGTCACGCAAAAGATGCCCCCTAGTTACTGGGCGGAGGTTGAAGAGGAGGTAATTGGATTCTGCGATGTGCTAACAACTTCAACTCATGATTTAAACAGGAGCTCAAACTATCCCGGTCAGCCTTGGACTCTCCATCTAAGGTTGCAAAGACTGTGGTGTTGTATCTCAAACAGCGGTGCGCTTTTCCAACTTCGAGAGTTTTCAATGTTACAATTATGTGGTGATCTAGAGCTGGGAGCAGCAAGGCTAGCAAGAACTCTAACGAAGCAGATTATCGGGCAATCTTGGACAACCTAATCTCGGATATATTGCGGGTTTTGCATTGGTCCGAATGGCCAGGTGCATCATTACTGCTAATGGTGTTCTGCAGAGTTTTTGTGAGCGGGAATTGGAGGCTTAATCACCCGTCTTACCGTTGGCGTGCTCACAAATATTCCAGACTCAAATACTTGAGGACGTCAAATCATCCGCTGGTGCCGACTTGAGCAGCCTTAAGTCCATCGCCTTGGACAACCTTGGACAGATTGCGGCACGCCTTCGCGAGTCGCAACTGCGAGTGGCCCGTACACCTGCGGGTCGCGGTGAAGGAAAATATGATTTGGACAACGTATGATCGAAAACTGTTGGATTGAGGAGTTCATACTAATGTTTGGTGCAGCTCATCCGTGACTCAAATGTTTCAGGTTTAGAGACACTTATATCAGCTCACGAAGAAATATTGTCAGTTCTTACTGGCCTATCAACGAAGGAGGATGCTGGGTTATTCGAGGTTCGTTCATCAGCAGTGTTGAGGATGCGACCTAACATTTGGCATTGACAGAGTGCTCGCGTACTGAGCACCACGATCTGGTTTTCCGAGCTAGGGAATGCATTTCAGCGTTGTGACAGTATTATCAGCCAAATGGCCAATGAAGGCAAAGAAGCGGCGTCTGAGAAGGCTCAGTTTCAAGCATTCGCCGACCGCATCAAAAGGACGTTGCAGCATTGTTGGGACGAGCCGAACGTTGACGTTTTTGGTCCCACGTGCGTATCTTCGCAATGTCTTGCTCTAATTGGCTAATCTAGGATATCGTAGGCCAGAGCTTGCCGCCACAGACGTACTAACAGAACGCGTCGGAACCAGTCAGCTACTGCGTAATGGCTTTCATCTGATGCTAGGGGCCATTCTTGCATCCTTGGATGCGCCAGCTGTTTTCATGAGGACGAAAGCTTTGCGGGCCCTGGGCCAGATCGTTGTCGTAGACAACCAGGTTCTGCGTGATGTGAGTGCGATCTTCTCTGACGGTTTGCACCTACTCATTCGGGTCTAGTCTAATGTAAAAAGAGCTATCGAGAACCACTTACGTGATAGCTCGTCAGCTGTCCGAGAGGCTGCCGTCGAACTGATTGGGAAATACCTGACTACCGTCCCCGAGGTTGCAAGTGAATACTTTAGCCAGATCTTAGAGAGGATAGCGGTAACCGAATTTTCAAAAGGCGTTTGTATGGATGCTCATCCTTGCTTAGGATACTGGACTGGGAGTACGCAAGAGGGTTATCAAGCTTCTCAGAAATATGTATTTTGTTGAGGCATCACTTGAACGGCGTATCAATATCTGCTACCGTCTAATAATGCGTGCTCTGGATGAAGATGAGACTGTTAAAGTGCGTATGTTACTAAAATTATGACCGGGACTAACGATGTCAAAGGATCTTTCCATAAAAACCATTTCCGAGCTATGGTTCGGCGGTCAGGAAGTGTTGAACGCACCAAGCGGAGGGAATAGTTCTATCTATAGCTTAAATACGAAAGTTACAGTTGTCATGAGTGTTTGCACTAAGTTTTCCTCCGGCCTCCACTCTCCATTGGAAATAATTTTGACCCAGGTACTTCTTATCACTTTATTACAGGAAGGGGTCTCTCTTTCTCTAAGTCATTTTTCAGCTCACAAAGGATGCCGAAGGGACTAGCGAGTCCCCTGTTCTTTCTCAATTTAGTCAGATTTGCGATCTGCTCATAGACGCTCTGGTCGATGCTAACCTGATACCAGGATTTGTAAGTCTAGTCAACTCAGCGTTTGACGATCTAATCTCGCTTTTAGAGCATAGCCAACTGTATTCGGACACTATTTGTTTTTACTTCCGCATATCCTCGAGTTATCTCAAGTGCCAAGGCACAAATATTGATCCCCTATCTGAAAAACCCTTCCAATGTGAGTTGTTGGTTCTCAGCTTTGCCCAATTCTCAGCGTTGGTTTACAGCCCGAAGAATTGGCTATTTCGGACTACATTCTCAAGATTTTCCGTCTATCCATTCCGACATTCCCAAAGACCGCTATAAAGTTCGGGCAAGAGCTTCAGCCGATTCTCCAGCCTATCATAAAAGGGTCTTCAGGAGGACTGGCAGTTCGTAGCTTCCGGTTGCTGGAGATCTGCATCATCTGAGCCCCCTTGCGCAGACGCTGCAAGAGGCAGTTGCTTGCCATTGTGCGACTGTCAAATTCCTAACGAACGACTATCGACAGCTTGTCTTCCTATTAAAGAGTTGCAATGGTGAGTGGAGCTCAATTTTTCACCTGTTCCTCTGACCCCGAACTTGACACTGGCTTAGAAAAGGTGAAATCATTGCAATCTCAAGCCGCCAATACATCCCTTCCAGAAACGGTTTTTCGGCATGTCACCTACTTTGCACATATCTTGTCGTCTCTTTGCGAGAACGTCAACTTCGAAGAACTAAGACAATCTGGTCAGGAATGGCTTAACGCAACTGGATTTTGGCTTACGCGTTGTATACATAGGTTTTGTACGAGAGTTGGACTTGATATCAAAGGTGGAAGTACTCCCAATTATCCCCCATGCATGCTTACATGGGACGCTTTTAGAACTCGATTCCTGAGCATGTCTATATGTCACTACTCAGCCTGTATGAGTCGATCAAGGATGAGAGTACACGAAGTCGTCTCATGAACTGCTTTGGTGAGCAATTGTATCGTTCCACTCAAGTTAAATGCTGACCCAACGGCACCAGGATCTCTATTCAGAAGCAATCCTAGCCTCATGACAAGCGAAGAATCAGCTTCACTCATGGAGACCGTGTTCTCCTCCTCTGACCTTGAAGCGCGATGCCGCTTGCTGAAAACTATCCACAGCTTCCTCCTGTCAGAATCCGCGAAGTTCGAGAGTGAATTGAAAGGTTCTTATCAAGGTTATGCGGGAAATACGGCTAACTGCCCAAATCAATAGCAAACTCGGAGGGCAACAATTCGAATGTCAAAATGGAAGAATTAGTGGGCAACACTGCTGGCTTTGCTGAAGGAAGGTATGAAGCTGCTTATCGTGCTAATCACGGTTTGCCTTTATTGTTGACCTACGTTGCTCTTACCTTCATTAGCGTAAGCTCAGCCGTTGTTCAGCGTTATCTTACCCATGTTCTGGAAGCTGCCATGACGATTCATGCGGCCCTGCAAAACATAGCAATTGATATCCTTGGCTTCGTAGTGCGTCAAGGTCTTGCTCATCCAATACAAGTAGGTAAAAAGCATAGCGAGACTGCAAAATCTTATTATTCCGTTGCCCAGTGCATCCCAACAATCATCGCTCTTGAGACCAGCCCTTCGAGTAGTTTGAGTAGCCGTGCACTTGCATATCACAAGGTCCTTTATGACAAGCACGCCACAATGATAAATACACGGTTTATGGATTGCGCTAAAAAGACCTTTGAGTACCAGACTCGATTGCTGGGCTCAAAATTGTCGGAGGCCGACTCAACTGAGAGCGTTGATTACCTGCATGGTACGCCCTTCAACTCAATTCGTGGTTAACTTGAAGAATTTAACAGTCCGTTCTGATTCGGCAGGGCTGCGAGCTGATCCTGTACCGACGGCTCTCTTTCGTCCGTGGTATACTCTAGTACGTGAGAAGCGCACGACTAGAGTGGAGTGGTTGAAGTCTTTGGTCAAATCAATTGATGTCGACATCGAAATCGGAAGCGGCTACATGTCTCAAGTTTGTCTCTGTTGACAGATCCGAGGATCGACAACCTGATAACCTCAGTCTTGTTTAGACAGCCTTCGATTTTCTTCGCTACATGATCGAGAATTTTTCGGCTCTAGACTATAAGACCCAGGAGGAACTGTTACTGGTCATTCGACACACTACCGTGGTGCTGTCCGTGACTGGTACGCAAGTTGTGGATGGATTTGTTCGAAAACGGCGTGGTGCCCACCAAGCATCTGATGGTGCTCCTGTGAGCGGAATTGCAACTATTCTCCATCTTCTTGACTTCTAATCCACCAACGTTGCTTTCAGGTCACCGTTATCGAATCATCTGGTGAGTGACAACCTCGCAACTAGTATTCAGAAATACTTAGTCACCATATCAGACAACTCGGTGGTTGATGAGATTCCCCTACAACCCGAATTTTCCCGCACCGCTGCCAGCATCATGATGCTGCTTGTGCTCAAAGCATACCTCAAGGAGTTGTATGGTTTATCGGAGGAGTACGTAATCGGATCGCTTTTCAGTGGTGCCTAAACATCTGCTAATATCAACTCATTTATAATGCAGGAAGTGCACAAAATGGTCCTCAGGCAAGAAGAGTGCGATCGGCGATAAACCCGCAATTCGACGTCATGAAAATCCAATATCCTGGGAGAAAATACCATGCGCACTCAAGTCTGCAATGACCCACGATGATGCTGAGCATCAGTATTCGCGCGTGAGTATCATAGCCACTTGAACAGAACATCTTGGATAATTGCGGCATGTGGCAGCTTCTCGAGATGTGGGATCAAGAAGGCGTCTCCCCTGAACCCTTGGAAGACATTGACTAGCGATCAGCGCGGTTTGTTGTTATCCTACCGTATGAATGCTTTTTATTCCTACTTTGTAGACATACCTACCTTTATGCTGCCATACCCTGTTATTATGTACCCAGCCATGTACCCTCCTACCAATCGTTGTAATACATGCCCGCAACTGATATGTTGGAATTATGCAATAACAGCCCCGATTTTCAATTCGCCGGGCCGGCGGCAATTTCCTATGAGTTTAAGCGCTTGCACAGGTTGACGAATGCACAGCAGCTGCGCCCGTCTTTGTAGTACACTGCTGTCTGTCTAATATTACGAAGTCATAGAGGCTGGAGCCCTGCCTGACACTGTTGCTAACATTGGGCCTTTTATGGCTTGGCCCTCGGCAGTAACAATGGTGGTGTCCCAGGTGCAATTCTGACCTCTGTTGTCCAGCGTTAGTATATGCGTCTTTCCGTGCCCAGAATAGCAAGTCCCAACTCTTTTCCAGCTCCTCCAAATCTTCATCCTTCAGCCGGGCCAGACCAGACCTTCGCATTCCCCGAAGCACAACCCCCGCCACCAGTTCTAAATTGCAACACGGCCCTCGAAGATCTGGTACGGGAAATACGAAGTTATGAAGAACTCCTGTTAGGGGTAAGGCCTGATGGGCTTTGATTTCGTAGTAAGGCCCGAGTGCTAACTAGTACCAGTTCGCTGGATCTAGTGCAGTGGACAATCTGATCCTTCGTCTGCACGCTCTGGGATTCTCTGCGCGAGGGCTTCGCGACAGGATTGATAAGCCTTTCGATGCGGGTGCAGATCAATTCCCCTCTTCTCCATGGATGGTTGAGAGGCATCTCCAAGACTTGTCGCAGTGAGTGCGCATTTTCGTCCAGAAAGTTGCTAATTTCATACTGTGAGCTCAGGGTGGTTCAGAAGGAGCATTCTAATGCTTTGTCATTGTTGAGTTTCTCCGTGCGTCGTCAGGAGCCTGAAGCGTCCGGAGGCGGGACAGAGGTAAATAGGTGTCAAACCCGGAACATCATCGGAGTGGACTGAGAATCGCTTGCAGCTATCACATTCCCTCAATAAGCCAAGCTTTAATATGGCTGAATCCACCGATGCCTTTGCTTCATATCTGCAAACCCAAGGGTTATTATTGAAGAGATGGTTGTCCACGGTACTCGGTGAGGCCGAAGATCTCTCTCTGGAGCTTCGAGATGAAGAAATCGTGGTTCTGTTAAATGTGGAGGCGTTTCACTCCCTTGTAAAGGATGAAATCACAATGCTTTCGACCTCCGACCCGTCGAAATCCGCATACCGTTACAACTCCGCTTTCTCTCATTACGTGCAGCTTGTTCTGCCTCTATCCCCTGAAAGAGATATTATGATTTCAAGGGGCTGTATCGTGTTGTCAAAAGCTCTACGTCGACTTGGTCTTGTGGAGGACTCATTTGAGGCGGCGAATAACGGTGTCACCCTAATTCTTGGAGACGTTTGGGATTGGCATGGTACGTAAATGCGCCCTTCATATTTTACTTGAGTTGGCCTTGTTGACGGATGGCTCTGTTTCTTGGACCACTCAATTGGGAACATTCAGCAATGCCCCCCGCTCACAAAACCACTCTTTCTTTGCCCATATCACTACTTCTCGCCGAATTACTCGGGTCCGCCTGCCATAGCCTCATAATGCTGTCAGATATCCTGGATAACACACTCTCACCCCATCGTGAAACACTCCTCTCCATTGCATTCCACAGAGCAAAGTTGGCAGTCCAGTTGCGACGTCAGGATGTAACTCATCGCATCGATAAATCCCAACATAGAGATCCTTTCGATTCGGTTAGTTTTGGTACTGGTAGCGCTAGACTGGCTCTGCTGGATTCACTGGTTTCGTTGTCTCGCACTGTCTCGTCCCCGAATTCGGACTGGGAGGGTGACATGCTGACAACCGCTGAACGATTGGGGAGGAGGGAGATTTTAGGCACCGTCATTGATGAGCTCCGATCACTCCAAGAACATGCACATCCGCAACTGCAATCTAGGGCAACTGAACTGTTGGTTTCCGCTCTCATTGTCAAGTCGTTTGTTAGCTCCAGTCTGGCTATCGATGTTAATTCGGGAATCGCGTTCGGAAGCATCAACGATGCGCGACTGACGTTGACGAGCCTCATAGACGAGAAGTTTGTTTTGCGCTCTACCCCTCGTCCTTTGGCACTGTTCGGAGTAGGGGATATACGAGATTTATACCCGTCCATGCTGCTCATGATTGCCACTTTGGCGTGGTCAAACACTAATGTTCCTACTGCACTCCAAGCCGCTTCTGATGCTGTAGAATGGCACGTCAATAGAGTGAAAGCCATCCAAAGAGTCAGGAACTTGACGAATCCGGAAGTCCAATCATGGGCCTCTCCCCATTACCGAATTATGGTCAAAGTTGCTCTTGATGATGCAATTTCCGCCTTCGAGACGAACGCCTCATATCTTCGGGAGATAGACAGAAAGGAAGACGCTTTTGCAATACAACAGCAAGAGGTAAAGCTGCTTCAAGAGGTGGTCGATTTTATCAAGAGATTTGGCGCTGATGATTCGACGGACCCACCCTACTACCGAACGTGCAGTCTCAAAAGTATTCAGGCGGCCTTGGCAAATGCATTCACCCAGATCGCGACAAGTGCAGCTGAAGATAAACGTATGGAATTGGCCCTGGAGTACGGCATCTCTGCCGTCCATGAATACCGCGAACTCCTCTCAGTGGAAGCGAGGGGCACACCTGGCAACGAATCCCAACAAATCCCTCCTAATGAGAAAAAGATTCGTGAAGGTTTCGCAACTGCACTATCCGGGGTTGCCATTGATGCTTCATCGGTCGAAGAATGGGATATCGCTATCGAGGCCGACGAAGAATCAGTGAAGCAATACCGTATCCTTGCGGGATTTGATCCTGTTACCTATGCCTCGGGAGTAGGCAATTCTTTGCGGAGCCTGGCTCAACACCTGTATCGTGGAGGCAGAAAGGCAGAGGCTGTGGAGGTTGGCTCACAGGCTGTGGAAGCCGCAAGAATATTAATCAAAACAAACCCCCTTGACTCCCATCGCACCGATCTGGCCGTTGCACTATCTGACTTTGCGGTTTATTCCGCTTCCATGGAGCAGTATGACGTAGCGATTGCGGCCGACAGAGAGGTCCTGGACATTAGGAACACCATTACCAGCCAAACTGGTTCCTTTGGCAATGACGAGTTTGACATAACTCCAACCTTGCAGAATCTCGCTGACCACCTTACAGCTTCCGGTCAGCATGATGAGGCTCTAGTGGCTGGTCTTGAATTCGTGGATGCGACTAAAACTGCAATGGAAGCAGGGAAGAAGATTGCATCATCATACGGATATGCACTGTATAAGCTATCCCTTCTTTTCGTGGCCCTTCGGGACTGGGACAAAGCAATTGAAGCGGATGAAAATGGCATCAAGTTCTTCGAGCAACTCAGACTGGGTGAACCATCCTCCTACGACACCGATTACATACGAGCCCTCCGTTCACGTGCAAAGCATCTCCGCGATGCTGGTCGGCTAGACGAGTCGCTCCTAGAAAGCGAAAAGGTCTTAAAAGTAGCTGAAGATGCTTTTCAGCGGAACCCTACTCATCGGATTGATGTGGCAATTGCTCTGTCGGATTTAGCAGGGATTTACTCGCAAATGAATGAGTGGGAGGAGTCCCTCCCGTTCGAAGACCGATCCCTGGAGCATTACCGCATTCTTGCTCAGGACGCGCCAGATGACCATGATTCGGAGGTTATCAGAGTCCTGCAGAACAGAGCGGTTGCACTACAGAACGCTGGTCGACTTGATGACGCCTTGGAAGCCGGACAAGCCGTGATCGATGCATCCCGTGAAGCGTACAAGAAGCGACCAGAGATGCATCGATCAGATCTGGCATTATCCTTGTTCAACTATGGCGTTTATACAGCCGCAAAAAAAGACTGGGACGCGTGCATCATTGCGGATGAGGAGTCAGTAGGATTTTACCGCCTCCTCTTCAAGGAAAACCCCAAGATTCGAATCAGGGAGCTGCTTCGGGGAATGCGGAATCGAACAGTTCACTGCGCAAATGCAGAGAGGCATGAGATAGCTCTTGCATCAAGTCGCGAATGGGTTGACACCGCCAGGAAGGCGGTCGAAACAATGGGCCCAACGTATTTATCGGATCTAGCTTCTGCGCTGGTGAACTTTGCGGGCCAGGTGGATCGCTTGCAAAAATGGGATGAATCTATCACTGCAACCCAGGAAGCTCTGTCCATCTACACCCAACTAGTAGACGAGGACCCTTCTTCGTATTCAAGCAATGTGTTTTACCAAAAGCGGAATTTGGGGGCCAGGTTATTCAGAGCATTCAAGTATCAGGAGGCGGTTGAAATAGGAGGCGAAGTTCTGACTCAGGCGAGAAAACGTCTGACCGAAAAGGAATCAACTGGAAAGGACTCGGAACCAGAATTGGGGAAACCGGTGATGGACTTGGTATTCGAGAGAAGAGACCTCGCTCTTGCGTTGTATGACCTCGCTCTTTACCATAGCGCTCTCAAGAAATGGGGCACATCCATATCCCTTCACAAGGAATCACTGAATATTTACAGGGGACTTCAGGAGGAGGCTGCACCTGGCACGTACGACGAGGACATTCTCCGAGGCCTCCAAGATTGTGCCGGTGATTGTTACGACTCGAAGCAGCTCGACGAAGCGATGGAGATGGGAAAGGAAGCCGTCAAATATGCAGAACTGATTGCGGATGCTGCTATGAAGGACGAAAACGGCAAGATATCCCAGTTAGTCAGAGGCGATCTTGCCCGTGCACTGGCAAACTCTGGGGTTTATATGTTGCATCGAAAGATTTGGGACCAAAGTCTTCCTATCCAGGAGCGAGCTCTCGAGATGTACCGCGCTTTATACGCGGAAAGGGGACTAGAACGGTACGATTGGCAGCTTGTCTGTGTCTTGTGTAACGTGGCGGAGCATCGATTGCGGGCGGGGATAATGGAAGCTGGGTTGGAGATCGGTAGGGAGGCTTTGGATTTCTGCAAAATTGTTGTGGAAGGCGTTCCATTAGATGATCTCTCGACGATCCCAAAGATTACTCGAGATAACATGGGCAAATCTCTACGCGAAATTGCGAAATACCTTAGGGAGGAAACGGAGATGAAGGCGCTGGCCGAGGAATACACCTCTGTTGCGGACCAATTCGGTCCCCCTCCCCCAGATGATCCTCTGGGGAAGAAAGTGGAGCCAAACGGTCAGGTCGCAGAGACAGAACTACGGACAGCGAACTAGGGTGCAAATAAAGAGTGCCTCCGATTGACTAGTATCGAGCATGAGGCGTGCCATGATACACCAACACACCCTGTTGCTGCAATTTATTGATTTACATGGACAATATAATCTAGGGACAATGTTGTACTTTCCTATACTTCGGAGGTCCGTGCACTTGAATGGTGCCAATTCAATCGGATAACGGAGTCTTCCGTCGTATTCAGCCAATACAGTATCGCAGTTCTGCGGAACGCGATGGCACCAGACCCCCGTGTTAGTGACCAGGAACTAGCTGCTATTAATGCCGCAGCCGTTACTCGAAAGTACAGGGCCGATCCCAGAATAGGTAGGCCATCCAGCCTGTGCTTAGGGCCAACGCTGAATGTACCCTTCATCGACCGAAAGACTATCGAACTGTGTCTGCTATCAACGGGTACGTCCATCATTCTGTGGGATCCCAGGGATGACCACAATAGCTTTCCCAATTCAGGCCTCTCGTTGTGCTGGACAATGTCAAGGTGCGACACCGACGTGAACCCATCGTTGCTCCAGGTAGTCAAATCGTGTGATCAATATTACCCTCTGCACAGTTCCCTTCCTACAATGAAATCGTCCAATTAACGCTTCCCGATGGCACCAAGCGTGGCGGACAAGTTCTGGAAGTATCCGGGAAGAAGGCAATTGTTCAGGTGTTTGAGGGAACTTCAGGGGTTGACGTGAAGGCCACACATGTCGAGTTCACGGGTAGCAGCATGAAGCTTCCAGTGTCGGAAGATATGTTAGGGAGGATATTCAATGGTTCCGGCGTCCCAATGGACAAGGGGCCCAAGGTGTTCGCTGAAGACTATCTCGATATCAATGGTAACTGGATACACCTCGCCTTTGGGGATCCAGGATCCACTTATTGTGTGATATCGCTTTCTAGGATCACCCATAAATCCTTATTCACGCATCTATCCCGAGGAGATGATTCAAACTGGTATTTCCACGATCGATACCATGAACTCCATTGCTCGCGGCCAAAAAATCCCCATTTTCTCCGCTGCTGGTCTGCCGCATAATGAGGTGAGATTGAAGGTGGCCCAGTTGACTAAATGCTGCATCAGTTACGTTTTTCCAGATTGCAGCACAAATTTGCCGCCAGGCAGGTCTAGTGAAACGCCCCACGAAAGACGTTCATGATGGACACGAGGATAACTTCTCGATCGTCTTCGCTGCTATGGGTGTGAACATGGAAACAGCTCGATTCTTCAAATCGGACTTCGAAGAGAACGGAAGTTTGGATCGTGTTACGCTATTCTTGAACCATGCTAATGATCCAACTATCGAGCGTATCATCACCCCACGTCTAGCGCTAACAACCGCCGAATACTACGCCTACCAACTAGAGAAACATGTCTTGGTTATTCTTACAGATATGAGTTCGTATGCCGACGCCTTGCGTGAAGTATGTTAATACTCTTTTCCTTTCCTTTTATTGAGGTGACATTGTGCGGGGCGGGTTATTGAACGGTTATAGGTATCCGCTGCTCGGGAAGAAGTCCCTGGACGACGTGGTTATCCAGGTATAGCGCACTCATGAGTTCACCCCGAGAATTCGCTGACGCCGGAACAGGATACATGTACACTGATCTCTCAACAATCTATGAGCGAGCTGGGCGTGTGGAGGGTCGAAATGGCTCTATTACGCAGATCCCAATTCTTACTATGCCTAACGACGGTTCGCATTACTCCATCGTATAACTTCAGAACAGCTGTTTTCCCTCTCATGATCTTCTCCGCAGATATCACCCACCCAATCCCAGATCTGACAGGTTACATCACAGAAGGCCAAATTATTGTGGACCGAAATCTTCACAATCGACAGATTTACCCTCCTATCAACGTCCTACCATCACTCTCTCGTTTAATGAAGAGCGCCATTGGCGAAGAGTTGACAAGGAAGGATCACGGCGATGTCAGCAACCAAATGGTGAGATTTGAGAGGATTGTGTGTGAAAGTTACTGGGACTTACCCCCTCCCACAGTATGCCAAGTACGCGATTGGGCGGGATGCAGCTGCCATGAAGGCCGTTGTCGGTGAGGAAGCTCTCTCGGCGGAAGATAAACTTGCATTAGAGTTCCTGGACCGATTTGAGCATGAATTTGTTTCACAAGGTAATTATCCCTGCTTCTTAACCGCCTTGCCTCACCACGACGTCCCTTACTTCGCACATCAGGTGCCTACGAGTCACGTACTATCTTTGAGTCTCTAGATATGGCCTGGTCTTTACTTCGGGTCTTCCCGAAGGAGCTGCTCAACCGAATAAGCCCAAAGGTTATTGAAGAGTTCTACCATCGCAAACCAACGAAATCCAAAGCTGACGGAGGTGAGGCAAAGAAGGAAGATAAGTTGATCGATGACAGCGCCTGAAAAATATACTTTATACATTCATAAAACATTCACAACGGTTTGAAGGCGCCCCGCGTGATCGTGATGTGAATTCCTCCTTAGCTTGGTGATAGGGTGTAAGATTAATGATTATGCAGAAGAAAGCGAGAGTGGTTGGTTTCAAAGGAAGTGCAAAGAAATGCAGTAACCCACAATTTTCAATTAGCTGAGTATGGCAGTACAATAGGTCCGCGAATGCCCGATCCGATAAGGAAAGACACTCAGCATGTTGTAATGCCATGAGAACAATGACGACCAAAGCTACTGAAGATAGAAGCAAGCAAGAGATGCGAGCTAGAATCCCGATCGATGGAATCCGTCTCGGTGGTACTATGCAGCGTTGCATACCGTAAGTCCGCCACCCAGGTGATTGTCCATTGATAGTCCATGCAGAAGGGAAGGCGCAGAGTCAGGTCGGCAGCCCGTACTAAGGAAGAAACTGAAGATGACATAATCGCTTTGTTGGAAGCGCCTGGAGCACCAAATACGATCACGGAGACGAAACTGACTCAGTTGTCGATCGCTTACGAACTGGTGGGCGACAGTGCTGCTGCGCTGCGGCCCTTCTTATCTGGTGCAGCGGTCCGGACATAAAGGTTAGGAGCTAGTAGACTGGGATTGGAAACCTTTAATCACAAGATCGATTTCGCAGCTGGATAGAAATAATGGTTTGATCCCTGCGTTTTCTGAGCACTTCCCCACACTTCAGGGAGCATCAAGGCACAGCAGTGAGGCAAATACGCTGGAGACTTGAAGCGACAGTCGTTTCGGTTTCGTGCGCTTCGCTTTTTATCATTCCAAACGGACATCAAATGTGTCGCACCACGGCCTAAAAGGTTGAAGGCATTTTTATGTTGAGGTCCTTTCGATCGAGCCTCTGTACACGAAGAATGAAACCAATCCTGCAATAACATTATAAAAACTTCCAACATGAATGCATGCCCCCATGTGTCATACCATCAGAGTATCAAGTGAAGAAAGGGATTCCTCCAAAGTCTTAAAGGACTCGGCTGGTATCAACGAGAATTGGGGCTTTCATCTGCCCCTGCACCAGCCATCGAGTCCCGTCCTCACTGGTTTGGGGACGGCGAAGCGTGTCTTTGATCGACACTCGATCGCCATACCAGGCTTCTTGAGTGCCGACAGAACTTTCATTTTCTACGACAGGACCGTACTGGAGTGGCAAGGTGAGTTCGACTTTTCCATTAAACCATATTTCTCTATAAAAAACCAATGGGGCCTTTCCTATCGCAGAGGAATATACCTCTCTGCGTGTGAATGGTGCTTTCCCTCCCATGCTGGGCGAGAGGTCATAATAGGGACATTTTAGCCAAGATTCATCCGGGTTTGAGTTTTCCAAGTCTGGCCCGAGATTTCGTACATCAGTTATGTTCCCCAAAGGAGTGGCATATTCAGGGAGCATAGGGCTAGGGATGTGATGTGAGCATGGGGGTGCAACACCGATATTAGGAATCCAGGTTTCCGGATCTAGTACGTGATATCGGGTGATCAACTCGCGTGAATCTGTTGACCATACGAAAGCGTAGTTCCCACCGCAAGCGCCGACGTATCGATTTTCAGGCGAGAAACCAAGCATGTGACGTAGAGGAGTGGAAGGAGCAGGAAGAGGAGTGGAAGGAGCGGGGAGAGTGGAAGGAGGCGAGAGAAGCCCAATGGACGAATCATCCGAAACATACAAGAGTGCCGTGTGCTCATGCCAATCCCCGTCCAAATTTCGCGGGACTCGTAAAACCAAGGCACCACTGTTCGACACTGCCGTGATAGCAGGATAGGGGCCACTGGGGAAGGTACCAAGCTTTACCGGTTGCGTGCTGGGGCTGAAGATGGTAATATTTCCACTACTGTCTTCAGTTGCAATCTGGCGATTGCCATTGCAGAATTCAACCCAAACAGGATGATTGGAGGGACTGCATTGGAAACGAGATATCGTCCTCTGGTGGTCAATGTCGGCAACCTCGATGGTACCACTGCCAAATCCAAGAGCAGCGGAGCGACCATCTCGAGAGAGCGTCGCACAAGTCACAATACCTTTATGAATATCGCGGTTGGCGAATTCGGCTTCATAATCAGGCACTTCTCTGTCCCATCTCTCAACCTTCTTTGGCAATTCACTCAGCTCCGCTTCCATGGTCTTCCTAACTCCAAGTGTATCCTCGTCTAATGGAATAAAGTGACCGGAAAACACGCCGGAGATACTGAAGACCCGGATGGGATCCGACAGATGCCCATACAGTTCATAAAAGGGTGACGACGATGGAGTAAGTGGAAGACAAGATCGGTAAAGTTGCCAAGGGCGGTCTCTGGATACGTGACCGTGGAAAAGAGTCCTTAAAGCTTCCCCCAGGATTGGAAAATGATCCTGTAGAGCATTGGTAATGTCACGACTCGATTCACCAAATTCAAAGTGATTTAGACTTACAACCAATTCATCCTGCACATATACCGCCCTTGTAGGTACCATCACAATGTATGAGAGCAAGTTTCGTGTAAGCAAACGGTTGAACTCTCTCTGTAATTCATTGGACTCGTCGGAAAGAAGTGCTGAGGGGTCCAAGTGAAGGAATAACCTATTGAACGCATAATTGACATGTATGGGCCACTGCTTAGTGACAAAACTCTTCCACTTCTTTTCATCTCCCAAAGGATGTTCGATGGGGATGTCGAGCCCATTTCGCTCGCTGATACCATTTATGAATCGAAGGAGTGGTAATCCGAGAAAATATTTGTCCCCGTGAATGAAGAAGACTTTATCACTTCCCTCGCCAATCGGATCACCTGTAACAAATTCCCTTGCAGTCGCGTGGTAGAATTTGATATCCTCTGCATTGTCCGAGGGAAGATCGACCATTGAGCTGATGGGTTCCAAGGTTGCACGAACCTCATCCTCAGAGATCTCCAGTATTTGTGACATCCCATGCACACTAAACGCCACGGGTGCCGTAACCATGGTGCCAATCACCGCATGATAATTCTTGGCCACTTCTGGATGGATCCTGGAGCGGTCTGGCATGTAAGCTCGATGGAGTATACGCAAATACTCAGAGTTGAGGTCCGCTGGTGCATGGATAAGATTGCATAAGTGTCGGAACTCCGATTGCAGTGTGCGGCCATGTCGAGTCTGGAGTGCGACGTCGCGGACTCGGATCGAAGCCATGATGGGTAATCCGCGGCAAGCAAAAGCAAAAGCGTCCAGATCTTCACTTGTTGGTTTCCACGTTGATTTCTTGATACAATCCCGAAGCCCTTCCTCTACCATGAGCCGGATTGTGTGGAAAGTTTCATCCTTTGAGATCTTATCAACGTCTTCGCATGGGATGATGAGACCCTGATCCCGGGCTTCATCCCAAGCTGTAACAACCTGTGTCTCAGGTCGACAACTGACCAATGCGGCAAAAGCAGAGGGTAGCTTATGAAGCAGAACTACGAGCTTCATCAAGGATTCGAGCGTCCCCGGGTCCCCACATTCATCTAATCCATCTAGAATAATAATGAAGCGGTCTTTCTCTGAAGACAATATATCCCCAAGTTGACGTATAGGGTTGATTATCCAAGCCTGCATCTGTTTTTCCAGAACAGGACCCTGAACCTTCTTCAAAGATTGCGGATGCCGGAGTTCCTTTATAAGTAGGCTCTTGTATTCCGGGCTGAACTCCGCAAGCTGGAGAGCAAGGGTCGATGGAAAGCGTTCAATGGAATCGAGGCCAGTTCCCTGCTGATTCTTATCCCAGAAGAAAGATGCTGCCAAGCAACCTTGGTTGTCAAGAGTGGAGGCCACGCTCAGAGACACCGCAGTTTTCCCAGTTCCCGGCGAGCCACGCAACCAGACAAATCGGTTCTTGGGATCCTTCAGATGATCAAGGATTGAGCTGCGAATTTTATCGCGTGTTGTTTCAAGACATTCTGACTTGCTTTTTACTGAGAAATATTCGGCGTCCGCCTTTGCAAGCTTCGAGAGTTCATCTGAAGAATATTACTGAGTGGAAGAAATCTAGGATTAGCAACCGGACAAGACGGACAATCTACCGATGTCCGGATTGTGCTAAGGAGATTTAAAGTGGTTGCCACTGTCTGCCGCCGACGTTTTAGTTAGTCAAGGTTTAAAAGTATGATATATCTCAACGAACCGCGAAACGAGAGACAGCATTAGCAACACAAGTCTTAACATCGGCTATTTTTTGGGTTATCTCGGTCGCTGAGATCACTCTCTTTCCCACTTTTTGACTTTCGAGGGATTTAATCCGTCTAACTTGCTCTTCCAGATCACTATCGGCAAGGTTTGAAGTCAAACGGACAGTCGAGAGACTGCATGCACGTACGAGTGAAATTCTTTGATCAGTGAAACAACTTCAGGTGGGATCTCACCAGCTTGACTCGTCCACATTTGAAGTGGCTGCAAGATGGTGGTGTAGGCCCTTTTGACCTCGTCGTTCAATCCTTTGAGATTTTCATCATTTCCGTCGACTGTCTGCACACATCACGAATGGCTAAGATTTGGTATACTTATCAACACAGACTAGAACATTCGCAAACCTCATAGAGCTGTAGCCATGTCAGAAGTAGATTGGGGATCGCGTCGAGATTCGGAACCGGAGAAAATCGAAGAGCGGAGACGGCACTTTGGAGAATCAGCCTCGTGGCGCCAATGATCGTTTTCTTTCGACCGGTATCCGAGCTGGACAGCGGCGCGGCTGCGAGCTCTGAGAGGGGGGGTACGTTGATACCCTTGTGTCTCAGTTGCGCATGGACGCTTGTACTGTCGGTGTTGTGATCGGTGTTGAGTGTTGCACGCTGATCATTAACATCCTGCTCAGGGGGTGGAACGGGCGTGCTCGATTTGCCACGATTGGGACTTAGCTTTCTATGGATGCTTCCAATCGCACGGGAGAAGAAAGATCGCGGTTTCTTCGAATCACCACAATCTTCACACAGTTCGGTCTGGGCGGTCGCCCGAGGCTGGGAATAAGATCCCATCAACCGTCTGCGTTGGTTGTGGCGGGTGATGTCACTCTCCTGGGATATCTGGGACCCAGTGATTTGGATTTGGGGGATGTGGGGTGGGGAGGATGAGAAAAGCGACGGTTGCGGATGGCTGCACGATGTTCCAGGGCGTTGCAAGGAGTCCGAAGGATTTTGTACGCTAGACATCGTGCAGGTGTGGATAGCAGTCAACAGAGGTATGAAAGAGTAAGAGTTGCTGGTGGATGGAGGATCTTGAAATGCTTTGGTACAATAGAGGCGGCAACCGAGATGTCACACTTTGAACTGAGTAGATAATGAACTGACGACCCTTCGAGAAGAGGAAGACCCAGTCCCCCATTCGCGATGAAATTTCAAAAACTAGTGGCTGAGCCTCTCCGCCTCACGACATCACCGTCTGAGTGATCATCATTGATGCGTTAGATGAGGGCGACACGGAAGCGTTCCCACGCCCTGCCGACACACTTCGAAAATCAAAACGTCAAATTCTTTGTCACTTCGAGACAATTCGACCTCGTTGACCGTTTTATATCACCTAATTACCCTATCGATCGCCTCATCATCAATCTTTCGGATGATGCTAATACAAATGACTTCGTTATCTACATCCAACCTCAACTCCCCGAACTGAAGGATGTGCATGATGGTTTGAAAGACGGAATCGGGGAAGGAGTTTCAAAGGCTACATAAAGATCACTGGTGGTGATGCATCGAAGATGTTAAATAAACTGCTCGACGATAATCCCAACCGATCAAGGGCCTCCGCTGAGGAAATGATGGATAGGCTGTATGTATGCGAGTATTTTGGAGAAGTGTAACCGTACACGACTACCCGATTGTGATGGAGGCAATATTAATGGCACAGAAGCCACTATCTGTTTCAGCTTGGGATCTGGTACCACTGCTGGAGTCGGACCTCCGATATACATTGGCTCAACTTGCACCCCTTGTCTCAGGAGTCAGGGACCCTGATAGGCCGATTTGTATTCCGCATCAGTTCTTTCATGACTTTCTCACGGACCGAATCGATCCTCTTACCACCCACACTTCGTCGGTTTGCAGTAAATACGAGGAGGGAGAACGCTAGAGCCTCATCGAAATCTTGCCGCTGAAGGATTTAGGGCTGATCGAAGGCTTATCCGAAAGGGCTAACTAAGCTGCCACCCAGGTGCTGTCTGAACACGTCCATTACGCATGCCGGCATTTCGGGCATCATCTCAACCAAGTTCAAGAGCCGCTGGAAGTTGTTCGCACGTTTCTCAATGAGCAAATAGCGCACTAGATAGAATCCCGTGCGAGGGCGGAAGGGTACATTAGCATATCATCGTCCCCCGAATGGGCCAAGGTACGTTCCATCGGTAGCATTCATTTGGAGTCCTTATTCAGTATCTTGTTCCTTCACCTGAGCATCGATTGGACCTCGAAAGAAGTCATTCGCATGTTGATCAAAGGCTTCGGCAAAGTGTTTCGCATTCTTTTTAGGTTGCAAGAGGCAATAGGAGCTAGCAAATGCGCTGTGCCATTGGCTTGTGTCTGCGGACCCAGAGTCCTCATGCTCGAGGTGATCGAAGACAGCGTCAGACTCTGGCGTGAGCTAGTTGTCATCCGTCCGACATCATAGACCCCAAATTTTAGCTGGAGCACTCCGGAATCTTGGCGCATCACTCAACAAACTCAGACGACATTCCTAGGTGCTGCGGTGATCAAAGAAAATGTCAGACTCTGCTGCGGCCTAGTTGCCATCCGTCCAACAACATACACTCCGTATTTGGTAGCGCTCAGGAATCACTCAACAAAATTGGATGGCATTCCGAGGCGCTCGCGGTGATCGAGGAAAGTGTCGAACCCGGCGTGGGCTAGTTGCCATCCATCCAGCATCGTTTGGCTCGAGCACTCCGGAATATTTTTGTATCATCCGACACACTTGGACAGCATTCTGATGCACGCATGGTGATTAAAGAAAGTGCGAAACTCTGACGCAGACCAGTCGTTGTCCATCTGTCATCCAACACCCCAATTTAGCTGGAGCAGAGTCTTTTTGTATCACTCGACGGTCTTGGACAGCACTTCGAAGCGCCAGGAAAATGTCAAACTCCGGCGCGAGCTAGTTGCTGCCCACCCAACATCATACACCTCGAGCGCTCCAGAACCTTAAAGTATCATTCAACAAACTTCCTGAGGCGCTTCCCGTGATCGAAGAAAGTGTCAACTTATGGCGTGAGTTAATTTGGGCGGCATTACGTGGCACTCGCAACGGTCAAAGAAAGCGTGAAACTCTGGCGCGAGCTAGTTGCCATCCATCCGACACCACACGCCTCGGATCTGGCTGGAGCGCCCTGGAACCTTTCTGAATCACTTGACAAACTTGGGTGACGTTCCAAGGCGCTCACAGCAATTGAAGAAAGTCTGAAACTCTGGCACAAGCTAGTTGCACATCCCAGATTTGGCTCGAGCCCTCTGGAACTTCTTTGTACCACTCGACAATTTTGGATGGCATTCTGAGGCGCTTGCAGCGATTGAAGAAAGCGCCAACCTTTGGCGTGAGCTAGTTGCCAACATACACCCCTGATTTGGCTGGGGCACTTGGAAATCTTCTTGTATCACTTGACAAACTCGGACGGCACGACGAAACATTTAGCGTGATCGAGAAAAGTGTGGAACTCTGGCGCAGGCTAGCTGCCAGCCATCCAACATCATATACCCCGTATTTAGCTCGCGCGCTCCAGAATCTTGAAGTTTCATTCGACAATCTTAGGCGGCATCCCGAAGCACTGACAGTAATCGAGAGAAGTGTGAAACTCCAACGTGAGCTAGTTGCTGTCCATCCGACATCATACACCCTGGATTTAGCTGGTGCGCTCCGGAACCTTTGTGTATCGCTCCACAAATCCAAACGTCGTCCCGAGGCACTCGTGGTGATTGAAGAGTGTCAAACTCTGGCACGAGCGATTCGTTGTCCATCCACATCCCGGATCTGGCTGGAGTGCCCCAAAATCTTTTTGTATCACTTGATGAAGGCTGGGACGATGTTATGAGGCGCCCACGGTGATTGAAGAAAGTGTGGAACTCTAGTGCAAGCTGGTTGCCATCCATCCGACCATACGCCCTGGATTTGAATGGAGCGCTCTGGATTCTTTTATACGATTGTTACGTAGCGATTTTATGGCTTATGTGCGGCTTCACACCATCATTACATCCAATCGCTACTCACTCATATATGGCGGCCAAAAGATGAATCGAATATATCCAGTTGTGATGACCAATTGGATTCCAATTATGCCACCCCCATCCTTTTCTCGTCATGTCGAAACTCGAGAGAAGATACACTTTAATCAAGGCTGCAATATTATCGCGTTCAGGGCCTCGCTGATATGGCTTATCTAGTTACCCATGCTCAAGATCAGGAAACAGGGCATGCCTGTGCAACGGCCAAGATGGACCGGCATCACGGACGTCTTGTCCACCAGTGAGTTCACAACACGCACTCGCTGGCGGCATCGTCACAGTTAAATCCGCAATAATTAGATTCCTCCTATACGGTCACCCCTCTATGGATTTCATTCCAGCTGTCTGGACAGTTTCTATATTTACTATATATAGTGCATACGCCGGGCTCCGGCAACGCAATAATGGAAATATTGCTTAGGTCTTACAGATATACTGCAAGGTCCGAACTAGGGGGCATTCAAGAAGCCTATCGCCTCGAGACACGAGAGGGATGAATTTCCCCCAGATGTCGGTTTATCTGGCAATTTGAACTACACGAACGTTTTTGTTTTTGTTAGCATTTTACAGCATCTCGTCTACATGAACCATATCTTCTATGTAGGATTGGCGTTTGCGAAAGGACATGTTTGGTCTTTATTGGTGAGGAAACGTTACGCGGTGCGCACTGCTTCAACTCGAAGCTGCCAGGAGGTACCTCAAGAAGTTATTTGTCAGGGGAGGGCATGATACAATATCATTCGGACAACTCCGCTATTACGGGTTTGACATCACGTGGTTGGATAGAACCTATATATAGTTTGTTTTTTACTTCTCTCCTTCCCCCCTTACGACTATGGGCTGTATTTGCATACACAATATGCCTTAATGACACTTGTTTCACAAGATTTTAAACAGCCTGATCTCTCTTTTCTCATTTTATTTTGGTGCGTAGTGCACGCTCTCGCCACACTCTGCTCAAGCCAGAGGCTCCTTCACCCTGGCTTGATTCCTGAAAGCTGGCAAGATTAGCCCTCTCTTCCTCTACATTGCAACGTGAGGAAGAAGAGTCTGCATACCCTCGTAGTTGACTCCAGATTGCAGGGGTTCACATGGCTCGGACATGATATGCTGTTCCTGACTGCTTATTTCCTAACTATACTGTATGTTTTGAAATTCTTAGGATACTCTGGTGAATCCAGACCAATAATTATATGACGCGACTAACGTGATGAACTTCGATGACTTGAGTGAAGATAGCACCAACATTTGGGCTTGGGATATTCCAAAGATTGTATGGGCAGTGAGTTCTGGCAAGATACCGATGAAGAAACGGTGCACAATGATAGGTACGGTCCCTGTTCCAGGTTGACCACTTATTTTTGAGTAGCTTTCCTGATCCTGCCAACGTCACCACGTCGTTTCACGATCGAACTCAAGCCACATCGAACCGAAAGTTAGCGAAACCGGGAGACACAGAATCACCGTTTAAGCATTAATTCGTACTGCGTCAAGACCCGCCGAGATTGCATGCTGCAATCCATTGTTTAGACATGAGGCGTTGCGCATGGCGAATGGTGTATTCACTCACAATGTGGGGTATGGTTTCCCTGAAGATACTAACCCTAAAACATTCCCTCAGCACGTCCCCGCAAAGATCCTAAATTATTTTCAACACAATCCAGAAAATCCCTCCACTGGCTCATGTGGACATCTTACGAGCGGTGGGAACAGTCAAGTCCATGCACGGGTTTCTGGTTTTGTGGGAATGACTCCGGCTGCGCCTCTTTCGCAAAATGGTCCATTACGATGAATTTGCTCCTTAGGACATCGAAATACCTCCGCAAGTTGAGAGCAAACAATTCCGTATTTCATTCACAGGCACAGTCGTTATTTGTAATACATTTGGCTGCTAATTTTACAATTGAAACAGGCTACTTCATGAATTCCGTGCGCTTTATGTATTTCACCAGAGTACTCCATGCTTGATGTCGAATTGGTGAGTTGTATGTTCTCCAACATGGAATCTGGCCGGGCCTCGATGAGTTGCGGGTTTAATGCGCCTCGATAGGACTTTTGCTTCGAAATCCAGTTTGTCTAGTTTGGCCACGGTACCATCCACCTGTTGCGTCAACGAAATCAGTATCCACTATTATCATCCAGGAGGGTTCATCCTACTCTTCGAAGGCCCAGGCGCAAGTGCTGTTCCAAGTACCTTGGTACTTGATCCTCACGCACATGTGGTATCTTGTCTTGAATGGTGGATGTGAGGTGCACGAAGCCTTCAATGGGTTCATGCTCATGAGAACGGCAATTATCACAATCTTCTGGGAGATAGGTGATGAAAACGTCGTAGGTTCCGACAAGATCACTGCTGGAAAACCACGAATGCGGGTCTTTTGGTACTTCACCGAAGAAAACAACGATGGAAAAGCTCTGTCTAATAACGAAGGGCTTGATCCGGAAGCGGATGGACCACGAAGTGATGTGAGAGTGGTGAGATAAGCCCTTGAAGACTCGGTTGGATGAGCCACCATATAACTGATTGATCGTCTCTCGAATATGATGACGTGGATCTCCCTTAACATCCAGATATTCGGGATAAGTGTGATTGAAGACTTCGTGAGAGCGTATCAAGTCCGAGTTCCAGTATGAATTATTCGAATTCCAGAACGGAGTAAGATCTTAAACCGAAAGGCAAGTCAAAAGGCAACATTCCGGGGGGGTTGGCCAACTTACCTTCTGTCAATTCGGGTCCAGAAACCCATTGGTCTTCGTGCAATGTTTTCCATAGGGACAGCAACCGGTCAACTTGCGCATGATGCAGAAAGAATAGCGGGTCGTAGGCTGCAAACCAAAAATCAACAACAAGATAGGATTCGAACGATCTTTCCTACCTCCACACGCACTAGAAAAATGTCCGTTACGCCGACAAGGACATGAATGGTGTCATGAAGCGCTTCCAGACTGCTAGTAGAGCCCGTTTGAGTTTGTTTTTTGTTGCTGAACTCTTCCCAATCGTTGATTTCAAACAAGTCATGTGTGTGCATCGTAATCTGCTCCTGCGCTTGAGTCAAGTAGCTTCAAGATCACCATGAATCAGAACAGAGTAAAGAAAAATTTAGTGTCCTACTTTCTGATCTCCTGGATTGGCCTGTCGCTGTAAGGGTGCCTGATGGTTCTCGTCCACTCTTTATATTCTGGCGGGAATGATCCCGTCGACTTGTCGCCAGTCCTGTAAGCGTAGTAAAGAAAAGGATTCTCCACGTTCCTTGGCCCTTTGGGCGTGATAATCCGCAGAGTGGAGCGACTGATCAGAATATCGGGAGGCACGGCTCCCCCAGGCCTCGCCCAATCCCAGAATGGTTGACGGAGATCCAACGCAGCTTCCAGCCACTCATCCTGGTCCTTTTTATACTGCCCGGCAATTTCCAGGGCTTGTTGGCTGATGAGTTGCTATATATTGCACAACGAATTAGTTTGTTTAGTATATCCAAATATGATTGACTGACTTCGAAGAGCGCAACGTAGGGCCTATGCCAGGTCGCGAAGATAGGCGTAGCATGCCTGCAATATATGCCATTGCCCACGTTGGACTGGTTCCAATGGACGAGTGGAAATCCATGAAGCCCAGCGACCTGGTAGTACGACTCCATCTGATCTTCCGGTAACTGTTGTAACCTTTCTATAGACCGAAATACGACGTGTAAGCAGGACGTAACTTAAAAGAGATGTGTTTAACCAACTCAGCGCTTGCACGTAAAGCGAAAAGAATTTCTCGTTTTTAACGAAATCGTGGATCTCGAGTCGAGCGGGTAAGGGCCCGAGTCGGTTAGGCCACGACTGTACGTCCTGTGGGAATTGAGGAGGGCCTCTCCCCGAAAATTGCCGCGGGAGCCGAGCGCCCGTAATGATGATCTTGGAGGTGGCCTGTGGAAATATAGGTTGAAGAGTTTCGTCCGGCTCGTCATCAGATTCCACTGGCCGAGCCGCATCCAGAACAAAATCAATTAGTTGTCGTTCTTCTTTCCTGTCAGGATCTGCTTCTGACGGGATTTCGATCTATAGTACGTGACTGAAATTAGCTATGATCTGTTCAAACTTAGTTTGACTAACCGGTTTGTTTGGGCCCATGAAGGTCCATGCTCTGCCGTTTTGGTGGTGAATAGTGCTGTGGATCCATCATCAGTAAGAGGTGCCAGTTCAGCGTAGCGGAATGCGTCCTTACTAGCCCTTGGGTGACCACAAGATTCTCCATTGATATGGATCTGCGTGAAAGGCTATCTTAGTTTCATCCGTGGCACTGTAAATGTCACTGAAATTCACTATCTCCAATGTCTACTTCGTCTTCATAATGTCCAGGGGAAGTATATTTGCCATTGGAAAGGCGAATGCTCCCATCAGGAAGAATATGGAACTGAAGGTTTGGTGAGGCGACTTCTGGTAGTTAGGGGGAGCATACACGCACAGCTTGGTCTAATTTCGGCCTATCAAGGTCAAATTTGCCAGAAATCAAGGCGCTAAACTCCACCGAGCTTCCCGCGGCAATCCTCTCATTGCTAGACTTGAGGATAATGTAAGAATAAGGAGGGAGAGCTATACCAGGTCCTCGCGCCGGGAGATCGTCCAGATCAGGCTGTGTAGTCATGATCGAAAGAGCAAGTCAAAGAGGTGGGCGGTCAAATCATGGAACGTCCTAGATCCGATCGCTTTATAGGGCGTAATCTAATGGCCTCTGCCAGGGATATATTTGATTCCGGGCGCAATTCGACCCAGATGCGCTGAGGTATTTACGATAAGAAACGGTTCCAATGTGTGTGGACATAATACATTACTTGCAGGGACAGTAGAGCTTCTGGGGAAGACCCGAACTGGGCGAGGACGATGCGATGAGCGCGCATCATCAGCGGCTGAGCCTTATCTCTCACGAACTAGTAAGAAGCGGAATTTTCCCATTCACGCTTTGACCCTAACCGTCCGTCAATTGACGATCTCCATTAGTCTAAATCCCGAATGACATGATACACGCGGCATTTCCTTGCACAGCATTGTGAGAGAATCATTTCAGTATTCATCGCTGGAATTTTATCCAGCTGGACTAAAACCAGCACTAGCTTTTTTACCAGTTTCCCCCAACGTGTGCTCTAGGCCCACTTGGCGTGGCGGACATGACACGGAGATTAGCCTTTCGGCAGATGGTTGACCGCATGCATCAATCTCGCCTTCATAGAGTCCTTCTCCGGATAATTGAGCGCTCTCGCGAGCAGCAACTCAAATATTCAGGAAGAAACGACACGTAAGACGGCGGCCGCACGGCCACCACATGATCAATATGATCACCGTTATTATCACGCAGTAATATTATTTGCTACTACGCCATATCTCGTGAACCCTTCAGGGACATTCCAGGGGAAAAACTTCGTACTGCCGGAAAAGAGGACCGAAGAAGCCCATGGATAAGGTATTATATCGTCTTAGACCTTGGTCCTCCTAGCTCCGGTGTTGAACGGTTACGGCGCCTTTTCCCATCGCAAGCCCTTCGTTTTCGGGCTCCCGCACAATCGAGGATCGGGGAGGAAAGGTTAGGTGGGCTCTAGATTAGAAGAGGAGATGCGGACAGCCGTGCGGGGATGTGTGACCGAATAGGCAGTTTATGCAGGTGTCCTGAGCCGTCCGCAATAAGAAAGATACTCGCACACGCGAGAGTTATGTACTATTGCAAGGCATAGTAGAGTATTTTGAACAAACTCGAGTTTAACAATCTAGGTAGGGATAGGATGCGCGCGCATCTGTGGCTGAATAGCGCCCCCGATCCAATTCAGCCATTGTCTATTCACAAAAGCACAATCAAATCGAAGTCATGTGTTGGACGATTCATTCAAGTCAAGCGATACTCGGATTCCTGGCTGAAATGCATCTATATGCCCAGGTCTGGGCCTAGTGACCGCAGTCCACCATCACTGCTGATACAGCAGTTCTAATTTGGCCAAAAAAATGACACCAACACCTTTTCTGAACATGAAAATGTGACTCGGTCATTAGGCACCAATGAGGAGTTTGTGTTAGGCCATGCTTCCCATGCAACCCACACGCGTGCTGCATGGGGGTCATCTGATTGGCGCAATCAGTTAATAATATTCGCAGAAGCTCCACCAAACCGCAGCTATTGTGCAGGTGAAAGTATATAGCGCCTACGCATCGAAGAATGAGCCCGCAGCACATTTGGGAAAACGAAGCACAGAGAGGCCAAATCAGCGCACAGGCTAGTAGCCTTTCACCTGGGCTGCTAGATAACGGTGCCATGATGGGGGGCCCATGTTATCAATACAAAACAGGATTCTTCCTGCAGGAAGCGTAGAGATTCTTGATTGAGCGTGCCTATATCTTCATGAGAGTACTTGATCAGCTGCTTCACGCTGCGATCATAGCAGGATACTATCTGCCGGATTTCGGCCAACTCCGCTAAAGGTCGGACATATCCGGCCAAGAACATGAAGAGGTCCGACGGACTCAATGGACGGTCCACAGCATACCAAGAAACAAGAAATTTCAACAGTTTCCCTGGAATTTTGAAAATAGCAATAAACCAACTGCTATTCATGTCACCATGGGAATTTCTGTGCGTGGAGACCATTCATCTTTCCAGTGACATCGCTGGTCTCGGGGTTGGAACAAACTGTTTGCGCACGGACATTTCCTTGAAGGATTGCCTGATGCTTCCGTTTTTGGAGTCCATGTTGATGGACGCAGTCATGGATGGCTTGACGACGAAAATTCTCTCTCTCTCTCCCCTCAGTTCATGTATCTAGAACTGAGGTGAGATAGTGTTAGTCTTGTTGCACAATGTAACAATGTGTAAATATGTTACCAGTGCTTACACGATGCTAGGTAATTACAATATATTAATAGTTCATGTATCTAGAATTGAGCGCTTACACGACGCTGGTTCATAAATCTCAATAGAAACTTTATGAACAAAATCCTATTTCAGAAGTTACACTACTGCTCACCCAATTCTCAACCAATCTCCACGATTCAACATGCGTTGGAAAGTAGGGAAATGTAGCCATGTATGTATAGATTAGGTTTGTTTTGTTTTTTTTTTTAAGAAAAAAAAGAGTCCCAAATGTAGTGAATATAAGAAAGAAAAAAAAAACACAGCCTGGCAGAAAGCCTATTTGTTGCCTCAGATATCATCCATATGTCAATACAAAACCTTTGACACCAATTTCAAGCTGAAATGAGCCTCCAGTTATGTAGAATTGTGTCCTCCACACTTTGGTGACCTAAACTCCCACTGCATTTAGGACAACTTAAAAATAAAAATAAAAAAACAGATCTATTGATCTATGTAACCCTACCTAATATACATGGCTACATTTCCTTCGGTGCTCTCCAACGCATGTTGAATCGTGGAGATTGGTTGAGAATTGGGTGAGCAAAAACAGTGTAAAATTCTGAAGCGGGATTTTTTTTTTTGAATTATGGGAATTTTGAAAATAAATAGGTTCATGATGCGCATGCATGCACGCAAAGGAGGCTTTTTCTAAGGTGAGCAGAGGCCTTGATTTCCGTCATCCAAACAACGTAAAGGGCCATAATGTGGAGCAATTCAGGTTACAACCCCAAATTCTGTGGTTTATCCTTATCCCCCCCAACCGTTTGACATTCTACAACTACTGTCTGGTGGCCGAAAGTCCCAGTATTCCAAGTGCTATCTCCCTATGCTTGAAAACTCGAGTTGAACATGCGACAATTTGAATTGACATTACGAATTACACAAAACTATGCAAATACACACACAGGACGATAAGACCCGAGGGGAAAAACAGCGATAGCGAATTGTCCTCTAGAACGATCTCTGGGCAGCAGGGCAGCTTTTTCTTGTTCGAAAAAAAAAAAAAAGTTCCCCAACCCCAATCCCTCCTTTCTTATCTCTGATTCCTATTCCTCATCACCCTCGTTCGTACAGCTCTCTCCCAAAGAACAAGCCTATCCTCAAGCGCCTTGATATTCCCCGCATCAAAAACATCACCCGACGTAGGCGGTCGTCTCACCGACGATGATTCAGCAGACGCCCCAACCGTCGGAGTGTAGGTGGAGGAGTTGGAGTTCGCTCCGTTCACATTGTGAGCCGAAGGGGGCCGCAAGAAGCCATCATGAGCACTCCTCGGTTCAGTGGGAAGTGAGCGTTTGTGACCGGCCAATGATCCACGATCCGCCGATGGACTAGGACTCCTACTCCTACTAGCACTTCGATTCTGACTACCAAACATAGTCCCCCATTCACTTCTTTTCCAAACGAGTTCATCCGCAAGTTGAACAAAGGAAACAGCACGCTGAATGTCGGCGAAGGATTTGGGGCTAGTAGAAGATGCAGAATTAAGCGAAAATGCTATAGAGGACGTGTTTGCTGACGGTGGGGTAGAAGGCAAAGTTGAGGAGGCCGTCTCGACTACGAGGGATTGGGAAGGTAGTGAGAGTTTCTTCAAAGGCGAAGGAGATGTGAATGGATGGTGAGGCTTTGGGGTCGGGTGTAAAGGAGAAGATTTGAATACTCCGTTGACTGAATGTATGCGCTTATCTGGGGTCTTCTGATCCGTTGGTGTTGTGCGTGGTATAGGATTAATATGACTGTATGGTTGTTTAATCGGTGTTGAAGGTGAACGTGAAGAGGGAGCCTCCCGCCATCGGTAGATTGTGAACTAGGTAAGGACTGTAATGCGGAAGGAGGGAGATTCAGGAACGACAATATCGACTGTTAACACAAAAACAGAAAAAGACGATAGATACCAGATAAATTAGCCGATTCGAGGCGTTCGAGGAGATAGCGTGAACCAAACCTTCAAAGCGACCTTTGCATCTTCCCCAGACATGCCATCTATCTCAGGTGGCGCGACGGTGGCCGGTGGCAGCGGCTGGGGGGTTTGCGCTTCAGCTTGAGCTTCGGCTTGAGTTTGTGCTTGATGAGGGCGGTGGTTAAGCAAAAAACTGGTTCCAGTTGAAGGAACCGAAGTCGATCTTACCCGGGGAGAAGGAGAACTTGAAGTAACTTGCGGTTCCACTGGACTCGGCCCCGGCCCCGGCGTAGTAGAACGAGCGGCGGGGAACTCCTGCTCCTGCTCGCTCAGTGCATCGGACTCGGAGGGAGTCCTAGGCAGGTGACCAGCCTCTCTTAAGGGAGTCCCCTCAGCCATATTCGAATTCAAAGGAGGCATCGCTTCTGCCTGCTGAAGAAGTTCCTCGCATTCCTTCCGCAAAGTCTTGACTTCTGCTCGCGCAGTTTGTAGTTGCGAAGTAAGCTGCTGCAAAGCCGCCGGCTTAGAGCGTGATGGCTGAGCAGATGAAGGAAATTGGGCTGTAGGGCTGAGCCAACTCGAGTCCTGTGGTACACTGGCTGTATTTCAGTGGAAACAGCTGCCTGACTGACTTGTTCCCGTTCCTCGAGCTCATCTTCCCCAATAACCAGAGCGATCCTTAATGGAGTCCCATGAATGCTGACGGGGGTGGTCGAGTCAGCGTTACTTGTTGGCTTTGATTTCATCACAACGACATCTTCTTCCAGGTCTCCATCACGAGGTGTGAACTGGTGACCGACAAAGAACGGGGATTTCGATGCATCTCGTATGCCGATGGTGGCATGATTAGGTGTGGTAGGTGACCGCGTACCAACAGAATGTAGGCTAGGGGAAAGAAGGAATGGAGATACGGGGAGGAGTTCAACAGGAGGAGGCGGGATAATGTTGAGACTTCCAAAAGCGAGCTTTCTGACGGTGGATGCGTGAAGGAAGGGGCAGAGTTCTGCCTAGAGGGTAACTTGATGTTATTGGTCGAACGAACCGAACGCAAAACGGGTGAGATTGGGGGGAACGATGGGATGTCGAGTTCATCGGGCTTGTTCAAGGGGCCGCCAAGGAGCCGAAGGCGAATGATGTCAAGGGGCTGGCCTCAGGAAAAATCTGCTGATCAGATTGCTAGGGAAGAACTTACCTCTGGACTCTGGATGATGTTATGCGCTTGGGTTGACGCGGATGGTGCGGGCTGTTCTTGAGCGCCAAATTCTTTACCGACAAGATGATCTGCTGCTGGCGTCGAGTGACGAAACGTATTTCGAACCACTAACTCCTCATCACGATAGAATGGAGGGAGTTCGTTACTCGAGAGATCGGCATCCTAAAGATAACCAGACACGGTCGCTAAATGTGTCGATGGGAAGAAAAGGAATGACGCACAAGTGACAGTTCGGCGGAGGGATCTCTTGGAGGTTCAGGTGAGATGCGCAAATTCGAGCCCACTGTGGCGAAAACAATGTTTTGGGTAGGCTGAGCGGTGTACTTGTGGGGTTGCGAAGTAAGATCAAAACCGTTCCCATCATCATCAATTGCCAAGAGGTCAATAAGAGCTTCAAAGTCATCTTTCCTGGAGACGTCGACGCTCATAGTGCTGAGAGCCTGTTTCTCTCCCCCGGTACTGGATAAATAGCAATGAACACTTGAGGAAGGGACGATGCGCGCTGAACGGGATGGAAATGATGGCGGGGAAAATACGTCATGTGCCGGGAATATATATATATATATATGCTGATTGCGTCACTCTCGTTCAACCCTCTTTTCGGCTTCGAGGAAGATTACATCTGAGGAGAAGAGCCCCTGGTAGTGAGTGCAGATAGGGTGCACTATTTGAGCGAGCCAACTGACTGTATCCATGTGTCGCTCACCTCCAGTCACTTGTGGAATTACCCACAAATAATCCCAAAGATTATAGGACCCAAAAACCACGATTGTCTGCAGGTCGGGTACACCGGTATTGGAGTGAGCGGTCCTTTACGGAGGTGGAGCTAAATGTAGGACCCTCATCATCTGAGGGCAAATACGTCAGAGACGCTCCACCATAATCAATCCGCAGCGCAATAAGCACCCTCGGTAATTCAGACACCCCACCCGCCCAAATCAAGTATTTCCATACTAATATGTACGCGCGCGCTAAGGCACTATTTGATCACAACCACGCCAAACGATGACATTCTTGTCTCAACGGTTTCTTCCCCATAAGTCATCCGAACTCAGATCACCGACCTGTCTCAATACGAGTGAAAACTTTGACGCATGCGTTCATGCAGTTGTAGAATGAGGGCTGAGTTATAGGCGGGTCATGCAGTTTGGTTGCTAAAGGTCAAGCTGTGGGGTTGGGACGTGGTGGTAGGATGGTTGGGATAGTTGGAATTCAGGGGGTGTGGATTGTAGCAATGACGGGAATCCGCCGAGTTCGACACAGTTATTCTGGACTAGGGACTAACAACCTGCGATTCCGCCCTTGCACGATAGTTGGGTCCGAACCTTTTCTGCCGCTGTGCTTGTGGAGAGGCATTTCGATCCAAGGATGGTCAGGTGCTGCTGTGCGGTCAACCGCTCTCAGATTTCGGGCCTTCGGGTTTTCGCTACGACTCGCTTAATTGTGGTGTCCGAACTAATCTTTTGCGCGGTCTGAGACACCAAGTGGTTCAGATATTGGTAATGTATTCCCATCACTCCTGTTGCTGGCCAATACTTGACTAGCCCACCCATATGCGATCTTTGGATATTTACACACCCACCCGCATGTAATTTGTATGGCCATGACATTGGAGCTCAATCGTAAAGAGGCACCTTTGAAATCCAGCGTGTGCAGTTCTTGAGCACTGGTCTAGTACATTACTCTGTTTCTCTCGGTGTCGGACCAGATGAGAGTAGAACCACTAAGATACAGCCGTTTTCGTGAATGCACAACCTGATTTTACATAAAACCGAAAATTGATTAGAAAAACAAAATGGGTTAGAGGTACATACTGAGGACTCCTTACCACCCGACTTTTCATCCTATTCCACCCAACCGCTGCGGGGAAAGCGGAGGTGACGGTGTCAAACCTACATTGAGCACCACGATGAATGTGCGACCTAAATTAGAAAGCAAAAAGAATCGTATCGATTAGAAAAAAAAAGGGGGGGGAGGTTCGAGATAAATATGATAACTACTTACCACCCGAATTTCATCCTGTCCCACCCAATCATTATTGAGAAAAGTCGGGGGGGACGGTGCCAATCCCACATTGAACCATCGTGACAAATGCAACCTAATTTGCAAACGTTAAAAAAAAATCCTATCGATTAGAAAAAAGAAATGGGTTCAAGGCATATGCGGTGGCTTGGCTACTCACCATCCTAATTTCATCTATCTCTTCCCAGTCGTTGTTGGGGGGACGGTGTCACCGCAGACAGTGATGACCACACGATAAAAAAAAAAAAAAAAAAAAAAAAAAAAAAGCAATATGAACACACACACCTAATTGAAAAACCAAATAAGTCCTATCGATTAAAGAAAAAAAAAAGGGTTTTATATATACTTATACGGGAACTATTCACCGCCTGACTTTTATCCCATTCCACCCAGCCGAGGCGCCGCAAACACTCTGTGTGCGTTGACAGGAAGGGAGCCCAAGTGGTATGTAGGCAATCATGTCTACAATACTAATTGGGAACTCCGCACTGACTATATAGCGTGTTTGGAGTGTGATGCCATCACAGGGTGCTTGTCCGTGTATCTTTACATTTACCTCCATCACGTTTGTGTTTGCGTTCATGTTCCCCTTCTCTTTCCTCGTCCTTGCACTCCCGCTCCTGCCATCGTCCTGGCGCCAACTATTACATAAGCCAGAAGGGGGCTGTTGGCACAAACACATGTAAATACATGTTTCGAGGTCGATTTCCAAAGACCAATCTAAATCACTTTTACACGCCACTGGTAGAGTCCAGAATCAGACACCGTGGGTACACTCGAATGTGGTGGTGGTGGTAGATCTATCTTATTACCCGCGGCCTCATTGTGACGTGGCAATGCGGCTATTCCGAAGTCTTGACACCCGTACCCTTGACGTATTCAAAGTGGGCCCCTTGTTGGAACGGGGGAGTGTATTGCCGATCTATGCAATGATAGAAGAGGGGTTTTCCTCGGGAAGCGGGCTCTTCGCTCCCGGGTCATTTTGACTCTCGCGTATATACATTTGCGACATCGAAGCTGTTTATTCGAATACGGAACCCCCCCCCTTTTCAACCATTGTCCTCAGGAGTTCGCGAACTTTATTGTCCCTATTGCCTTCATCGCACCCTCTCTGTTGACGCAGCCTCTGGATGCAGATAGATGCATTCACGCACGCTGTATTTTCTACTTGCTTGGCAGGATCCCAGCCTCTACATGGGTCGCTGCCTTGCTCCACTAGATCCTGGTACTATACTAATCACAGAAGGGTGGAGCGGTGCAAACCGTCCCAATCCAATATTGGCATTTCGCGCCGTCCGACGGACGATCACATTGTGTGCCTTCTTCGAGTCCAAAATCCCAAAGACACGCCCCGTGGAGTCCAGCTTTAGGGGCTTTCCACTCGTTCTGGAACTCATCCACTGAGAGGTCAGTGCCGCAAATCGAGCCGTTTACCACTCCATTAGCGTGACTAACACCATGGATCCAGTCGTCCACTATATCTTGGCAAGCGCCTGTTGGTTGGGTAAACATAGGTTAAGAGCAGGAGCGAATTTTCATTTTTTAGGTTTGGTTTCACCTACCTAGAGACCCCGGGACGACATTCCCAGCGACGATGGCCCGATTAACTTCCGGTGGAGACGTCTTATTAACGCGGCAATTGACTTTGGTAGTGTAGAAATCAGCCACGACGATGGGAAGTATCGCGATTGAGGCAAAGGCGCTCCAGAATCGCATTATTGTGACTGCTTTCACTAAGCGAGGTAGTGTGCATATGGCGTGAGAAGCTATGTAAGGCGTGAATCAAGGGGGTACTAACCTTAGTCTCGAGCTTAGAGGGTTAAGTAAGGAGAAAGGGAGGGGAACTCGACCAGTTATATAGGCCACGATCCAACCAAAGTGAAAAATAATCTTCCCGAAATTTTTCGATCCATTGGGAATGAAGCTGCAACCGACATTGCGGGGAGAACTCCGATCATGATTACATATTGAGCCATCGTCGGCTCTCTCTAACTATGTACACATGTGCCAACCCATATCACACCACCAAGTGCTAAATATTAGCACTAGCACTAGTAGTGCTGATTCAATATGTGGTCGGCATGGGACATTTGACTCCGACCGCATCCAGAGAACCAGAATATTGTGTTGACTGTTAGCCTAGGGTCCTGTACATCTCAGAATAAAAGATTTGAGCTGACAGCGAGAGGAAGGGGAGCCCTGTTGGATGTAGCAGTCGGACGGCCACTGGCTGATGCTGGCTAACCACCGGCCCGACAGGAAACCTCCAATCCGATGGTTGAGCCTCAAAAAGTTGGTTGCAAGCACTATAACCTGTACAAAATGATATTCACAATTTATGAATAATAAAACAAGCCTGATTCCCAACAACCAAGGGAATCCGCTTGGCAGTCAAACCGCTAGAAGGCATTGCAAGGGGGGGGGGAGTCAGTGCAGGGAATGTGAGGAAGATTGGCTGCCCCGGCCACCGACCGAATTCATCGACTACGTACTTGTCGAAATTAGTTCATTCCTTCCAAGTTGAACTTCTAGGTGACGCAAATCAGCGTGAGTTTTCATTCATGACCATTGCAAGTACAGATCGTTACCGACTTTGGCCTAGTCGAAGATGATCCCCTTGAGAGTGTACAAGACCTTTCTATGCCTGCGCAAGCACAGACGTTCCATAAGCATTCCACGGTTGCATGCTCCACCCGTTCAACTCGACGATGTCCTACTTGTGTTCAGTCACCGCTTGGGTGACTATCAATTGTTAATATAATTGGGCCCTGCAGTGAGCTAGCTTGGGCTACTTTCAATCGTAATGCACCACGCGCATGGCACTTCTGTGGGCATGTGCACAGAGTCGCTGTAGACGTGGATTGGTGCTCGTCGTAACTGTGCAGACCGAGCCCCTGCAGAATAAACCCGTTTTACACATCGATCTGGAGGTGATTGTGGGCCGCGTTATGGAGTTGATGTGGGGCCGGTAGCAGACAACCGATTGTTTCAATAATGTTGGAAGATCGTGTATCACTAGTTCGACTCGCCACGCGTTAACCATCGATCATCCACGCGATCACTACGCCTCTCGGTGAACGACGTCTCTTTGAGCCTCGCGCGGACGCCAGAACCAAGTTGTGACCGACACAAACAGCCCGCCCCTGGGCCATGTCAAGCAAGCAAGCAACTTGGTGGACATCCCTCCTGGCAGATCTCGCGATCGCGATCGCGATCACGCCCCATGCACCGTCTGCGCTGCTCTCGGATTTCTTATCCACGTTTTCAGTATCATATCACTTAGTCCCAACCCCCCCCCCCCACCATGCATGCCTTTCCTACTAAAGCGCAATTAATCGGCCAGACCTAAAGGATCTCGCCGCAATTTGTTTCAATCAACTTCTAGATGAATTAAGTAAGTAATTTCGACAAGGTATTTGTTCATGAGGGCCCCGCGGACTCGGACTTACTCCTACATATGTAGCTGCATGCATGCAACTCAGTTACACTAGTGACTCAGCTCCCACTACTGAGGGTGATCTCCCCTTCCCTTTCTCGTCGGCGCTTTGCCCTACGGTGCTTACACGTCTAGCTCTTGCTCAGCCGAGCTCTCTCCCCATGGGTGAAGTCACGATTCATCCCCTGAACAAAAAAAAAAAAAAACCGGCTTTGTACGTCGCCGATGCGACCTATATGCCTCTAATAGCTTGAAACTTTGGAGTCCGACTTTGGACCGGTCCCCTGAATTGCACTTGAAATACAGGAGTGAATTGATGACGAGTTAGCTTTCTCCCAAGGGTCCTGGCAGTATATGTATTTAACTAAGGTGCAATATAACGCCATCGCGGATTGAACCACTCACTCATAACGTTACCCCCCAACCCCCCCCTCTCTCTCTCTCTTCCTCCTGCACTTCAACAAACCACCCAAAACGCTGCGACTCTTCCCACCCCAATGGCAAGCCAGCCAAACTCTTTGAGCCTATAACAATTGACCAAGTCAACCTACACAGCACCGAGAGTTCGTCATGGCGCCTTTACATAACCCGATTCCGTTGCAGATAAGGATCATGTTTCATCATCATCAGCAAGTTGCAGTCATCCATTATATTATGGACCTAGAGGGCGAGCGTTCCTGGGACGAAGTTGATCGTTTAGGCTGAGGGGGAACATTCATCAGCGAGAAATTCGGTGGATATGAGCACGTTCCAGCTGGGTATCTGCCAGAACAAGGTGCAAGTGGAGGCTTGGCGGAAGGTGATCGAACTAGCTCCGAGGACGTCCACACTACTGAGCCACTGGGGGCCGAGTGTGGACATACACGGAGAACAGTTATCTTTTCTTCCATCGCGTTGATTGCCACATGATACGTAATTATAGATCACGGATGAGGGTTCACTCGAAAAGGGTCGTTTCATAAATTTACTGCCAGCTCTGGACCCTCTTGGAGGGTGGCTAGTCCTTAAATCTCTTGCTAAAACTGGGTTACGACCCTCACCGGTCCATCATCACCCATTATACCCCATTAATCCTGCCACCCTGTAGTACTCTAAAAGAGGGGAAGGAGGGCTCCAACCCCCGTCGTGAGCTAAGTAAAGGCTCGGGGAAGATCGAGGGAGCTTATCAGGTCGATTATTATGTCATTTGGCTGCTGAGAATGCAATATTATGTAGAAGCCGGATTTGATATGGGAGTCGAAGATTGATTCGGCTAAGTAAATGGTGGCGTCCTTTTACTTACTTAATTTAGGGACCGGTTTTTCTCCTCATGCTTACTTATAACTAAATTCAGGCTTATCTCTTTAAACCGCTAAAATCATCGTCAGGACAAATATACGGAGAAGGGTCCGAGAATAGAACGCGTGTTATCGTGAAGGGGTTTTTTGTCGATGCTATCTACTGTATTATAATGCCATCGGTGCAAGAGCGGAAACTGCTATCAGGTTCAGTCCTTGGACAGATCTCAATGGTTTATATCCCGCCCCCACTTCCGTCATGACTCCTTCTCTCCTCTCTCACACACACACTACGTAATTTTTTAATATTTTTTCGCAGGTATTGAGATCGCAGAACCCCCTCCCTATCTATGCCCATGCCCACGTTATCTCGACCACCTACTCAAACACCCGCTCGCATGCGTACGTTTCACTTTGTCGAGCCCTCGTATCTCAGGTGACGGAGATTCGGTGAAGGAATTGCGAGGAACACGAGGACGAACCGTCACCCCGCTCATGATCAAATCATGGAAGATCAAAGGATGGGCAAAGAGCGAGTTGTCATCATCGCGACGGGGGGGGGGACTCTCAAACGATAACAGGAGGGGGAATGGAGATTGTCGATGAAATCGGCGGTCGCATGCTTTTGGAAAATGGCATTCGTAGCGAATGTGAGTAGTAGTGTGGGGTTGGCCTCTCTTGCAGCGGGAAAAAATTTCACCATTCATCTGCAACCAAGTTGGATGGGAAACTGATTCTTTTCCCTTTTGCCTATCCGTGCAATGATACGTTTACAGCCCGATCTCCCGCGAAACGTTTGAAAAGCGGGTAACGTATCTCCCTTACATACATAACAAATATAACCGCAAGACATTCTATCTACCAGGAACCCGATAAGAAGGGAAGGGGTCTATTGATTAGTACCCATTTGCGGCGGACTGTACAGGTGAACTTGTAAAAAAAATTAAAAATAAATAAAAATGGATTCATCAATGACGTTCGCTCCGCCTTCATTTCTGATCTAGAGGCTAGTAAATACATGCTGCGTAACAGTGATCAGGATTTTTTTGGGGGGGATAGCATAACATAGGGACGCGCCAAGTATATTTTTTCTTGAGAAATGAATTTGTGCGTGTAGGTGCCGGGTCAGGCATACATACGATGAGGATGTGACTTTGCGAAGGCAATTAATGCATGCCCATAAGGTAGGATTGAGGATTTGGTGCTTTACGCCCTCGGACGGGGACCTGTAATACACTCCAGCTTAATGATGACATGAACTATGTTAACAATTCGTAAGCAGCTTCGGGTTGGGTCCGGCTTTGGTCCGACCGGTCCCTGAATCTTTCAACAACTTTGAACACCGGAATGAATTGATGAACAAGCAAAAAGTGGCTTTCCCCCCCCCTCCATTGTAGCAATAACGCCATCGGATTAGCCATGTTATATAACCCCCCTTCTCTCTCCTGCACTCAAAGAAACCTCCTAACACTAGTACTACTGCTACTACGAATCAACTTTCCCAATGGAATGGCAAGCAACACCAAACGTCTCTTCGAGCCTATAACCCTCGGCCATCAAGTCAATCTACGGCATCGAGTCGTCATGGCACCTTTAACTCGATTCCGTGCAGATAAGGATCACGTTCATCATCAAGTAGCAGTCATTTATTATGGACAGAGAGCGAGCGTTCCTGGGACGTTTATCATTTCTGAGGGAACCATCATTAGCGAGAAGTTTGGTGGATTCGATAACGTCCCGGGTATTTGGAACGATGTGCAGGTCGAGGCTTGGCGGAAGGTGAGTATGTAGTTTCCGAGTAACGATAACGCCCACTGAGAGCGACGGGTTGCGACCTAATTTGGCGTGAATTATATCTTTTTTTTTCTCCATCACGTTGATTGCCAACATGATACGTAAAAATATTATTACATTACTATAGATCACGGATGAAGTTCACTCGAAAGGATCGTTCATTTACTGCCAGCTCTGGACCCTTGGAAGGGCGGCTAGTCCTAGATCTCTCGCTAAAACTGGGCACGACCTCACTGGTCCTTCTCCTATACCCATTCCTACCCCGGACTCTAATTGAAAGGGAAGAAGGAGGCTCCTACCCCTCGTGAGCTAAGGCTAGAGGAAATCGAGGAGCTTATCAAAGATTACGTCAAGGCTGCTGAGAATGCGATAGAAGCCGGATTCGATGGAGTTGAGATTCATGCGGCTAATGGTGCGTCTTTTTTTTTTTTTGACCCATTTTTACTCGTAGATTTTTAACTTCCCCCTTTTTTTACGTTGTTCACAGGATATCTTTTGAACCAATTCTTGGATGAAACCGCTAATCATCGTAAGGATAAATACGGAGGGTCGTCGATCGAGAATAGAACACGTATCGTGAAGGAGGTCATCGATGCTGTTGGCGATGCTATCGGTGCGGAGCGAACTGCTATCAGGTTCAGTCCTTGGACCGATTACAACGGTTTGTCTCGTCTCTCGCCCCCCTCCCCTCCCGCGAGCGGCCATCTCACAACTTTTGATTTTTGATTTTTAATTTTTTTTTGGGGGGGGGGGAGAGCAGGTATCGAGATCGCAGAACCCATCCCCATCTATACCCACATCATCGAACACCTACTCAAACACCCACTCGCATACATCCACTTTGTCGAACCTCGTGTCTCAGGTGACGGAGATTCGGTGAAGGAATTTGGAGGACACGAGACCAACGTCCCCCTCATCCAAGCATGGAAGAAGAACAAGAACAAGAAGAACAAAGACTCAGGCTCCGAGTCTTCGAACGACATTGGCAAAGATCGAGTCGTCATCATCGCAGGAGGATTCTCGAACGATACTGAGAAGAGCGTAGAAATCGCTGAAGAATTCGGTGCGGCGGCGGTTGCGTTTGGACGTGCATTCGTAGCGAACGTGAGTTGCGTTTCATTTTCTATACGACGTTTACACCTTTTGCTGATGCGTTGAGATCTTAATTCCCCCCCCCCCCGCCCCCCTTGCCACTGCCACTGCCACTTGCTTGGTACAGCCCGATCTTCCAAAGCGTTTGAAAGAGGGTATCTCTCTTAACAAATATAACCGCAAGACGTTCTATCTGCCAGGACCTGATAAGAGTGAAGGCTATATCGATTACCCATTTGCGGCGGACGTACAATCGAACTTGTAAAAAAAAAAATTAAAAGAAAAAAAAATAGATTCATCAATCAATCAATATGTAAACACTTGGGGGATGTATGTATACATGGATGAACGGGGTTGGAATAGAAACAAACGTTTTGGGAGTTATCAGGTCGTTCGTGACGGTACGCAATTTTTTTTTATGACCCCCCCTCGAGTTTAGTAGGGGCAAGTGCATGGCATGGCAAAGGGTCAGATCTCCAAGGGGCTCTATCTATCTAAACATGCAAAGTTTTGGCTTCCTGGAAAAGAAGATCGAGTACCGCCGCCTAAGGGAAATATTGCTACCCCTTCGTCAGGCGCATCTCCCCCGGTGAGCCAGGCCCGGCTGATTGGTGGTGAGCGAAAATGACGGGTATAGGTGTTAATACCGTCCCCCACCCTGCATCAAACTGGATTTTCCCCGAACCAACTTTTCGACTTCAGCAGTCGTGTACCAGTACAATTGGGGAAAAAAAAAAACGGTAGCTTTCTAATGACTACGGACACCCAGGGGCAAGTTGGTATCCAGCTATCAGATAAAACAATATCATCAATATTTCCTGAATGGCCTCGTAGCTAGATATGCCGCGCGAAATGTTCCACCGCATCAGCCACGCAGGGAAACAGCAAGCACTCCATCCAGGTTTTTTGACGGACTCCAACGATAACAGTGACGACGTCATGGTAAATTCGGCCAACTCCGCGGCGTGTCAAGCCCTCACGATTACTGATTGTTACAAAGCCAGGGCATGGCACACCCACACAGACCCTTGATCTATCTTAATGAACTTGTTCAACTGGCGGAGTGTATACAGCTAGCGATGGGCAGAGCTTGTCTGCCTTGTACATATAGCTCGGGCCGGACACTGATTGGTTTTTCGTATCTCATTGGCTCAACTAACTTCTCCTTTCTCACGCTCTCACTCATCCTCATTTAGCTCGCGCTGGAACGTTAATGCTGATCCTTTGTGTGACCGCGTGCACATTAAAGATGAATCTCACTCACCTTTTCGGACACCTCCAGGTCACCGTACCAGCCTCTATTAGTACGATGAGTACTGGAACAAAATGGCTGCAGGGCTTCAATGGTCACATCGTGAGGTTGCACTTCAATAACAACCCAGTGATTCGTTCTCCTTTACGTGTCGAAAACCTCATGTCTTGCGTCTCTACCAAGAAGTCGTAGGTGCGCCAACACAACCCGACCCTCCCTCTTTTTCGTCGTTGCTGCTGTCCTGTTCCTTATGTTTGACGCACCGCGCCAACTTTACGGGCTACTCCCCCTTGTAACCACCATGCCAGGAATAAGAAACTTCTCATTGGTCAGTGTGGTGGTCGTTCTTTGGTTTATACACTCTCCTCAGGTTGCAGCAAACGCTCTCCGCTCCAAACTATGCTCTCCCTCTAAAACACGCAGCAATCTGCTGCTGCCTAAACGTCAAACCCTGCACACAGGGTCACGGCACGATATACCGTTACAATCTTCACGCCTCTCTACTTCGTTTCAGTATCGTTACTCTGGCCCATGCTCCATCTTGTAAATGTATACCGTTGCTTGGATGGCCGCTTCGGGCTGCTCTCTCACAGGCTCAAGCTTTCCGTACCCAGGAGTCCTTAGGTTCTTTCATATTATCTCCAGCGCCTGGGCTGAGTACATCCCATTGTGCACTATGAAATCAGCCCAATCAGACAAAGCCCTCCAGCCTTTTCGCCAGCTGATCCCTTCCAAAAGAAGAATTTGAGACCGTTCATAGAAGCAGAAATGTATAACGCGAGAATGCCAACTATGAGAATGAAACCTAAGAGCCAATATAGGGGTCAAAATACACAGATTAAGCAAAGTTTCGTACCACATACGTGGCATAAACCGAGCCATCGGTGAAAAGTGATCACGGGCAGATGTGTAGGATCGGAGTCCAAGAGTTGGACAGTAATTATGTAATACGGCCACGGGTCATAGACACGGCCAGCAACAGCCAAGACGCGAACTGAAGATCCAGATCAGACTCTCGGAGGGCAGGAGCTACTAGCTAGCGAGGAGTCCCAGGATCGGCAATCTCACGTCTGATCTGACATGATACAAGCCAAAACTTCGTAGGCGAATCCTAGTTCAGTGGGTTGGGGGTCGGCCAAGACTTTCTATGCCGGTGTGTTCATTTTACAGTCCTGATTGGCGGAAAGACTAGTCCTGATGTGCGCTAGACTGTTAATCACTGGCGGGGCATGTGAGGAGCAGCAGTCGATTTCAAGTTCGCCGTATGAATCTGGGAGCCTGCGAACTCCGGGTTGGGGATCATGAGTCTTGCTGGATAACCAAGTGAGAGTGCACTTCAAGTTGAGCTTGGACTCGAGGGTTGCTTCTCCAATCCTCCAGGCAATGGAGAAACGTCACACACACACCCGTATTTCCATCTTGGTATGTTTGTCATATGCTTGATTGTACAAGTGTAGGATGCTCTATGTCTCCGCTTCCCAGGACAGTCACGCCAGTCTCGAGAATCGGACATGTCGGAGGTAGACCAGTGAGCGAAAGATGTGCAGCAAGTGGCACTTCCGCGTCGCAGACATATTTGGTATGCGACAAATGGGGCTATGCTATGACAAGGTGTTGTGGCGTCGGTCTTGAATGGGATCAGGTGCTGTGGCAGAGAAAAATCGGGGTACACTAGGGGCACTACTTTCAGCGGCTATGGCGATGGAGATTCGAGAAGGACGTTATTAACCGTAAAGGGGTCAGTGGATCGACCCATACATCCCGATATAACAAAACTGCGAATTGGGAGGGCAAGAGAGCCTGGCAAGGAAGGTGCCGACCATTTGTTTACATTTCGGACTCGAACATTGATTACGGCTCGTTCCGTCCAACGCCCCAGAGCAACTGAGAACTTTTATCGGTGTTCTCGAGCTTTGAACTGCGACTACGTTCCACCGGTCTCTTAACGATGCTCGAGCTCAAATGTATCCCACCGCACGAACTGACACAAGGGGAGATTAAAAAGCAGAGGAGGCTCATCCAGTACTGTACGAACCGAGATCCTGAAATCATAGAACGGCTCGTACGGGAACATGGGCCTTTCCCCCTTTTATGGGAGTTCAACGTGCCCGCGGCGGTGGGTGACGCTTCTGTTCAATGTGGAAAACCTGAGCGACTACTAAACTAACGGTTCTCTCCCTCATCTCGACTAGATTAAGCGACTTGAAGAGGGGATGCAGGGGGGTTCAAAGGGGCGGGCGTTCAGGGTCTCCCGCAAGGAGAATCCCATGGGCCTTCACTCAAGGGAGGAGGTGAAAGCTGCCATCGAGGCTTCGGGCCAACCAGTGGTGGGCCCTGTCAGTTGGCCGTTGGGATGCTACGTTGGCCCTCCCATACCACCCACCGTCCCCTTCCACTCCCACCTGCCCATCCACTATCATGTGCCCGATCCTCTTCCTGGAGGGGTAGCGGTGCCGCCCCGTGTCCATGGGCGGCCTGTATCCTACACAGGCCCACCATTGCCTTGGGTACCCGGCCCCGACGCTCTGTGTCTGATGCATGCAGCACCACGTTCCATCCCCATTCTGCCACCGTCGCTGCCACCGCTGCCACCACCAGCTCCACATGATGGACGTCCCCAGCCATCTCATGTGGTCGATCATGGACCACAAACGCGTCACTTCCTTGTAAGTCCATTCTTATCTATCTAGCGCGGACCTCTTGAACAATACAGGGTTGCACCACTCAGGATGACGTACACTTTCCGGCCGTTCGCGGCCGCACCACAAACCCCTATGGCGCGATTGGCTCACTCCCTACAAGGAGGAACCCGTAAACGCGCGAGAGCCTGGAACCGACCGCCAGCAAAAGTCCACTCATTCCAGCAGTGCAACAATTGTACCAATGGAAGAGAATCTCCTCGCTGATGCTGAAATCTAGCCAAATCTCGAAGCCCTTCGATCTCTTGCAACACTTGCAATAGTCCATGCCATCAACGCGTTACCGATCCTGGAGCATCTTTGTTGAAGCGCGAGAGTTCACTCCGACTGTGTGTGTACATGTACCAACCTGATTAATATATTCTTTCTGTGTACCTGTCCCCAATCTGCGAGTGTGTGGGTCGGTCCAACAAGGTGGTTGGACAAGAATGATCATGAACTTTTCCTTTGGACCAATAGCTTTAAGACCCTCTTACTGATCGCATCACCCGAGATCACCGTGTGACAACATATTCGCTTCTCGGGCTGTTTCGCGTCCGACATCAGTCCGTATGTATGGATGCCTTTCGGGATGCAGCTTTGGCTGCGGATTCTTTCACCTTGATCATTCCCTGTTCATCTCGTACATATTGGTTCGTTGATGTATGAGTGGCGCAGAACAGAGAGTTTCCTAGATATCAGGAGAAAGCTACAATGTAGCTTGGGGGATCGACGCTGGCCTGGAAACGCTTTCCCGGATTCATGACGTCACGATCGGCGATCACCGTCTGGCGGATAATGGTTAGTTTGTTTCTTTAATCTATCCTGCAAACCTCAGGCTGCTTGTGAGAGCGCCAGGTGCAGCAATTTTCGGGACAGTATACGAAAATGAGTAAGGAACAACAAACTAAGATTGATGTGAGTCTTCCTCGTCCGAGTAACCCCAACTAGTGAATCCCCATCATCGGATATTGGGTTGCTGGTAAAAACGGGAAAGGTTCTGGGCAGTTGATACCACCTACTCGCCTAGGTTCTCTTCTCATGCGCTCCGTTTGCTCTTCGGGAGGCTGTTATCCGCATTATCATTATCCCTCCCTAAGAGGTCTGCGAGGCCAGAGGACCGCAATTTCGTCTAGAAGTAGATCTCGGTAGTCAACGTGGGCAGCCGTCCGACGAGGACATCTGGATCGAACGGGTTTATTTACAACAATCTTTCCGATGCTCCAGAGTGTGTTTCGCATATCCCCTTGGACTCTGGATTAAGAGAAGCCTGTCGTATCAATGCCAAACTGCACAGAGACTTAGGCAGGATACCAGCCTCTATAGATAGAACAAAGACTGGCTAAGGTTTGCAAGTGCTAGCGTTGATGCCGAGGCTGTGCTGTCACATTGAATGGACGTGCTAATATGATTTTTTGGCACCTGAAGGATCTGGGGGAAAAAAGAAAAACCCAAAAAGCGTAACACCCCGATAGGAGTTTTGGAACGATCGTAATCACAGTCGAGTTCCACAGAACCCACTCGAAGGTCATCACTGGTGATGAGCTAGAACTTGCGCGCATGTCGACTACGAGCCCTCAGAGCTGGTCCAAAGAAGTATAGGCTTTGGGGATTACGCGGTCAAAAAAAAATTGGCTTCCGCAGATTCAGCCCGTAATGTTGTCAAGCCAAGGGTAACCCACATGTATATCAGTATACGACACGAAGCTAGGATGGACACCGTCACTGGCGTCCTCAGTCGCTGGAATAGGTAAACGCCAAGATGGGCGCATCCAGCAGCACCAAGGAAAGATGGTATGAGAAAGGCAGCGATCGCCGAGCCAGCCAGATTCGGATATGAGTCTTCGATCAGCTATGCGTAAGCGCACCAAATAGGTGAACGGGCCAAAACCTACCCGCGATATAATTTAGCATTCCCAGCCAGAGAAATGGGTCAACAATACCAAGGAGGGCTGAAAAAAAAGCCACCGTAAGGACAGCGCACGGGATGACCCATGACAGGGTTCCAGTACGAGGTGTGTCCCAAACCAGGCGCTGAGGTCCATGCGAACCAGAACAATGAAATGGGAAAGCCCCATACACTGGGAAACCAAGGCATTTCAGTCAAGAACGGAGAGGCTCTGAGGGACACGTACATGGCTGGGAGCCCAAGAAACGAGACTCTGGGCGAATTTTCCCGCCGTTCTTCTTGCGGTCCCGTCTGACAAGCGAGGTTTGCACCGGCACGAACAAGACGACCATGATGACCCCGCTGGTTATACGAATATGTTAAGTTCGAAGAGGACTTGTGAGACTGACGCGGCTGCGAAGTTCAAAAATGTGAGGCTGCCACTCATATCTATATGATGGGTGATTAAGATTCGGGAATTGAAGATTGCGAATGAACACACAGGACAACCCGTAGTTGACGACGAACACATCGAACAGATCGTCGAGATACAAGAACAGCAGACCATAAGCGAAGCCTATATGTACACCGACCATCAGCTAGTTCCTGGCTGTTAGAAATGCACAGAACCCACACCTGAGAGGCGGGGGGGTTCCAAGAGCCCGCAGTCACGCCAATTGGGATATCGGTTCACGTAATGATTTGCCGAGACCATCGGCCAAACATCGACCGTACAAGCATATTGTGTATCTCGTCCCGACGCATTCTTGTAATATCAACATCACGCAAGCATCTGTAGTGATTATGTCGATCGAGTTGAGACTATACGATCTTTATCTCTGTATGAACGAACAGGCGGATCGAAATGTGAAAGCCAGGAAAATGCGTTACGTACAAGTAGGTGGAGTGTGAACAAGCTCACGCGAATCATCAGTATTGTTGTCGGGGGGGCGGGTGCGTAATTGCTATGAGTATCCTGGAAAGTCGCCTCCACTGAGTGATCGTCAGCCTCACAAAACTTAATGTTCCACATGCCAAATGGAGTGGCAAGCTCCACGGTAAGGGGGTGTACCTGATACATCTGTGTTTTTATGATGTCATCAGGATATATGGCCTGAAAATGCGAAAGTGTCGCTAAAAACATGCGGAATGCCAAAAAGCACTACTATATCCCATTGGGATTGGCGAGATAGCACACACCGCGATTGATTGATTGGCCCACTCGACATTGTAGCGGTAGTTCTATTCGACGAGGCTCCCAGGTAGATAGCACTTCCTATCTTGTAGAAGGATGCAAACCAGTAACCACGGGCGAACTGTCAAAACGATCGAAGGTACTCCCTGTTATAATACACTCGCGTCACAAACCCCACCCGCTCTTCGTTACATTTAATCCAACAATTTCCAACAGTGATTTAATTCTCTCCTTCTCCAGCGGACTCAAAAACATTGTGAGGAATGAAAACCGCTCGATAGTAGGCAAAGCAGTGAGGTAGGTACGAAGAGAAGATCTAAGTTCTGAAGGATAGGAGTTTGACTTGAGGACGTGGCGGTAGATATTAGACTGTGTACGCAGTCGATCAGGGACATCAAGATCGTTGGCGTCAGAGAAGTCCCGAAGAGCGTTTTCAGGGAAGAGGGCGGAATGCTCTGATGGAATGGTGAGGTGAATCAGTGGGGAGAACTTTCGAATTGTATGAAGGGACGAGACGCACAGTGAAGACCAGCCACTTGTCTAGACTGGAGGATGAGGAATTCCATTCTTTGGTGAAGTCATAAAAGGAGGAAGGCGGCAGTCGTTTTAAAGTACCGCCACCAGCAGTGGGAATAGATTTCGACGTCGAAGAGACAGAAGCTGGCCCATCGCGACCAATTCCTTCTCCGTCGTCGGCATCGTTAGTCTCCATGATCTTGGGCGACGATGCTACAGGTTGTGGAGTGCTGTTGGAAGCGCGGAATATACCACCCTTGACGCTAAGTTTGTGTTCCACTTGTAGCGGTGGTGCAGGTTTAGCCGCGGAAGTGGCATCAGTGTCGGGAGCTGTCTTGGGGTTGTTCGCTCCAAACTTCAGGCTTCTAGATGAAGATTCTTCCAACAAGTCATTGTTTATACGGACTTTCGGAGCATTTGCAGCAGGAGCCAGCGGTTGCACAGACATTTTTGCTGCCGACGATGAACTCTTGTTTAAATTCGGTGCTAGCGAAACGCCATCGATGGGGCGCCTCTGCGTTGAGGAAGTTTTGACAGCCTCTCGCACTGAGGGAACAGAAGGGGTCTTGGAATCAACGATTTCTATTGGTAAGCGGACCCGCTTTGGCGCCTTTTGGGATACATGAGTAAAACGCATGGATTTTGCACCATAAGAGAGTGACGAACTGAAGTAGAGGAACGCGACGTGGGAAGAATAGCACTAGTTTTCTTCGGCTTCGATGATGCCAACCGGTCTAGCTTAGCGAGTTCCTCGCGCACCGCAGCATTTGAAGGCTCGAGTTTCAGCGCCTTATTGAGGTCTGGTTTTGGGATGAAGTCTGTCGGCATTGGGAGCAGGCAGTGAACAGATCGAGGAGCTGACCTGCGCGAGCCTCGGAATATTTGCCCAACCCGCTTCGAGCTTGAGCTCTACGGAACCAAGCCTTAACGTTTTTGTCGTTTGTCAGGGATAAAACAGTCCCACTATCTCTCTCAGCATCTTCATGCCTACGAAACGCTATTTAGTTCGATACTGCGTACACGCTCAAATCCCTCAGCAAGGGAGACGAACTTGCCGAGTTTGAGATAAGCGGCTGCTCGATTGAGCGGTAAGGTGGGATCCTGCCGGTCAACGAGAATTGCACCGCTGTAGTGGCCCACAGCCCCAGCGTAATCACCAGCTTTAAAGGCGGCATTTCCCTTTGGACGGACTGAGTTGGCTAGCACCATTCGGAAATAATGTCACTCACTTTTTCTTTAGCAGTTGTGGCGGACATGGTCCCTGGATTGCTGTTCATTTCTTAGGAAAAAAAAATAAGAGACGCGCGCTAAAAACAACCTGACAGTTGAATGACTGCACCCCGTGACTTCCCGAATGACAGAGCCGTTCCACTAATCATTTAGGAGAAGAGCTACTCGCTTCGGACAGACCCTCTCCCCTCGTTTCGGTCCGTGAGCACTAAATCCTTGACGATACAGCAACCGCTGCCTCATTTCAGTGACTCAAACGAGATGTTTGTGCCAATAAAACCCGTCAAGATCACATCCTTACACTAGGGTCACGGATCGGTTCTGCATGCCCAACCGGAAGACTTTCAGCTGCGTCAGACAGTTTCGACCGGACACATTTGAAGGCGTAATCTACCCATGCGGCACGGGCTCGAAAACACGCCTTAGGACACGGTCAGAACGCTTCATCATGGCATGAACGCCGGAGAGCGCCGGGGACTAAAGCCCAGATCACCGGCGTAGGTCGCAAGTACTCAAACTAATGATTGGGATTTTATCGTCCTCGATGTAATGCAAACATTCTTCTGCTACTCATCGAGAAAACACTCGGCAGACGGTCTCATTCCAATAGAAAGTGCCTATTGATAACCGGACAACACAGGAGTTACAACATTCGCATTGGACCAAAACTTATTCCCGCGTCCCTATTGCCGCGAGAAAAGAGGTCGTCACGCCATTCTCAATGTGTTGGACTCTCGGCATTGTCACTGGATCGAAAAGTACAAGCAAGCTGCTAACAGTTATGTTACTAACATAATTACCAGTGATAACCTCTCCTTTAAGGCTGCTGCCGTCACAAGATGTGGGCTTGGCTGCTCGGTCGTCGAAGGCAGGGTTCAAATGCCACAGCATTGCGCAGGCGAGCTTTCTGCTCATCGTAGCAGTGGTGAACTCGATTGATAACTAGTGTATATACCTACGGGTCTGATGTTATTGAAGAGTATCGTCCATGTCCGCCTTTCACGTCAATACTGGGAATTCTGGGTAGGAGGAGGTTCAATGATAAACTAGGTTTGCGACGATCAATTTGTGCCGGATTTACCAATGGTGTGCGCACTTTCCGAAGCCGGAACAGCAGGCGCCATATCCTGCGAATTCCCCATCTGATCACCACGTGACTTCAGGGTTAATCAATTGAATGCATGGAAATGGCCCCGCCCCAGCGTGACAAAAACACGTCACGATCCGCGAGGTTTCCCCACCACTCACCTCGTTCCCTCGTAGCGCTCACTCGTACCACACGCGGTCGCAATGCACAACCTCCTACCATGGAGAAACATTTTCCTCCTTTTCGCCATACTCATTCTCCTTGTTGGACTACTCTTAGCAGGTTTCTTTTTACTTGCACGTCACTACCTGCGCTTAACCAATCCTTCACGTCGGCGGGCCCTTCTTGATGACCTCGCCAAGAGTGTAGGTGGCGGGTCAGCCGAGAGATTATCACTTGAAAGGAAGAAGCTTGTTGGATTCTTTCACCCTTACTGGTATGCTTAAAATCTCATACCTTGTCGGCGCTCATATCTTTGGGTTTTGTAGCAACGCTGGTGGAGGTGGAGAGCGCGTGTTGTGGTGTGCAGTTTCATACATGCAGGAAAACGAATCGGATGTCATTTCCGTAGTGTATACTGGTGACGTTGACGCAACCAAGGAAGAGATCATAACGAAAGTGCAGGTACGACATGATGAGCTCCACCGCTCGATACGCTCAATCCTGATGCGTTCTCGCATTAAAGGAGCGCTTTGGCATACCGTTGGACCCGGCATCTCTAGCATTTGTGTATCTGCCCTCACGACACCTCGTCGATGGCATCTCCTGGAAACGCTTTACCCTCCTCGGCCAGAGCTTAGGATCCATGTGGCTAGCATGGGAAGCCTTGGATCGTATAGTTCCAGACGCATTTATCGGTATGTTCGTCGTCCGTTTGCTCACTATCGTTGTTTGATAATGGATCAAATATGGACTCAAAGACACGATGGGCTATGCCTTCACTTATCCTCTCATCCGCGCTTTAAGACTAACACCTCCGCATCTGAGTCGCCCCTCCTCTCCTCGCTCATCCTCAACCAACGTTAGGGCCCTAGCATCTGAACCGTCCGTACACCGCATTCCCATTGCAGCCTATGTACATTATCCAACGATCAGCACGAATATGCTCCGCCGCGTCCAGAATCAGGAGACGGGTGTTACGAATGATGCTTCTGTCTCCGGAAGCTTATGGAAAACAACGGTTAAGATATGGTACGTCACATCGCTGGGAATTGTGAGCCAATCTGAATTGGGGATTTCAGGTACTATCGCCTCTTTGCAATGGCGTATTCCCATTCATTGTCGCAAGCCGATCGAATAGTTGCCAATGGGACTTGGACAAAGAATCATATTGATAGCCTTCTTGCGCGCCCCGCTAAGAAACTTGAGACAAAGCAGGGTTCAGATGATGGTGTCAAGATCATATTCCCCCCTTGCGACACCGAAGCTCTGCAGTCTTTGGACGTTAGCGAGTACAGAGAACGCGTGATTTTGAGTGTGGCTCAATTCCGGTAGGTTCCTTTCAATGCGTCAAGTATGAGGATTGCGCCTCTGATTCTTCCGTCCCGACGTGCGCTAGACCAGAGAAAAATCAATCCGCTCAGCTACATGCACTGCGTGATCTTCTGGAGCAGTATCCAGAGTATCGTACTGGCAGCGTAACTTCACACACTTCACACAAGAGGTTGTCAACCTCGTCATCGGGGGGTTCATCACCTTTGTTGAAGCACCGACAACTCAGCTTTCCCCGAAGATCGAGAGATACTGGACCATTGCGACTGGTTTTACTGGGAAGCGTGAGAAATCCTGAAGATGAAGGTCGAGTCGACGCTCTGAAGGAACTTGCCAAGGCACTGGGCGTAGAGGTTAGTTCCCCAAAGACCCGTTGAGTGATCCGAATTTCTTACTGTTACCGGATTCAGGATCATGTGGAGTTTGTATTAAACGCTTCTTATGATGAGCTCCTTTCGTGGCTTGGGCGTGCCTCGGTTGGCGTGAGTTCAATGATCGACGAACATTTCGGGATCAACGTTGTCGAGTTTATGGCAAGTAGTAGCATTTACCACGCTCGCGCTGAAATCTCATAAATCTGCTCCAATGATTAGGCTGCAGGATTAATACCTGTTTCACATGCATCGGGCGGGCCACTTTTAGACATCATCAAGCCTCCATCGCACGCTTCTGATTCACGCACTGGTTTCCTGTACACATCATCGACGTCCTCCGGGACAGAAGCTGAAGGAACATTATCATTTCCTGAGGCCCTCCATGCGGCCTTATCCCTGTCTCCTGAAGAGGAATATTCCATGCGATTACAGGCTCGGGAGAGGAGTCGAATGTTTGGTGTGAGGGAATTCGAGCAGAGATGGGCGGATGAGCTATGGAATGGCTTACTGTCTGGGTAGGCTGCCTTTTATCTCACTGTGTGTGTTTGTGCCATGCTGGACGTCCGGTTCGTCCATTCCAACAGTTTTTTTTTTTTCCCCTTTCGTTGGAGTATTCCTTTCGGCCCATCTTTCTCTCGCATCGCGCAATTACTCCCTCATAATACTCTGTATACCCATTTCGATTATTCTCGACTATCCCATGTTTACGACCCCACATGTAGCTCACATTTCCGCGTACGTTAACTTGCTGTTTAGTGCCTGTCTTTGTTCACCGGAACGATATTTTTTTTTTCCCTTCACCTTCGACTCGTAGCCCGAGGCCTGCACCTTTGCCCAGATGGGGCGTCTGGTAACGCGCTGTTCTGCGGTTCGAGTCCAACTTTTAGCCACCCCGAATTTTCAACAAGGCCCAGGACAGATATGGCCATGGCGTGCTCAAGGAGCATCGCCGTGCGCATCTTTCCATCCAATTTGAAAAACAGCCACTTTATTGGCATCCTCATGAAGTACAAGGATAGTGGTTCTGGTATCACAGAATATTATTTAATAAAATGCCCCATCGCAAAAGATTGACCCATGCATGGTGGGCTTTTCTTTCAGCTAGCTACAATACACATTGAATTCGAACGCTTTGAAAAGAGTTCCTCTCGAGACTTCTTCCAGTGGCACTCAACCCTTGGTGACAGCAACCAGGGCCACGGAGGTCGTCTCCCCATAGGTCCGTGCGCAGGAATAAATGGGGTTATAATTAAAACCCGACATGGTGGCATGAAACTTGAGTGGACCAGGCTGCTCTTGTTATGTGAGTAGCACATTTGGACCTATTACCAGCCACTATTAGTAAATTTGTTGCATGGGAATGCAGATATTTGCTGGCCATTTCCCACGGGGTGCCTTGCGGATTCCCACGGTAAAAAATCGAACCCCTCTGGAAACAAAAGCCTCGCAAGCTCGGCCAACAAGTCATTTAGTCGGAGCTACGTCTTTGCTAGGCAAGACTCCAGCCTCTATGGCTTCGTAACACGTCTTTGCATGTATACATTGTGGACGTTGGGGTTATGAGTTGCTTGTTTTGGTACTGTAATAAATTTAGTGAGCAGAAGCCTTAGTGGTAATGTTCATTTCAGGTAGTTTGTGCGGCATTTGTGACTGAAACAGGGACGAGAACCAAGGAAGGACGGGGCCAGCGACAAAGCAGTATAGAGCGGCTGTTTGTTAAGTCCGATGGTGCCGGCCTACCTCCGTGCTTCCAACGTCTGACCAATGACAATCGGACCGTAAACGATTCGACCGCCTGTGTTTTATGCAACCGTACTGAGTCGGAGCCACTCGGGAATGAATTTTTCACCCGCTCGGTACTTGCAAATAATTACTGGGCCCGGCCAACACGTCGAACGGAGTTTCCCCGCAGAATTGTCCCTTGGTTCTATACGAGAAGACTTCCCCTTGATGAGTTGCTGAAGAACTTTTATAAATTATGCCCACAGTGGCAAGCTCAAGTATCGATTGAACCACTCCAGCCCTCCAAATTTTCATCTGCTCAAGGCAGTTATCCCCTCACCGTCAGCGATGGACTCCTCAAGTCTTCACCGTGGTAGTTCTGAGGAGACGAATCGTTATTCCTCAACCCCAGGTGTGCGAGACGAGGGGAAAGGGGGATCAAGCTCGATCAAGGCTGACGAGGACCTTGAGGACTCTGTCCTACCTATTGGCATCTCCTCACTTATCAACTTTGAGCATCCATATCACCCAATCCACTGGTCGGCTTGGAAGAAATGGGCAATCGCGACCGTTTACTGGTGGGTTGCCCATTACCAGCAATTTTTGTCGGATCTTACCCTATTGTCCAGCGGGTTGCAAGCCTTCGTTACGCTTCTTTCCACAGATTACCTGCCTGTAGAGTCCCTGATTCAAGAGAGATGGGGTGGCTCCACACAGGTCGTTACATTGGGTCAGAGCATGTTTATTGTGGGGACTGCGGTCGGTCCTGGTGGGTGATGCCATTGCAATTCAATTGGGTTATTTTTGACGTGTGGTGGGTGTTTAGTTGTCCTTGGGCCATTGTCCGATATTTGGGGCCGAAAATGGCTCTATGTTGGCGCTACGTACATCTATGCACTGATCAACGTCGGGATTGCACTTCGTGGGTTCATTTTTTTCTTGTGGGTCCGAAACAAGTCCTTGACAGGAGACGGCCCAAATAGCCACTGGCCTTCCCATGCTCGTCTCTTTTATGTTCTTGGCTGGTTTAACTGGTTCCGTAGCGTTGTGTAATGTTGCTGGTACTATCGCCGACTTGTTTGGTGACGACGCCGCTGCTGGTCAAGGAATGGCTCGTGAGTCATAGATTTTGAGAATAAGTCATTGCAGCTCAGGTTATTCAGTTTATGTCCTGTCTGCGAGCGTTGGGCCGTCCCTTGGAGGTCCGGTTGGTGAATGGATCGCTGAGAATCCACATATGCGATACCCCTGGATTGGCTGGATTAATGTTATCATCGGTGCTATATATGCTACGGGCATGGCCCTACTCCCCGAGTGCATTTGTTACTTCTCTTCTCTTTTTGATGGCCACTTATATGGATTGTGAAACTTACAGGACACTTCCAGGTATTGTCATTCCTAGGACGGCTAAACAGAAGGATGGCGTCGAAATGGAACTGCCCATGTCGCGCAAGAGCGCTTTGGACGACGTTATCTTCGCATTTACTATGGCCCTTAAGATCATGGTCACTGAACCCATCGTCCTCTCCCTAGGCTTATACAACGGTCGGTTCTGTGCATTTCTAACAGCCAAGAATTAGCTGATGGTCGATGTACATATAGGCTTCGCTTATGGTCTGCTGTTCTTGTATCTCGACGGTCTGTTCGATGTGTTCGTCGTCAACTACGGGTTGTCCTGTGTGTTCATTCGCAATCTTCAATTCCCGAATCTTAATCGCCCATCACATAGATATGGCGGCAGCCTCACATTTTTGAACTTCGCAGCCGCGTCAGTCTCTCGAGTCCTTTTCGAAACAATAGGAACTTAACATATTCGTATAACCAGCGGGGTAATCATGTTCGTCTTGTTCGTGCCGGTGCAAACCTGGCTTGTCAGATGGGACCGCAAGAAGAACGGCGGGAAAATTCGCCCAGAATCTCGTTTCTTGGGCTCCCTAGCCGTGTATGTGTCCCTACATACGGTCGACCTCCAGAGCTTCTTCACTGAAATGTCTTTGGTTTCCCAGTGTATGGGGCTTTCCCATTTCATTGTTCTGGTTTGCATGGACCTCAGCGCCTGGTTTGGGACACACCTCGTACTGGAGCCCTGTCATGGCCGCAAGTAGGTCATCCCGCCTTTTTCAATCCCCGTGCGCTGTCCTTACGGTGGCTTTTTTTTTCAGCCCTCCTTGGTATTGTTGACCCATTTCTCTGGCTGGGAATGCTGAATTATATCGCGGGTAGGTTTTGGCCCATTCACCTATTTGGTGCGCTTACGCATACCTGATCCGAGACTCATATCCGAATCTGCTGCTCAGCGATCGCTGCCTTTCTCAGACCATCTTTCCTCGGTGCTGCTGGATGCACCCATCTTGGCGTTTACCTATTCCAGCGGCTGAGGACGCAGGTGGCGGTATCCATCCTAGCTGCCATCAGCTTCGGTGTCGTTATACTGATCTGCATGTGGGTTACTGGCTGAATCTGCGGAAGCTATTTTTTTTGACCGCGTAATCCCCGCAGCCTATACTTCTTCGGACCAGCTCTGAGGGCTCGTAGTCGATATGCCCGCAAGTTCTAGCTCATCACCAGTGATGGCCTTCGTGTGGGTTCTGTGTAACTCGACTGTGATTACGACATGATTCCAAACTTTTTTTTTCTGATGACCATTCTTCTTTTCTTGTTTCCGCATCGCGTCGTTCCAAAACTCCTATCGGCTTGACTGGGTGTTAATGCCGCACGCTTTTTGCGTTTTCCCCTGACTCCCTATGCCTCAGATCCTTCGGGCGCCAAAAAGTTTATCCGTTATGTGCACGCGTCCATTGAATAATTAAATACCCTGAATAGCCGCCTTTCTTTATATCTTGCCCTAGTTGCCCTGCATTGTTCATCTCGTGTGTCCAATCATACTTATGTTTGATGCTACGTTAACCTTCGCATTCCTGAGTACTGGTCATTGGCAACGGATGGGTCAGTTCGATTCCTGCAGATATATTCATGTTACTGGGGGGTACTGCCTACCCCAAGGTTCTGCTCTATCTATAGAGGATGGTATCCTGCCTAAGGTTCTGCGTAGACTGTATGGCTGACCAGTGGAGTTGGCATTCTTGACGTTCGTGCAGAGATCGCAATAACGACATTTTGCATCCACCATGGCCAGTTTCCCTTTACCCAACCCATATTACGGTTCCTCGCACATCACTCTCTGTTTAGCTTGTCATGTTATATAGAGCATCCATATTTTGATGAAATATTTTGCCTCGATATATATGTTGTGACCACTGATCGTGGATACACGTACATACCAGCGCCTGCGGATCCTTATCTCAAGACACATGGGGGTGCGGTAGCAAGATACATGCAGAATCGCGCAAAGTTGTGCCTGGCAGCCAATCAGCCAGCGGGTACGACATGTCGACACGCGGCCGCCCAATGATGGTCAAACTATTACCAGGCTAAGCATACGGGAGTCCCCTGCGCCACATAATATATCGGTCAGAAGATCACAGGCACTAAGGGGTACGTTCGATCAACAAACAAGTACCCTATCACTTCTGGATGATTTCGATCGCAGACAAATTATATTTAGTACGTCCATTCAGTGTGACAGCACAGCCTCGGCGGAGGCGTCAACGCTAATACTAGCAAACCCGTAACCAGTCTCTGTGGTCGCCTGTGTAATTTTGATACGACAGGCTTGTCTTAATCCAGGATAGGCGAGCCAAGAGTACCAGTAGAAATGCGAAAGACATTCTGGAGTATCGGAAAGATCGTTGTAAATAAACCCGTTCGATCCAGATGTCCTTGTCGGACCGCTGCCCACGTTGACTACCGAGGTCTACTTCTAGAAGAAATGGTGCTCTGGTGCTCTGGCCTCGCAGACCTCTTAGGGAAGGGATAATGCAGATAACAGCCTCCCGACTCGGAAGAGCAAACGGAGCGTATGAGAAGAGAACCTAGGCGAGCAGATGATATCAGCTGCCCCAGTGGGCAGAACCTTTCCCGTTTTCGAGACCAGCAACCCAATATCTGATGACGAAGACTCGTAAGTGGGGTTACTCGAACGAGGGAAGAAGCACATCAACCTGAGTTTGTTGTTCCTTATTCATTTTCGTATACCATCCTGAAAATTGCTGCACCTGGCCTCTCACGAGCAGTCTGAGGTTTTCAAGATAGATTAAAGAAACAAACTAACCATCATCCGCCAGACGGTGATTGCCGATCGTGAACGTCATGAATCCGGGAAAGCGTTTCCAGGCCAGCGTCGATCCCCCCAAGCTACATTAATGTGGCTTTCTCCTGATACCTAGGGAACTCTCTGTTCTGCGCCACTCTATGCATCAACAAACCAATATGTGCGAGATGAACAGGGAATGATCAAGGTGAAAGAATCCGCAGCCAAAGCTACCATTCATGCATCCCGAAAGGCATCCATACATACGGACTGATGTCGGACGCGAAACAGCCCGAGAAGCGAATATGTTGTCACACGGTGATCTCGGGTGATGCGATCAGTAAGAGGGTCTTAAAGCTATTGGTCCAAAGGAAAAGTTCATGATCATTCTTGTCCAACCACCTTGTTGGACCGACCTACACACTCGCAGATTGGGGACAGGTACACAGAAAGAATATATTAATCAAGTTGGTACATGTACAAACACAGTCGGAGCGAACTCTTGCGCTTCAACAACGATGCTCCAGGATCGGTAACGCGTTGATGGCATGGACTGTCAAGTGTTGCGAGATTCGACATTTGGCTGGAGTCGAGGAGATCCCCTTCTATTGATATATCTGTTGCACTGCTGGAACGAGTGGACTTTTGCTGGCGGTCGGTTCCAGGCTCTCGCGCGTTTACGGGTTCCTCCTTGTAGGGAGTGAGCCAATCGCGCCGTAGGGGTTTGTCGTCCGGCCGCGAACGGCCGGAAAGTGTACGTCATCCTGAGTGGTGCAACCCAGTATTGTTCAAGAGGTCCGTGCTAGATAGACAGGAATGGACTTACGAGGAAGTGACGAGTTTGTGGTCTATGATCGACCACATGAGATGGTCGGGGATGTCCATCATGTGGAGCTGCAGGTGGCAGTGGCGGTGGTGGCAGTGGCGGCGGCGGCGGCAGAATGGGGATGGGGTGTGGTGCTACATGCATCAGACATAGAGCATCGGGGCCTGATCGCACCCAAGGCCATGGTGGACCTGTGTAGGATACAGGCTGCCCATGAACGCGGGGCAGCACCGCTACCCCTCCAGGAAGAGGATCAGGCCCATGATCGTGGACGGGCAGGCAGAGGTGGAAGGGCACGGTGGGGCCCACCACTGGTTGGTGGTAAGCCTCGATGGCAGCCCTAACCTCCTCCCTCGAGTGGAGGCCCATGGGATTCTCTTTGCGCGAGACCCTAAGCGCCCGCCCCCTTGAACCCCCCTGCATCCCTTCTTCAAGTCGCTGAACCTAGTCGAGATGAGGGGGAGAACCGTTAGTTCAGTAGTCGCTCAGGTGTTCCACATTGAACAGAAGCGGCACTCACCGCCGCGGGCACGTTGAACTCCCATAAAAGGGGGAAGGGCCCATGGTCCTGTATGAGCCGCTCTACGACTCCAGGTTTTCGGTTCACACAGTATTGAATGAGCCTCCTCTGCCTTTTAATCTCCTCTTGTGTCAGTTCGTGTGGTGGGATCCATTTGAGCTCGAGCATCGTCAAAAGACCAGTGGAACGTAGTCGCAGCTCGGGAACACCGATAAAAGTTCTCCGTTGCTCTGGGGCGTTAGACGGAAGGAGCCGTTAGAAACAAGTGTACAATAATCAATGTTCGAGTCCGAAATGTAAACAAAAGGTCGGCACCTTCCTTACCAGTTTTTTGCCCTCCCAATTCGCAGTCTTGTTATATTGGGATGTATGTGTTGGTCCACTGACCTTCTTATGGCCAATAATGTCCTTCCCGAATCTCCATCGCCATAGCCGCTGAAAGTAGTACCCTTATCTCTCTATTTTTCTCTGCCACAGCACCTGATCCAATTCAAGACCGACGCCACAACCCTTGTCATAGCCTCTTTGGTCGCATGCCAATTACTTCTACGACGCAGGAGTGCCACTTGCTGCATATCTTTCACTCACTGGTCTACCTCCAACATGTCCGATTCTCGAGACTGGCGTGGCAATATGACTGGCCTGGGAGGCGGAGATATAGAGATTCCTCTCCATCCTACACTTGCAAGAGGCATATGACGAACATATCAGGATGGGAATACCACTGTGTGTGTGACGTTCCCCCATTGCCTGGAGGATTGGAGTGAAGAAGCAAGACTCATCAGACGCTGAAGCTACGATCCCCAATCCGGAGTTCACAGGCTCCCAGATTCATAGGGCAAATTTGAAATTGACTGCTGCTCCTCACATGCCCACCAGTGATTGACAGTCTAGCGCACATCAGGTTTAGTCTTCACCAATCAGGACTGTAAAATGAACACACCGGCATAGAAAGTCTTAGCCGACCCCCAACCCACTGAACTAGGATTCGTCTACGAAGTTTTGGCTTGTAGATCAGACGTGAGAATGCCGATCCTGGGACTCCTTACTAGCTAGTAGCTCCTGCCCTCCGAGGGTCTAATCTGGATCTTCAGCTCGCGTCTGATCTTCCTGGCTGTGTCTATGACCAGTGGCCGTATTACATAATTACTGTCCAACTCTTGGACTCCGACCCTACACATCTGCCAGTGGTCACTTTGCACCGATGGGCTCGGTTTATGCCACGTATGCGGTACGAAACTTTGCATAATCTGCGTATTAATGTGCAATTGACCCCTATATTGGCTCTTAGGTTTCATTCTTATAGCTGGCATTCTCGCGTTATACATCTCTGCTTCTATGAACGGTCTCAAATTCTTCTTTTGGAAGGGATCAGAGGATCAACTGGCGAAAAGGCTGGAGGGCTTTGTCTGATTGGGCTGACTTCATAGTGCACAATGGGATGTACTCAGCCCAGGCGCTGGAGATAATACGAAAGAACTCAAGGGGATCCCGGGTACGGAAAGCTTGAGCCTATGAGAGAGCAGCCCGAGGCGGCCATCCAAGCCACGGTATGCATTTACAAGATGGGGCATGGGCCAGAGTAGCGATACTGAAACGAAGTAGAGAGGCGCGAAGATTGTAACGGTATATCGTGCCGTGACCCTGTGTGCAGGGTTTGACGTTTAGGCAGCAGATTGCTGCATCTTTTAGAGGGTGAACGTAGTTTGGAGCGGAGACCGTCTGCTGCAACCTGAGGAGAGCGTATAAACCAAAAAAAGACCACCACACTGACCAATGAGGAGTTCACTGTAAAGACGCCCATTTCTTATTCCTGGCATGGTGGTTACAAGGACGTAGCCCGTAAAGTTGGCACGGTGCGTCAAACATGAGGAACAGGGCAGCAGCAACGGCGAAAAGAGGGAGCGGTCGGGTTGGGTTGGTGCATCTTGGTAGAGATGAGGTTTTCGACACGTAAAGGAGAATGAATCACTGGGTTGCCATTGAAGTGCAACCTCACGATGTGACCATGAAAGCCATTGTGGATCCAAGCGTTCCAGTACTAATAGAGGCTGGTACCGTGACCTGCCTATACTCATCGCATCATGGGTGGAGGTGTCCGAGAGGTGAGATTCATTTTTGATGTGCACGCGGTCACGCCAAGGATCAGCATAACGTTCCAGCGCGAACTAATGAGGATGAGTGAGAGCGTGAGAAAGGAGAAGTTGAGCCAATGAGATACGAAAAACCAATCAGTGCCCGGCCCGAGCTATATGTACAAGGCAGACAAGCTTCGCCCCATCGCTAGCTGTATACACTCCGCCAGTTGAACAAGTTCATTAAGATAGATCAAGGGTCTGTCTGGGTGCCATGCCCTGGCTTGTAACAATTGGTAACCGTGAGGGCTTGACACGCCGCGGAGTTGGCCGAATTTACCATGACGTCGTTATCGTTGGAGTCCGTCAAAAATGGATGTCAACCTGGATGAGTGTCTGCTGTTTTCCTGGTTGATGCGGTGGGACATTTCGCGCGGCATATCTAGCTAATATCTGATAGCTGGATACCGAGCCCCTAGGTATCGTAGACGATTAGAAAGCTACCGTTTCCCCATTGTAACCGAAATTCGAATCTTGGTCCCTGATTGGCAAAATCACTTTTGGATATAGCGTCCAATATGGTAGTTGTAAAGCCGAATCCCATGTTCCTTTTGAGCGCACACAAGGGTGTGCACCTTCAATTGCTGAGTCCCATATCATGCACCCTGCTCGACAAGACTCGATTCTGGACGCGCCGCTCAAAAACGTTGATCGCCACATCGTTGATGATGCGAAGGTACAGGGCGAGAAAGAGGAGGGATCATGCCTTGCCGAGTACTATCGAGCTGTTGAAAATACCTACAAGCATCATTGGTGGCAGATTTGGAAGCCTAAACATCCACCCCCACCCCCAGTCACCGATATCGATGATGCGCCAGACATTCCAGTAGCCCATGCTTCTTTCTTCTCAAAGCTATTCTTCACCTGGATTACACCTGTAATGGTTATTGGATGGCAGCGGGCACTACAGGTGGGTGGTCTTCTCGACAGCTTACTGAGCGCCAATAATCTTTCGATTCCCTAGATTGGAGACTTATGGAAGATGGACGAAAGCAGGAAGTCCCTGTTGATGGCTTCTAAGCTGGCGGACGCTTGGGAAGCTCGCGTCAAATCCGCCAATGAATTTAACGCCAAGATCGATGCAGGAATCAGGTGCCCTGGATGTCTACGACGGTTTTGGTGGAGAATCCGGCATACAAATAACGATGAAAAACTTAGGGAAGTGCAAGGAGTCTGGGCTCAAAAGGCTAGAAAGTCCCCCAGCCTTGCTTTGTCTTTGAATGACGTGTTCGGCCGACAGTTTTGGATATCTGGTGTGCTTTCATCCGGCGCGGACGCTGCCATATTCCACTGACCTATCTTACTTAGGGCTATTTAAGATTGTTGGTGATGTGGCTCAGCTATGCGGGCCTCTAATTTCCAAGGTTTGTCCTCAGTTAAATTGTGGGGAGCCTACCAAATGCGCAGATCATCCCTCAGTCCATCATCAAATTTTCCCAAGAAAAGCACTTATTCAAGATGGCAGGTGCCCCCGGCCCATCTATATGGCGGGGTATTGCAGCCGCCATGGGCCTCTTCGTCGTAACTATCACTCAATCCTTATGCCAACATCAATGGTTCTGGCGTTCTATGTCTACTGGTGTGATGGCTCGAGCGGCTCTCATCAGCTCAATGTACACACGTGCTTTGACGTTCACTCCTCAAGCCCAGAAAGTTCACACGAATGCGGCCCTAGTTAATCACCTGAGTACAGATATCAGCCGTATCGATTACTTGTTCCAGTGGGCTCACCCGGCATGGACAGCGCCTGTCCAGGTCATCGTATGCCTTATTATTCTTTGTGTGCAGTTGGGACCTTCTGCGTTGGCTGGGTTCTCGATTTTTCTTTTGTTGACTCCGGTTCAGGGGAGGGCTATGACCATCCAACTCAGGAGAAGGCGTCATTCAATGAAATATACAGACCAGCGCGCTGGACTCCTTCAGGAGTAAGTAGTTCGATCAAATGTTATGACGTTCTGATAACAGATCATCCCCTCAGAGTTTTAGCTTCCATGCGGATCACCAAGCTCTTCACGTACGAGAAGCCGTTCTTAGAACGTAAGCCTTTATTGCTCTTATATACGATTGCCTCAAATATCTTTCAGGTATTCGGTCGATTCGAGAGATGGAGCTCAAGGGAATCCGGGCTTTAACAATGATGCGGGCAGCAACGTAAGCAGTTGCTCTCATTCATTGGGCTAATATGTTCTCACGAGGATTTAGTCAAGCAGTGGCCTGGTCTGTTCCTTCTCTCGCCGCTGTCGTTGCATTCATCGTCTACACTCTGTCAGGCCATTCAATGGACCCCGCTATTGTTTTTACTTCGCTCTCTTTATTTAATCTCCTCCGGCAGCCTCTGATGTTCTTGCCGCGATCTCTTGCAGCTATTACTGACGGCAGGAATGCCCTTACTCGATTAGAAGCGGTTTTCAGAGCGGACACACTGGGGGACGTGGAGAATGCTGAACACGGGGACCCAAAAGTGGAAGGGAAACCAGACGCCTTGCGGATTCTCAACGCTGACTTCAAGTGGGAGTCTGTCTTGGAGAACCCAATTCCTGTTGGAGGGGTGACGAGCGAGAGCCAGGGACGCGCAAAGGTAAAGAGCTCAAAGGATATCTACTCTGCGCGATCAGCACCGGAGCAACCGGAGCAACCGGAGCAACCGGAGCAACCGGGTGAACCTTTTGGTCTGTACGATATTGATTTATCGATCCCCAAAGGAGGTAGTGTCTATGCCATTATTGGCCCCGTTGGTTCGGGGAAATCCAGTTTGATGCAGGGTGGGACGGTATTAACACCTACCTGTCATTTTCGCTCACCATCAATCAGGGCTCATCGGGGAGATGCGTCTGACGAAGGGTAGCATTTCCTTAGGCGGTACTCTTGCTTATGCTGCCCAAGTCCCTTGGATTCAGAACGCCACATTCGTCCGTAGCTAGCCTTTATCCTGTGTCAGAGATATCTCATGGATTATCTAGCGAGATAACGTTACATTTGGGAGAGAATTTGACGAGGGAAAGTATTGGAAAATAATCAACGATGCCGCGTTACTCCCCGATCTTTTGGTGCTTCCCGATGGAGATTTGACAGAAGTGGGTGATTCATGCCGAGAAATATCCTGCCTGCCAAACGAATGACTTTACCCAGATCGGAGAGAAGGGCATTAGTACGTCAGCTGTCTTTGATCTCCTGCAAATTCCGTTGACGAGAGTGAAGACCTCTCTGGTGGACAGAAAGCACGCGGTATGCCTTCGCTAATATGGAAAGAAAGGTTGACATTTCATCCCGTAACAGTCAGTTTAGCTCGCGCTCTTTACCGTGAAGCCGATATTGTGGTGTTGGACGACCCATTCTCCGCTGTGGATGCTCAAGTCGGTGAACATCTCTTTAACGATGCCATCTTAGGCCTGAAGGCGAACGGCAAGACCGTCATCTTGGTGACGCATGCACTTCATTTCCTCCCTCGAGCGGATCACATCTTTCGCATGAGCGAAGGAAGAATCCTGGAAAGTGGCACCTACAGCGAACTAGTGCAATCCAATGATGCACTTGTTCGTGATTTAGGGAAAGAGAAACCCAAACCTAAGCAGTTTGATGAAGAGGGAAGTGAAGACGTCGACCCCTACCCAGAGCCTCGGGTGGACCCGGGGAAGCGCGACGTAAGTGCGACCCGTGCAAGGGGAAAAAAGCGTGGGTTTTTAATCACTGCCGAGTTGAGGAAAACAGGCTCTATCTCCTGGAAAGGTCCGCCACGCTTCCTTCATTTGCAGTTGAGGCTAATATCGTGTGTTTCTTCAGTCTATGCTGCTTACATTGATGCTGGCGGAGGGGTTTTGGTTGTGTTTCTAATTATCCTTAGCGCCTTGTTGATGCAAGGTGCGCATTTCTCAATAGTCCCTTTACGTCCCCAGCTGCGCCTGAGTTATACCCAACTGCTTTCAATATCAGGCTGTCAGCTCCTCGCAAGCTACTGGCTAGTATGGTGGCAGGAAAACAAGTTTAGGAAGCGTCCCGGCTTTTATATGGTACGCACTAGTGTCCGCACCCGCACCACCGTTCTCGCGTCAGATCCAATCCAAAGGGTGTTTACGCCGGGCTTGGAGCTGGCCAAGCGATGGCTACGTTTCTCCTGTGCGTCGTTCGTTCATCTCTCCTTGCTTCATGTTGACTGAATTCGAGAACTTGGCAGTGGTGGATCGATAGGTTTGCTTTCCTACTATGCTTCGGCGAGGATGCATGCTCGTAGCCTGAAAACCATCTTCCATGCGCCAATGGCTTTTTTTGACACCACCCCGCTTGGTATGTGTTCATGCAAGCCAATCTGCACCTTATTCACGCCTGAATCAACTATAGGGCGTTTGCTTTCTGTGTTTGGAAAAGATATGGACAGTGCGTGTTCTTGGGCCTCGCTTCTTCGATCATTGCTGATTAACGACGCAAGTTATTGATAACACTCTTTCGGGTACCGATAAATGCCTTTTTTGTGTTTTACTGGACATTGAGTCGTTTGTGATCCTGACCCCTTAGATTCTCTTCGCATGGGTGAGCTAGACTGATGCACATGTTGTAACTGCGGCTCTTAGATGCTTTTTTACAGTCACTCTGGCACTGAGCTCCCTTGTCGGGTCTACTATCCTCATCGCCACCCTTGAACATTGGTTTTTGCTCATCGTTACCTTCATATCGTGCCTCTATTATGCATTATCGCGATTTTATACGGCAAGTTCGCGAGAAATGAAGCGGTTAGGTGACATCCAACTGTAACATGACTAAAAATACCCGAGCTTAACACATATAACAGACGCAATCCTTCGATCTTCATTATACTCCCAATTTTCGGAGTCCCTGTGTGGTGTGGGCACCATAAGAGCGTATGGCGAGACCCCTCGCTTCATCAGAGAAAACGCTCGTTTGATCGATCACGAGAACGCTGCGCTGTTTCTCACTATTAGTAGGTTTTCTTAGACTTCATGCTTCTGACTGCTAATCTTCAATGCTTTAGCGAATCAACGGTGGCTCAGCGTTAGACTGGACACCCTGGGAGGCGCTATGACTTTCTTAGTAGCTCTAATGTATGTGCAGTGCCTCTATTTGATGACACTCATGCACGACGTTCAAAAGGTCTGTTTTAGGAGTCAATGGGGTCTCTCCTGCGCAGATTGGAATCGTACTCACTTACATTGCGCAAATTACACAAATCCTGGGTGCTCTGATGGTGGGGGCTTTACCCTCATGTCTATAATCGGCTGACACATCTTCTGCCCTCAGCGTCAAACGACGGAAGTCGAGGTCTGTGAAGCAGCTCAACCTGAAACTTTCAACGGTACAACGGCTGATGCTGTTGTTGTAGAACAATATGAATGCAGTTGAGCGTGTCCACCAATACGGTGATCCGGAAATTACTCCTCAGGAAGCGCCGTACGAATTTCCCGAGGCAGTTCCTCAGGCTGATTGGCCGAAATATGGGGCGATTTCATTCAATACCGTCGCCATGAGGTGCAACATCTACTAGACATTCAAAATTTAAGTGAAAACTGAACTCTCGCTAGGTACCGGCCAGAGCTGCCATTGGTTCTGAAGGGGGTCGATTTAGAAGTCAAGGGAGGTGAAAAGGTCGGGATTGTTGGACGGACAGGAGCCGGGAAGACATCCCTCACCGCAGTCCTATTCCGTCTCACTGAATTGTCTTCGGGGTCAATCCTGATTGATGGTCTTGATATATCGCGGATGGGTCTCCGTGACTTGCGTAGCCGCATTTCCATCATTCCTCAGGAGCCGCTAATTTTCAGTGGCACGATTCGGACAAACTTGGATCCATTTTCCGATCATGACGATGCTTACCTCCATGATGCCCTCAGACGATCTCATCTCTTAGACGCAACTAGTAAGGAATATTTGGAAGGTGACAGTCCAACATCTCGATATTCTTTGGACACTGCAGTCGATGTCGAGGGTGCCAATCTGAGCGTTGGCGAACGGTCCTTGTTGAGCCTCGCTCGAGCGTTGTGTAAAGATAGTCAGGTGGTCGTCATGGACGAAGCAACTGCAAGGTAGACAGTTTAACCTTGTTACTTGAAAGAATGGCTCATTTCGATGCGGGCAGTGTGGACTTGGGAACGGATGCGAAAATACAAGATACCGTGATGCAGGAGTTCCACCACAAAACGATATTGTGCATTGCTCATCGATTGCGGACTATTATTGGTTATGATAAAATCCTTGTACTGGACAAGGGCGAAGTAGCTGTAAGAATTGTTCACCCTTTATCTTCACTTTGCGTCTCACCAGCTGTTTCAGGAATTTGGCATGCCTCTCGAGCTATTTGATCAAGGGGGATTATTCGCACAAATGTGTCATCGGAGTCGTATCGACCGCAATGAAGTTTTACGTGCATCATCCTCGGGCTGCAGTGTAGCGACCGCCCGCAGGTCTCGAGCCGCAGGATCGTGAAGGCACTGCAGCTCCAGCAGTGAGTTTTCGGTCTGAAGGCAGGGCCAGAACTGTCGTCCGAAAGAGCTGTGTTAGTCCGTGCACTGCCGATCAGAGGTGGGATGTCGGATGAAAGTTGCGCGGCACATTCAAGCGGAGGCTCGAGTGATGTTGATATTATTAACATATACTTAAAGCTGGGGCGAGTTACGATCGAGCCACTCCGATTATGTAGATATATAAAGCCCAGAAGCCATGGTAATTCAAAATCGATGTCACCGGAAAAAGTATGAACTCCATCTGGGTGTGAAACTCGCTGAGGAAAGATGCGCAGGCATATTGGACACATAATGATAATCAAAATGCTTGGGGGAGATGCCGATGTTGCTCGTGTGAGGTACAAAAGGGCGTGGGAACGTCGATCGCAGTTGAGGCTAGTATCCTGCCTGGGGCATTGTAGTGCCAGTCGCATAAGATGATCTTCATGGGCTGACCTTGCAGGGTCTGGTTGTGTCACGAAAGGTAGTTTGATTATGTAAGGGAGCCGAAGGCTTTCAACTCGTGTATGGTTGAGAAGCGCTGTGTCGACGAACGGGCGATGTCACATTGAGGGGCAAAGATATCGTATCTGCCGCCAAGGGAACGCTGAGGTTGCTTTTCGGGGCTTGTCTTTTCCGGCCTTGAATTCAGTCGGGGACTACCATTCCCGGCGCGTACATTGTAGCCGCTGTTTCTCACTGTACTTCTTGTCTGTTCGAGGACGAAAGTCCCCGTCACTCTGCACTCTGCCAAATGTGTCGGCGTAAATTCCCAAAACTCGCTTACCGTCGTTCTTATCGTCTATCGCCTTATCGTCCATCTTCGTTCTTATCATCCATGCGGCCTAATATTAGCATTAGGAATAGAGATATCGTATTGGTTCCTTGACTAGAGGGATTTTGTTCCCCCATCGGTCTTGTTCACTATCGTCACCTTATGAAAAGGGCATGATCACTAGTCTTGCCGAAAGAAGATCCCTACCATTCCCGACTGAATATTGCTTCTATTGACCGCATGAAAGTGTTGCTGGATGAATTAGCGGGGAAGTTTATAAATTCGCCAGACTTCAGTATTGATTGTTGGGACTGTATCTTGGCCTAACTCTCCATTTACTCTCAGCCAGCGATGGACTTTGTGGGTCTTCCTCGCGACAAGTCTGAGGAAGCCTCCCGCCGATTCTCACCCCCAGACGCAAAGGACGTAGGAACGCGCAAATCCAGCCTAGTCACCAATGGAGACCTTGAGAATTCTGCCCTACCCATCGACATCTCCTCCGCCATCACCTTTGAACACCCGTATCACCCAATCCATTGGCCGGCTTGGAAGAAATGGGCGCTCGCGACCATTTATTGGTACGTTGTCCTTCACATGTAACTTGTGTCGTGAGTCTCATGGTTCATTAAATAATTGTACAGCGGGCTCCAAACTTTTGTCACGCTTCTTTCCACGGACTACTTGCCTGTGGAATTTTTAATTCAGGAGAAATGGGGTGGCTCGACACAGGTCGTTACGTTGGGCCAGAGCATGTTTATTATCGGAACTGCCGTCGGTCCTGGTGGGTGATTACCATCGCAATTCAGTTTTCTATTTTTGACCTGCAGTGATGTTTAGTTGTCCTGGGGCCACTGTCCGATATCTGGGGCCGTAAATGGCTCTATGTCGGGGCTATGTACCTTTATGCACTAACCAACATCGGGATCGCACTTCGTAGGTTCATTCTTCCTCGATTGTCCCACACAAGAGCTAATCCAAACAGCCACCGGTCTTCCCATGCTTATCATTTTCATGTTCTTGGCTGGTGTGACTGGGTCCGTTGCGCTGTGTAACGTTGCCGGTACCATCTCTGACATGTTTGGTGACGATGCTGGTGCTGGTCAAGCCATGGCTCGTAAGTCGCGGATTCTGAGAATAGTTTATTATGGCTGAGGCTGAACGGTTGTGACCCTCCAGTTTTCGTCTCGTCCGCCAATATTGGGCCTTCCCTAGGGAGTCCGGTCGGTGAATGGATCGCTGAGAACCCGCATATGGGTTACCCCTGGATCGGCTGGATCAACGTTATCATTGGCGGTACATTTGCTACATGCATGACATTACTGCCTGAGTGCATTCATACCGTCTCTTCTCTTCACAATGGATGCTCACATGGTTGATGAACATGTAGGACGCTCCCAAGTATCGTTATCCCCAGGACGGTCAAAGAGAAGGATGGTGTTGAGATGGAGTTGCCCATATCACGCAGAAGTGCTCTGGACGAGGTCGTATTCACGCTCACCATGGCGCTCAGGATCATGATCACGGAACCCATCGTCCTCTCCCTCGGCTTATACAACGGTCAGTTCTACGCTTAGCAGCCAAAGAATTAACTCATCCGTGTAATTCCAGGCTTCGCCTATGGCTTGCTATTCTTGTATCTCGATGGCGTGTTCGATGTGTTTGTCGTCAACTACGGATTGTCCTGTACGTCCATTCATCCCGAATCATGGCGGTACTGACGACGCGTGGGATAGATATTGGTGGTAACCTTACATACTTGAACTTTGCAGCCGCGTCAGTCCCATGACCCTTTTGAATTGACGGAATGCTAGATATTTTTCTCGCCAGTGTGGTGATTATGTTCGTCTTTTTCGTGCCGCTGCAAACCTGGCTTGTCAAACGTGACCGTAAGAAGCACGGTGGGAAAATTCGTCCAGAGTCTCGTTTCTTGCTCTCTCTAGTCACGTACGCGTCCCTCCATGCTCCTCTGTTCATTGACTGAAATGCGTTGAACTGCTCAGCGTATGGGGCTTCCCTATTTCATTGTTCTGGTTCGCATGGACATCAGCGCCTGGTTTGGGTCACACTTCGTACTGGAGCCCCGTCATCGCCGGATGTGAGTTATTTGGGTTCCATCCATCATTGTGCATGTCGTCAAGTTTGTGCAGGTCTTCTCGGTGTTGTTGACACGCTGCTCTGGCTGGGAATGATGAATTATATCACGGGTAAGCTTTTGACCCATTAACCTGTTTTGCCACCTAACGCGTATACCTGCCTGACTCCCGAAGACTCGTACCCAAACCTGGCTGGTTCGGCGATTGCTGCATTTCTTATTCCATCTTTCCTCGTTGCCGGTGGATGCGCCCATCTTGGCGTTTACATGTTCCAGAAACTCAAGACCCAGGTGGCAGTATCCATCCTGGCAGGTATCAGCACTGGCGTTGTTATACTAGTCTACACGTGAGTTGTCCTGGTTTGAGAAACATCACTGACTGGGCTGAATTTTTCGATATTATAATACCATAGCCTTTACTTTTTTGGACCAACTCTGAGGGCTCGAAGTCGATATGCCCGCAAGTTCTAGTTCAATCCTAGTGACAGCCTTTCAGGTGGAACTTTGGAACTTGATTATAGATGATCATGGCGGACTCTTACGCATGATCTTGGCATATCCCGATGGCGCCTCTTTTCTGACAGAGATTCTTTTTTTTTTTTTTGTTTCCGCACCATGTTATTTCCAGACTCTCGTCAGCTTAGCCAGGTGCTTATGCCGTACAATTACACGGTCTCCTCTTCTTTTTTGTATGTTCTCCCTGTTAACTCGCCATGATCGAATCCCTCAGGTCCTAAAGAGGACACATCCATTACGCGAACATCGGTTCCTTCAGAAGCTGCTTCGGTATGTGTGTATAGTCGGTGGCCCGTCTTGGTCTGGTAAACCGTAACAACTGACAGCACCTGCCAGTTATCATTTAAGGATTGAACTTGGTTTCTCGCCGCACAAATGTCTTGAAAATCTCGTCGGAAGGTTTATATATCATTTGTCTAAGGTGGGTCTGGATAGGGTCGTTGTGGGTTGTGAACTTGAGCCACATTGCAAGATGCTGCCATTATGTAATTGCATGATCTAATTGAGAAGGGCGTTATTCGTTTATTGACGCGATCGCCCGGCGCCCCGACTTTTTCCTGTTACGACTCTTGATGGCGCCATTTTTTCCCTTCCGCTTCAATTTTTTCGAGTGCGGTCCCAAAGTTGTCGCTCATCTTAAGCTCACAGTGCTGAAGAAAATTCGCTTCACCCATTCTATACAAGTGAGGGGTGTTAGCCAATATCTAGTTGCCAAGAAGACAATACATACAGACTCTTCATATTTCTGCCCAACACGGCGGCGTTTGTTGTATGTCGTTCCATGTGGTCTAGCCGTGCAGTGTGGTGATCATGTTCGCCTAGCTTTTTCGTGCCGCTGCAAATCTGCCAGCTCGTCAAACGTGACCATCAGAAGAACGGGGGAAGAATTTGTCCAGAGAGTGCGCGCGAGTTGAATTGTCCAGTATGGGGCTTTCCTATTTCATTGTTCTTGTTCGCACGGACATCAGCAACATGCAATCCGACCGAACCTGGCTGGTTCGGCGATCGCTGCTTTTGCTCATTCCCTCTTTGCTCGTTGCTGCTGGCCTTTGGAAGCTTGATTTTTCTTTCAATCCCATGATGCCATAGCCTTTACTTTTTCGTGCCAGCTCCGCAGGCAAATTCACTAGTCTGATGGCGAATTTGGGACTCAATGATGGGCAGTTGTGACGTGGCTCCGCCCTTCCCGTCCTACCCGGTAGCGCTACATCTGACAGCGATTCTTCTGTCCTATTTTTCGTATCATGTTGTTTACAAGCTATCATCGGCCTAACAGGGCGTTAATGCTGCGATGATTGCTATTTTTTTCTTGTTCCTTCTGCGTTTTCTCCATTACTCCCGATGCTCCAAGGTTCCTCGAGTAATAGAGATTGTATATGTACGCGAAAAATTGCTTTTTCCATTACATACATACGGGCGATGCTTTCACACCATGGTGAAGGATTCCGCTTGACGAACTGCATGATGTCTTCCCAAGTTAATGCTTTAAAAATGGAGGGAGCGGGGAAGAGAGAAAGTCGCTTGCAGATAATTTCCACAGACTTCATTGCAGGCCATCCGAGAGAAACGGAGCACTGACACAGAAAACTTAAGGGGCTCCAGCAAGGACAGAAGAATAGCGAGTGGAGTGGCGATATCATTGTATAGCTGAAGTGGGAGAGTAGGCATCCAGGCAGTCAATAATGCGCGAAGCTTTGAGATCTGGTGTAGAGGGTGTAGAGGGTGACTGGAAACGCATCCTCTTGTATAACACCAGAGCGATTCATGGTTTCAGTGGTGTAATGTTCCTGACGCACAGATTTTGCTGCATGTATAATGGAAGCAGAAGGGTGGTACGAGTGATACCCCCTGGGGGGAATACCGTATGAGAGGTGGGAGCGGCACAGCGCACAATAGCGCGAAGGAAAAGACAGGTGGAGACATCTTGGATGACAGCTACAGTAACGGATGTGGCGGTAACGTATGAAGAATTAGGAGGCAGTGGCGTGCATTCCACTATACCAACAGATGTGAAGGGCCTCAGCATGAAAATTACCCATAGTGAACGAAAGATGGTGATTCTGGGCTCCTGGTGCAGTGAGAACAGCCCCTGCTCTGGAACAAGAGTGACAACAATCCTCAGTAGTAGTCAGTTGTGCAAAGCGATGGAGGACTCTCAGCCAGCAGTTTGCTGAGTTGGAGATAGGGTGGCTTCCTGGACGTTTGTGGTACGATTGACCTTTCCAGTGTTGGCATGCTGAACCGAGTTAATTTGCCGAATACGGCAGCTTCCGGATCCGGACTTTCATATCATCATATATTTGAAATTAAGGGGCGTTGTACCTGACGAAATAGACGAATAAATTCGGCCAATTTATATAGACGGTGCCGGCGTGCCGCACCTGATCGTTCGGCCGGGTATTGAGCATGACCAGTGCCTATCTCCCTGCACCCCGACACCGAGCACACACGTAAGAGTCCACACGTAACGTCCAACAAGATGCGTACACTGGAGTGCGATGGTCCGCTTCCACTACCACCATTCCGCACACATGCAGAGCGCGTCTGTTTTTGACGCCACGTCATTGGAGTCATCTGAGGTGACACCCGGACGCCATCCACAACGAGCGGCGGCCGGGCAGTCGAACGCTGCTGATTGCTGGGCAGGTGACCAGCTGATTACTCATAGATGGGTACGGGTATAATGGACCAAGCCGAAATCCGAAATGTCGACTCAGAACTCGTTACACAACGCTATTAGCATGTCCGAAATTCATTTTACTTATTACTAGTGTGCACCTTCATCAGTCCACTTTCGTGGCATACCGCCCAGAATGAGTGATCCCCACGTCCTCGTTAGTGACAAAAAGTCTCATAATAAAGAGCCACAGGATGTCACCAACGTCCATTCTGTGGAAGACTCGAAGGTTGAAGAAAGGGTGCCCTGCCACTATGCTGCCAAAAACACGTACAGGCATCATTGGTGGCAGGTTTGGAGGCCCGAAAACCCTCCCCCGCCCCCGGTAGCCGATATTGACGATGCCCCAGACATTCCGCTGGCTCATGCATCTTTCTTCGCGGAGTTATACTTCACTTGGATCACGCCCATAATGGTTATTGGATGGCAGCGAGCGCTACAGGTGAGTGGCTATATGGAAATACATCCAATCTTAATCCAATCCCTGGAGTCCTTAGATCGGAGACTTGTGGAAGATGGACGAGAGTAGGAAGTCCCAGTTGATGGCTGCTAGATTGGCAGCGGCCTGGGACGCCCGCGTCAAATCCGCGAATGAATTCAATGCCCAGATAGATGCAGGAATAAGGCGCCCTGGGCGTTTACGACGACTTTGGTGGAGAATTCGGCACGGGAATAATGAGGAAAAGTTCAAGAAAATGCAAGAGATCTGGACGCAAAGGACTAGGAAATCACCTAGCCTTGCTTTATCCTTGAACGATGCATTTGGTCGACAGTTTTGGGTATCTGGTATGACTGGTATTTGCGCAAAATGAGACATGCCCCCACTGATCTCTTCGTCGCTTAAGGTCTATTCAAAGTAGTCAGTGATATGGCCCAGCTATCTGGTCCCCTGATTTCCAAGGTCTGTCCGCAATTAGAATCATCGCGAGCCTGGCATGACACGTATTGAGCGTCTTCCTTCAGTCCATCATCAAATTCGCCCAAGAAAGGTATTTGTCCAAGCGGGCAGGTGCACCAGGCCCATCTGTAGGACGTGGCATCGCAGCCGCCATAGGCCTCTATGCCGTAACTGTCATCCAGTCCTTATGTCAACATCAATGGTTCTGGCGTTCCATGGCTTCAGGCGCGATGGCTCGAGCGGCTCTCATCAACTCGATATACACACGCGGTTTGAGTTTCACTCCTCGATCCCGGAAAGTGCACACAAGTGCAGCACTAGTTAATCATCTGAGTGCAGATATCAGTCGTATCGATTACTTGTTCCAGTGGGCTCATCCGGCCTGGACGGCTCCTGTCCAGGTTGCCGTATGTCTTATTATCCTTTGTACACAGCTGGGACCCTCTGCGTTGGCCGGGTTCGTTATTTTTCTTTTGTTAACCCCAATCCAAGAGAGAGCTATGTCCGCTCAACTCAAGATGAGACGTCATTCAATGAAGTTTACGGACCAACGTGCCGGGCTCCTTCAGGAGTAAGCCTTTTCTTCTCGGACTGCATTGGAATTCCTTTGACGCGCCCGTCCCATCAGAGTTTTAGCTTCTATGCGCATCACCAAGCTCTTCACATACGAACAGCCTTTCTTGAAACGTAAGCTCTTATTGCTCTCGTGAGCCCCGACGCTCAATGACTCGACGTATCCTTCAGGCATCCGGTCCATTCGAAAGATGGAGCTCAAGGGGATTCGGGGTCTAACGATGATGAGGGCAGCGACGTAAGCGGTCACAAGCTCCTCACTGGATGGATATGTTCTCACGATGGTTTAGTCTAGCAGTGGTTTTCTCCATTCCTTCTCTCGCAGCTGTCCTCGCCTTCGTTGTCTACGCTCTCTCGGGCCACTCGATGGATCCTGCAATTATCTTTACATCTCTATCTTTATTTACCATTCTCCGGCAACCCATGATGTTCTTACCGCGGTCCCTCGCAGCTATCACTGACGGCCGGAACGCCCTTGGCCGACTACAAAAAGTGTTCATGGCGGACAGAATGGACGATGCAGAGGATGCTGACAAGGGGGGACAAGGGTCGAAGGAGAAATCTCACGCCTTGCGTATTCTCAACGCTGACTTCCAGTGGGAGACTATTTTGGAAAGCCAGATTTCTGTTGGAAAGTCGACGAGCGAGGAAGTGAGAAGCGATCGCCGAAGACACGCAAAGGAGGACAAATCAAAGGAGTCCCACTCTATGCCAGAAGAGCATAGCGAGCCTTTTGGACTGCATGATATCGATATATCAATCCCCAAAGGTGGTAACGTTTATGCCATTGTTGGTTCAGTTGGTTCGGGGAAATCCAGTTTGATGCAAGGTAAGTAAGGCGGTACCACTGGGAATTGCTCATTATTCTCGCTTACTGTTAATTAGGGCTTATCGGGGAGATGCGTCTGACGAAGGGCAGCGTTTCCATAGGTGGTACCCTTGCTTATGCTGCCCAAGTCCCTTGGATTCAAAACGCTACTCTCGTATGTGCCTCACCTTTCATCCGATCATATCACAAGGATGCTTATGGTATTATCCAGCGGGCAAACGTTACATTTGGAAAAGAATTCGATGAAGGAAAGTATTGGAGAGTCATCAACCATGTCGCGTTACTACCCGATCTTCCGGTTCTTCCTGACGGGGATCTAACAGAAGTGAGTTCTCTCCTAGCTGAGAAACGGACTGCGTAACAAAACAGTGATTTCGTCCAGATTGGAGAGAAAGGAATCAGTATGTCGCTTTTATGATATTTGATTCCTGGGTGCACAAACATTAACCTCAAATGAAGATCTCTCTGGCGGGCAGAAGGCGCGAGGTATGAGTCCCTTTAACGCTAGCAAGAAAGGCTTACATATGATGTGATATTGACAGTCAACCTCGCCCGTGCTCTCTACAGTGAAGCCGATATAGTGGCCTTGGACGATCCGCTTTCCGCTGTGGACGCTCATGTCGGCGAGCGTCTTTTCAACGATGCCATATTGGGGCTAAAGGCGGAAGGGAAGACCGTCATCCTGGTGACGCATGCACTGCATTTTCTGCCTCAAGTGGATTACATCTTTTGCATGAGTGAAGGGAGAATCCGGGAAAGCGGCACTTACGACGAACTGATGCGATCTAGCGGTGCTTTTGAGCGACTCGTTCGTGATTCTGGGAACGATAAGGCTAAATCTCAGCAGCTTGGTGAAGAGGAAAGCGAGGATGACGAACCAGAATCGAAGCCTCCTGCGGGAGCAACAGGAAGTAGTGACGTCGGTGCGGCCCGTGGAACAGGGAAAAAGGAAGGATTCCTAATCAGTACCGAGTTCAGAAGAACGGGTTCCATCTCTCGCAAAGGTTTGTTAGATTTCCTCCGTCCACGGTTGAGGTTAACGCCATGGTTGGCATTAGTCTATGCCGCTTACATAGCCGCAGGTGGAGGGGCTCCGATCATGGTTGTAATCCTCCTCAGCGCCTGTCTGATGCAAGGTACGCATTATTTGAAGATCTGTTGGTCCGACCACGCTCCAGTTGCCTTACTGCTTTTTCAAGTTCAGGTGGCCAGCTCCTTACAAGCTACTGGCTTGTGTGGTGGCAAGAAAATACGTTTAGAAAACATTCCAGCTTTTATATGGTACGTGCTGCTTGCACCCGCTCCACTTTTCTTGTGACGAATTTAACCCAAAGGGTGTTTATGCTGGGATTGGAGTTGGCCAAGCGATAGCTACGTTCCTCCTGTGCGTCGTTCGCCTACCTACCGTTACATCCTATTGACTTGTATGAATTCGAAGCGGTGTATTCATGGGCCTGCTCTCCTATTATGCGTCGGCAAGGATGCATGCTCGTAGCCTTAAAACTATCTTCCATGCGCCGATGTCTTTCTTTGACACCACCCCACTTGGTCTGTGCGCACAGACCAGGCACTCGTCGTCTCAACTGAGCATGAATTAATTTCTAGGACGTGTACTTTCTGTGTTCGGAAAAGATATGGACAGTAGGTGTTGTTCAGCCACCATGTTCTGGTCAAATACTAACCCGACGTCTGGAAGCCATTGACAATACAATTTCCGGTGCTTAGAACGCTTTCTCTTATAATTCGTCTAATACTGAGCCGTGTATCTCCCCAACTTCCTAGAGTCCCTTCGACTGGGTAAGTTAGGCTGGTGATTCGACTGATGGCGGCTCCTCAAATGCAGTTTACAGCCGCTCTTGTGTTTAGCTCTCTTTCTGGGTGTATCATCCTCATCGCGATCCTCGAACACTGGTTTTTGCTCATCGTTGCCGTCATGCTGTGTTTCTACTGTGCTTTATCAAAGTTTTATTCGGCAAGTTCACGAGAAATGATGCGACTGAGTAATGCTCTTCATCTGCGACCTAGGAGTACCCGATCTGAATGCCTGTGACAGATTCGATCCTTCGATCTTCATTATACTCCCATTTTTCGGAGTCCCTATCCGGCCTGGCTACCATTAGAGCATATGGCGAAACCCCTCGCTTCATCAGGGAAAACGCTCGCTTGATTGATCACGAGAGCTCTGCATTGTTCCTCACCATTAGTGGGTTCTCGTAGATTTAATGTTATCCCCAACTACTCATCTTGTTCCAGCCAACCAACGGTGGCTCAGCGTCAGATTGGACACCTTGGGAGGCACAATGACATTTTTAGTGGCTTTGATGTATGTGCGATGCCTCCATCTTGCAAAGACCCGCGAATGACTCGGACGTTCAAAGGTCTGTTTTCGGAGTAAACGGTGTGTCTCCCGCGCAGATCGGAGTCGTGCTCACGTACGTTGTGCAACTCACACAAATCACGAGTGCTCTTACGGTAAGGGCTTCGATCAATCCCCTAGAACCATAGTCGGCTAATATCTATCAACCGTCAGCGTCAAACAGCGGAGGTTGAGGTTTGTGAATCAGCCCAAGCTTTCAACGGCAATATGAGTGATTCTATTTGCTCCAGAATAATATGAACGCTGTGGAGCGTGTGCACCAATACGGTGACACCAAAATCACATCCCAAGAAGCGCCATATGAATTACCTGAGGCAGCCCCCCCAGCTGATTGGCCAAAATATGGGGCGATATCATTCAACGCCGTCGTCATGAGGTATAGCATCTATTAAACATTTACAACTTGGAGAGAGAAAATGACTCCTCCCTAGGTACCGGCCAGCGTTGCCACCCGTTCTGAAGGGAATCCATTTTGAGGTCAAAGCAAGGGAGAAGGTTGGAATTGTTGGACGAACGGGGGCCGGGAAAACGTCCCTCACCGCAGCTCTGTTCCGCCTCATTGAATTATCCTCGGGATCCATCCTGATTGATGGTCTTGACATATCGGGGATGGGCCTCCGTGACCTACGAAGCCGTATCTCCATTATTCCCCAGGAGCCGCTCATTTTTAGCGGTACAATTCGGACAAACTTGGATCCATTCTCGGATCACGACGATGCTTACCTCTATGATGCTCTCAGACGATCCCATTTTCTAGATGCAAGTACCAAGGAACGTTTGGAAGGCGACAGCCCAATATCTCGATATTCTTTGGACACCGTAGTGGATGTCGAAGGAGCCAATCTAAGCGTCGGCGAAAGGTCTTTGTTGAGCCTGGCTCGGGCTTTATGTAAAGACAGCCAGGTGGTCGTTATGGACGAAGCAACTGCAAGGTAGACGACTTAGCTCGGTTACTTGAAGAGTAGCTCATCTTCGATACGGGCAGTGTGGATCTAGAAACGGACGCGAAAATACAAGATACAGTGATGCGGGAGTTCCACCACAAAACGATACTGTGCATTGCCCACCGATTACGGACTATTATTTCCTACGATAGAATCCTTGTGTTAGACAAGGGTGAAGTAGCTGTGAGAATCCCCACTCCCTACCTCCAACTTGAATTTCTCACCACTGGCTGTTTCAGGAGTTTGGTACACCCCTCGAGCTACTTGCTCAAGGGGGATTATTCACGCAGATGTGTCACCGAAGTCGTATCGGTCGCAATGAAGTTTTAAGGGCCCAGCCTGCAGTGCACCAATTGCTCAGAACTCCCTAGCTGCGACATCAGGGGCCGCATACCCATGTACTTTAGTATACGGGTTCCACGATGCATCTATACAAAAAAAAAAAATAGATTACAAGCTTGATGAAATATAATAATTGATACTCTACAGCGAGTCTGCATTGGAGGTGATCATCCCAAAGTCGGTGTACAGCCACAGTTGTTGTCTCGATGACTTTGCACGCCAGTTATGCAAAGCGGTGTTTGGATGCTCTCAACCAGCACTATGTTGAATTGGACACGGCGAGGTTTTGCTGTTTCTCCAAATGCCAAATAGTCGTGGTGATCGTTGCGCCTTGATTAGGCTTGTGGTGGCCTTCTACTGTCTTTCCAGTATCGATGTGCTGGACCAACTAGGCCAAAGGATAAAAGAAAAAGACAAAGACCAATGGAAGAATTGGATCTGGGACCAGCAAATTCGTTTGTCACCGCTGCCCTTTCAATCTTCCCTTCTCGCTAAGGTATACATATCTCTAGCTACGGATTATGGCACCGGCTTCCGACCTGGGCCATCTGTAGCGGTGACACTCGGGGAAACCGTACGCACCATTCCTGGCGGACTTGCAGCCGGCTTGAAGGCTCTGATGATTCTTATCACTACGTACTGCAGAACCATTCAGTCAAATTCCATCCGTACGACCTTCCGCACACAATCATGACTTTTTCGGCTATCATTTCCTTAGCGATACTTGGTGATGAACTGTCACGCCTTGATATAGGAGGAATCCGGAAGTTCATCGGTGGCGTGCAGCAGCCGGACGGGAGGTCAGCAAATGCAATCAGCGACATTTTTCACACTCAACACCGTATCTTTCAAGCTTCTGGACGATACCTAACTTTGGCGAGTCCGATCTTCGCAGCACTTACTCTGTCTTTGCACTGTGTTCCCTTTTGGATTGCTGGGATGCAATCGATGCCGATCAAGCGCTGACGTTTATCCGACAATGCAGGGTCAGCAGCCTCTCGTCCTCTTGAGCAACTCATTTGGATAGTGAATTGATGAATGAATATAGACGTATGAAGGTGGTTACGGCCAACGTCCCCATACCGAAGCGCAAGGTCGGTACGGGCCTGCTTATGCTGCGTGCATGTCCCTTTCATCAAGATGTGCAATCAGGTGGCACGACTTTCTGTGCTCTGGCTTCACTCGCTTTATGTCCGCGGTCCCCTGGATTATCTGAGAACGAAAGAAAGGCGACTACAAGGTGGTTGGTGGAACGGCAGGTGGGCGGGTTCCAGGGTCGTACAGAGAAAGCTGCAGATGCATGCTATAGCTTTTGGTGTGGCGCGTCCCTGAAGGTGATTAGCGCCTCAAGGGCTCAGGGCTTCCGCCGTTAACTTTTGTCTTCCAGATACTGAATGCCGATGAATTCGCCGATAAGGAAGCTAATGCGAGTTTCCTTCTGACATGCCAATCCAAATTCGGAGGTTTTGGGAAGTGCCCTGGGGAGTATCCGGGTGAGTACCCAATGCTAGTCCGATATAGCGCTTCTTTCGCCATTTACCGCTTTCGCCAAGACCCCTATCACACGTACATGAGCTTTGCTGCTCTGTCCCTTCTCCCTTCCCAGAGCTCTGAGACAGAGAGCCTGGGGGTTCTTCGTCCTATCGATCCTATTCTGAATGCCACGTTGAAGACTGCCGAACACCTACGCCGAGCCGTACACAGCATCAAGCGTACCTTGTGATCGCCTCCTGGACTTGCAGTTTTATGTTGTACCATTGTCGGAACGAATAATTGTATCGAGATGTTCGACCAATTTTTAGTCCGCATTCTGGTATCATGCCGTCATGGGCCGGGTGTCTAGAAATCAAATGATGACAGTCTCATGTCTCGAAGATTTATATCTGTTTAGAACATCAATGGTGCCATCGCGTCCATCCACCATAAAGCCCTTTTAGCATGGAACAAGACAATTTTGCCATTTCTCGGGACAACCAAAGGGGCAAAATATGTTCATAATTCGAGCACAACGGCAAGGATATGTACGTGCTAAACATGTTGGTTACAAAACTTCTCCGGGACGCGCGCCTCGAGCTATTGCTCCAAGACACGCCTTAAGCAGTGAGGTCACAAGCATGTGGTCTAACAGCACACCAATGAGGCTGCAGTGTGATGGCATTGATACCTCTTTGAACAAAACGGTATCTTAGAGCATGCAGCCTTTGAAGTGCTTCACCAACATTTGTATAGTTCCCTGAGGGAAGGATAGATCCCGTCCAGAAGACCTCGGATGAAACAGCAGCCCGTGGCCACGCTATGCTATCGAGGCTCGCAGGTGATGATTGTTCAGTCCAAAGCAGTTGTTGTCCACCAAGTACAAGGTGTTTTTGGGTGTCCGGAATGGACGCTTGCGGATCGAAGGTGTATGCCTGGGGAAAGTTACAGTGAAGTAAAATTGCTTCGACCAAGGTAGTTATACTTACCTTTTGCCAAGTTTTGAATGGATCGCACCATGAGTTACCCTGAGGAGATTCACCGACCCAATCTCCATGCCCACAGTCCTATTTCATATTTCTCGGTTGAATTAAGGCAGTGATCAAAGGAAAATCCGAACCAGGTAGAAGTAATCAGATGGCGCATGAACAATACGATAGCCTTTTTGAACAACAGCAGCCGCATTCTGGGAGGAAATCCAAACCCTGATGTCCAAATGAGAATGCTTTCCGGGAACCAATTAGGGCGGGCGTCAACCCACATGACAATAGTGTTGTTCGCAAGGGTAAGATTGTGACTCAAAACCAGATCTGATAGCGCGTAATGGTCAAAACTTGGAAATTTTGATTGGTTACATACATGACTTGCCTTCCCATACTACTGGAGTTTTTCCTAAGCTGGCTACTGTACTGTGAATCTTTCCGACGAAGTTACCCAAAGCTTGGTCAAGCGTCCAACCCTTCTTCTCCAGTTCAGACTGGGTCTCAGGATCTTGGCTGTAGCAATTAGTATTGATTTCATCTGGTGTAGTAACAGTGAAGGTAAGCTGCCATTGAAATTTCACAATGATGTCTTACCTCCACCGGTAGAGAAATATTTGGAAGGAAGCGACGGAAGAACGGATTTGATCAAATTCTGTGTGAACTCGATCACGGAAGCAGTCGCAAGACGGAGTTGGCCAGCAGGAGGTTCTTGCACAATGGTGGTCGGCATCTTCACAATTTACTGGCACTGCGAGCTTACCGTTGGCATAGGTGGACCACGGCGTACCTTCGGGACAAGCAATGTACTCGGGATGAGACTTGGAGATAGCAGACGTGTGACCAGGGGTGTCGATTTCTACGAGTATATCGATACCACGTGCAGCGGCGTAAGAGACAATTTGTTTTACATCGTGCGGAGTGTATACTTCGTTTTGCGTGTAGGCACCTTTCGCGCTCAGTTCTGGGAAAGCCTCGACAACGAGAGGGAAAGACTGAGAATCCACCACGTGCCAATGGAAAGCGTTTGCCTTGACGTATGACATTGCATCCAAGGTGCGGAGGATGTCAGGGATTGGAAAGCTACGGTTATTCTTAAATCAATATCACTTTCAGAAGCTGCAACATAGACCATGCACTAGTTTCGCGCAGTATCGAGCATGAATCCGCGGTAGGGCTGTCAACCGATGATGTTCACCCTGGTGCATTCGTGAAACGAGGGACAACTCACATATGCAGGGGAATCATGAATGATGAAAGGAGCCTCAATAGTGTAAGCCGTGCTCTCACACCAGTACCAGAGTTGAGAAAATGTGGTAAGCCCTCGGAAAAGACCTAGAGTTGTGTTCGCCGAGAGGGTACCAGCAGAACCATCAGCGGGAACGATGAGCGAGTAACTCTCATCGCGCTCTTCAAGGGGCAAGACTGAGCACTGGGAAATACTGAGAACCTTGGACGCAGTCGAGTGTAGTGACAGAGTCAAAGTTAAGATGGTCTTGGCGTGAACAATCTGGCGAGCATCAGCTGTGGCACCACCGACGACAAGACGTTCGAGCTTATCATGTTTAAGCTGTGCGGATGTACGTGATATGGCCTGTTGCAAGTCGGGTGGCACTGAATGCAGTAGCACACCAGAGAGCTCGAAGTTGAAGTGATTCGACAGCTAATCCTCGCCTCTGCCAATGAGACACGAATCGAGGCGAACCACACGGCTAACACTTACCATCAAGGCAGTGCTTCCAGACTGCAGCTGGCGGGGCATAGGCCACAATGAGTAGGCACCTGTCGCAATGGCCAGGGTATGTACCAGGAGAATAACACTAAAGGGTGCCATGGGGCTGAAAATAAATAGCATTTGCGCATCTTATAAGGGCTTTCTGTTCGCTGCCTTGCCCAATCTTTGGAAGAGATTCGGCCAGTAGTGATGATGATAAATCTTCTTATACCCGCGCTCGTGATGTCGTGCAGTGCGGCTGTCCGTCGATACCGTAGCGTACATAAAGGGACTTTCTATACATGATGTTGGTATTGTTGTATCGTTGTGTCAGTGATCTCGGATTCGGCAGTAGGGACACCGCTGAATGAGTCAGCCACAAACTTTGTTTGTTTGTTTATCCAGAACAAAACAAACAAACAAACTGAATCCGATATCTGCCGTCCCAAAAGCTATGTGTGCAAGCACGTGCTTGGTGCACGGAATTTCGTTTTAACGCGTTAAGAGCTCTCAACGCGTTTCAACGCCTTATTGATCCGTTCCAACGCTTCATTAAGCTGTTCCAACACTTTGTTAGTCCGTTCCAATGCTCGATGCAAAAATCAAATTGTAAATACTCAGCCATGCTGTAAAAATTCCTGTTCACAAATGCATGGACGCGCTTCCCCTTCACTGCCAACCACGGCCGTAGCAACCGTTCACTCACATTTCCATACCCTGTACTTCCAAGCCACATGGGAGTCCCCCATACTCAGGCAAACACACGTTCCATGATCCATTGCCACAAATTACCTTCACTTGCTTCACATCGATGACATCTACCTACTTGACGGTCAAGCCACTCTCACAGCGAACGACCACTTCAGCAAGTGACAAATCCCCAACAACCCCACCGTTCTCTTCCTGTGTCATTTTAACCAGTGGGGTTCCATATGAGAGGCCGGGCGCTGAGTCGTAACATGTCATTCAGGGACTGCATGGACAACGATCCCGACCACACACAGAGTGCACCCCCCATCAACTGTCAGTGTCCAGCGTAGGAATCTTCCTTTATCACTCCATGTTCCACCACCCTCAACGTCCACCGCACATTCTTATTTAAGCCGCTTCATTCACTGAGTTCTGATTTGTGTTTGCGCTTCATGTTCTCCTCAATACCACTGCTGAAATGAACAACAATCACGGTTCAAATTCTAACTCCACCATTGAGAGCCACAATGAGTTAGACCTTACATGGTCCAATTCCACAGCGGGTGTACACATATTGAGTGACTTAGCCCATATACACTCAAAAGGCCTATGATTGATGCAAAATTTATGTCAACAAATCAGCGCGAAGCCGAGAGTGCATGGTAGTGTAGTGGTTATGAATGTACATACTATAATGACCAACGGGTTACAACGCTTCCGCAGTGTTTTCCGACACGCTCAGCTGCCATGGCTTGGAAATGGGCAGGAATCCGAGAACCACCGACACAAATCTGCGATCCAGTACGATCCCGGATCGGCAAATGGTACATTTGCGGGAAGTATTAATCCTGTGTGCTAGGTATTTTATATTCTGTGTCGATGTCACTGCCAAGTCGAAGCCCATTTGATGCAACTCGTACTTTTCACCCCTCGGTTTGTGCTGAGCAGTACGACATGCTCGTCCTTTCCTGGATGGAGCCCGATAATATTGCACTGCCAATGTATGAACAACCATGAAGGATGCTAGACCTCAAAAAAATAAAAGGAGACACAACAAGCAGTGCCAATGATTCAACACCATCCATGCGGGGTGTATCAAAATCTGGTAAAAGCTACAACGTCGATTTTTACCCAGGTTCATAGCAAGAGATCATCATTCCCTCCGCCGAAGCTACCAGAGCTTGGCGCAGCCTCTGAAGCCACCCCAAAACCATTGTTTGGCTTGGCAGCGGCATTCAGCCCCCACATCGAAGCGTTGGCTTTTTCCTTTTCCAAGTCCTTGATGCTTTTCCCTGCTGTGGAGGACGCACTGACTGTAGGCGCAGAGGATGGGCCGCTGCTGCTGAAAGACACGTTCCATAAATCGTCAAAGTTATTGCTTGCTTTGGCCATCACAGCAGTTGCCATCGTGCCTGCATTCCCTATGGTGTCTCTTGATGACGAAGAAGTCGCGGGCGATAGGATATTAAATGGGGGTACGGAATTAGTGGTGGAAGTGCTAGTCGTTCGAGTCGGTTGCATAGTTGTCGGTCGCATCGGCGAGGCACCAAGGGCGAAGGAGTTCGTTGCAGCATTAGGTTCAGGGACTGAGGTCGAGCCCAGCATGTCGAATACATTTGCAGCAGTGAGTTTAGGTGCATGTGTGGGAGCGACTACAGTGTGAACGCCCGGCGCTGGGGCCGAGGGAGGTGCGCTTTGGAAGTCGTCAAAATCATCTGTTGCATCGTTAACTTACACAGTGCTGTCACGTATGGATGTTCGGAACTGAAAACATACCATCAAGGACATTCGAGGCTGGAGGGGCGGTTGAGGCCGCAGAAGGAGCGGGAGCTGACTCATCGTCAAATCCGCCAAGAAGATCCACCACTGGAGCGGACGCGGGCACCGATTTGACGGGCGCGCTTGTCGCAGAATGCCGAGCAGCAAAGCGGCCAGCGGGGGATACGGGGCTTGACGAAGACGACGTTAGTTTGTTGCGTAGCGAATTTGCACGCCGCGGGCTGTCTTCGAACTCTCCCGCGTCATACTCATCATAGCCCCGCCGCGCAGAAGATTCATCGCGGAAAGACGAACCAGCTGGCCTGCCACCATCATAATCTGACGAGTGGGGAACCAAGACTAAACGACCCTGTTGGTAGAAATTGTCACTGATCATGCTCACCGTAGTCGCCACCTCCACTAAAAGAATCACTTCCAAATCCATCATAGCGACCGCCTCCTGAACTGAAGCTAAGGCTCGACGGGTCATTCCCGGTTCCGACATACTTGCTACGGTTTGCTTTCGCTTTGCGTCGCTCAGCACGCAAACGGTCCAAATCACCCAGTACCTCAGTTAACTCTTTGGCTCGCTGTCTCACTGTTAAGATCTTCGGTGAGCATTCCCCGACATCCAGGAACGAACATTCACCAACCATTAACCCCCTGATCTTTGCCTTTCTCATCGATGTAATGAAAATTACGCAGCATTTTGATGGTGGAGATATGGCTCCTGGCGTCATCCACGACACGTTCTGATCCATGTTTGATGATGTACTCTAGCAGCTGCAGTGCCTTGTAAATTTGACGCCACTGTGATGCTTCCTTTTCCATAAAGCGGGAGTAAATGCATGGCATAATTTCGTTAAAATGCTGGCTAGAATCGGTAGCATAACAAACCTCTTAGAACGAGCACAAGAACGTGGGGGCCAAGAACTTACAAATTAAATGTCCTGTGTTGTGTCATTGCAGTAAGCAGATTACATACGGTGTTCGTAATAACTGGTAGTTATGATGCCTACCCTTGGGCTATCTCCTGCATTAGAGTAGAGCTGGCACCCCTACGAACCGAAGGGAATCGCGAGTAAGATCAGTATATGCAACGCGAGCGAGATGATGAAGGAGTGCACTCACCATGGATCCTCGTTTGTCGCTTCCCTCACTTTGGCCTCCATCTCACTTACATTGAGCACTATATTTTTAGCCTGAGCATGGTTCAGTCAGATTAGCAGCGAGATACGTAGAATCTTCTGAAGATGTGACACTATCACTAACGCCCTCACCTGGTTATAGTACGATTTCAGATCATAGAGAGTGATCTGTGAAAGCTGCTGTCCCAATGCTTCCAGACGATCCATGGCGAATCCGGAACAGAAGATCTAGGCTGATGGGAAAGCGTAAATGACCGGGATGGTGTTGGCGACTATCGAATCCGGAAAGTTGCGCGCTAACACTGCCCCAGTCTGAGTACATCAATGTCAATCAACATATTGTTTCCCTTATTACATATACGGTGGCTCTAGGAAGATTCCAAGTAGCACTTGCAGGTCTACAACCAGGATACAGCATTTACTCCTGATAACCATGGCGTGACCAGTTCAGCTCGATCAGGCTGTGCTCTCATGAGACCACGATGTGAAGCATATTTTTCCATCAGTTGCATAGTGCCAAGTCATGTCATGATTCAGTACGAAGCATACGAAAGAACGTGAAGATTATAAAACCCGAGCGAAGCACTCCTGCAACCAACTGATCCCGAGAGAATTAGGCCGCCTCCTTTGCTTTCTTTGCCTTGGTTTTTGCCTTGTTAGCCTCCCGCTGCACTTTGCTCAGAGCTTGTTTTACAACTCCTCTTCTCCTCTTCTTTTGTACAGAAACTACGAAGCGCTCGAAATCGTTGAGTTTACGCCGCTTCTGAATGGCTTCACGTTTCTTCGCCCATGCAGAATTGGTCCACTTCTCGAGTACACCCGAGGCCTCGAATTGCTCACGAACAGCATCAGTGCTGGCACCACGTTCAAGATTTGGGACGACATGTGGTGTCAGAGTGAGATGGCGATAGGCGAAGGGTTGGCGTGGGACGTCAGTCAATGGACCATCTATTATTGCCTGAGTATAACATAGGAATGGTAAACTGTCGGCTTCAGGGCTCCAGCAAAATGTACTGCACGAACCCGATTATGATCAATGATCTCTGAGATAACAGCGATACGACCCTCATGGGGCCCGTTCCTCAGGAGGACGACTGTCAACAAAAGACATTCCATCAGGTGGACATACGAACTGACACAGATACCTATCCTACCACGTCCAATTTCTACGAAACGTTTGAAAGTTGATGGGGCAGCCTGACATGGAAGGTATGGTTAGCTCTGCATCCAAAATTCCAAACGTGCATCCATAACGTAACGACGCCTCAGTCACCTGAAGGACCGTCTGTACGTCTCATATGAAGTAACGTGGGGATGCTCGAGGACGCAAGAACATACTTACGTCGGCCATGGGGTCTTGACGTTGGGTGCGTTGGTTGAGGGGACGACTCAATTGAGTTGAATTGAGTAGGCATCATGTGGCATTCAAGCTCATATTACATACAACATATTAGTCAGACTGTCCCACTGCTTATATGCACCAGTCCCAAATGACCCTGAAATCATTCCTCCATATACAGGACGATCGCGCCCTGCCTAAAACGATCTCAGAAGCTTCGCAGAGATATTTGGGGTTTGACAGCAACAGGATTTGTGGACGCATCAGATGTGGAGCCCTGCAAGCCTTGCACTGCCTGACGGACTGAGGTCTCGAGTATCTCTCGATCCCCTTTCTCCAGCTTACTTGTCGCGTCTTTAAAAGCAGCCGGAGATGAAGTCGCCCATGCAAGAATCTGATTAACTGCCATAGCGTGCAAAATATTAGAAGGCCTGCGATCGGGATCCAAAAGGAGAATCAAAACTGGAAGAAAGACACCTAGTGCCTTGGGCCCTGGATGATTGGGACATATCAGAAGGTGCAAAAGGACAACAAATAATAGTAGCTTTACGCAATTCCTCGGGGAACGATCCAAATAAGCTAGCGAGGGCCTTAAAAGACTCGTCGGCATCCTGTACATCCGCCTCGCTGGTTTCACTGGCATCAAGTCGTTCTCGACCTGCCAGAACCGCTATGTAGGAAATTATACCGGGGATCAATGATTTGACAACGCTCTGAAAAGTTTGGTTCCCCATAGCTGCCGCAGCGATCAGTGTTTTGGCACAATGCAAGGCCGTGTGGGTACTCTGATGGTACGGTTCAGAGTTAGTTGTGGGGAAATACTCGTCAGTAGATGCAATATCCGGACCTCTTGTGCTTCTACAATCTTCTGCGAAATTGAATAGCAGAGATGTTCCACTGCTCCCCCGCTAAGCCTCATTCCCGAAGGGACAGCTGTCACTATCAGGACTGAAGCAAGCATGTTATTCTTGACTTTCAAGTTTGGAACCGCGCCCCGGCGTGACCTGTGAAGTGGTCAATATGTCGCGCAATATCGTGCAAAAGGACAATAGTACCCAATCTCGTCGATGTTCTGCAGGCACGATGAGAATAAGGCGTGAATAAGTCGTCCATACGCTTTCCCATCTTGTTCCGTTTGATCCGGCAACGATATGTCCAACAGTTGCTTGAGGGCCGGGAGGGTTGGACCGACGAGATCAATATCCACATGTTCATTCTTGAGCATATCTAGTGATTATGGGCAGTAGATGCATTGGAGGATCAGGCCAAAACTTACGAGAATACAACAGAACTGAAATGGATCGGACTTCCTCTTGTAGGGGTGAACCAAAAGCCCTGCTGACAACCAACAACGCCGAAAATCCAGCACGAATAAGTGCAATCCTTTCAAGAATTTGAGCCTCTTTGCAATGTGAGACGCGGATCCTGTATGAGAGAGTCGGCACTTACGAGAGGCTAAGCCATTCGCGCTCGCGATGGCATTCCTGACCGCAAATGTTATGATTCGCAAACAATGTGTCAATGGCACATCATCTTTGAACTCATGCGGCGCTGTTTGGCTAGATCACGAGATGAGTTGCAACCCTCAGACTATAGTTTCGATACGTGCCTTCCCCATAAAGACTTGGCACTATGGGTTGAAACAAGAGAGACGATTGTCTCAATCAAGCGTAGTTGGACAATAGATGGTTCAGTTAGCATCATCCGATAGCAAAGTGACGTGAATTCTGTGAAGATGGGAGGTTCGAAGAGCGCAATCCCACAATATTCTGGCCGAACAAGAGCAGGAAGAGTGTCCAAAGCGGCATGAAGCGCAAGTTGCTTGGAAGGTGTTGAAGCAGAGCCATTTGAACTTGATGCCAAAAGCTCAAATACAAGACCAAATATAATAAAAAAATACGCGTTGCCGCTGTAAGGGTCTGGATTCGCAGAGCCGGTCGTTGCTTTCCCATCTACAGTAGCTAAGATATGGGGATCTTGCCTTTTCATCGCTATACCAACGGCCCTTAAAATCCTGGTCCACGAGTCTTCGTAGTACTGGCGCAGTGTGTCAGCCAAGCGATCAACTCAACAATAGGCGCTCACAGGTAATAGCACTTCTCTTCCCAACCCCGCGTATACGACGTCAGCCGAATCAGACACAGTTTCTTGAAGAATTTCCGAGTCACCGCGAATGCGGGCGTAATCACGGAGGCACGCCAGCCACAGGCCGGCAAGAGTCTGCCTGTAAGGCTCCAGCACATCGGATAAATATGCCTGCGTTATGCTAGCATGCTGTAACTCCGCCCAAGCCGTGAGCGTGGACACTCTCAACATGACTGATGCGTTTGGACTTAATTCTTGCGCATCCCCAATTGATAACGTTTCAGCCTCTGATGGAAGGATTAATCGGATAGCGTCAAGACAACCATTGCAATACATGCCTTTGCATTGATCTAATGCCGAGGTGAGTAACTTGAGAATACGGCCCATGCGTCCTACTTCTCGCACAACACCACAACCAACAAAGACGGCGCATACCTCGATGGCCGAGGCAAGAATCTCTGGTGTAGAATCGGATGAAAACGCGGGTGTTAGGGCCGCCGTGATAGGTGCCTGATGCTGCTCCAGCAAAAGAGTATCCGCATAGTCGGGGTCTGGGACCGAGGCGAAAATCTGGCAAGGCAGGCGCCTTCAGAATGGGCAGCCTGAATCATGGATCTTACCGACCTCAATTATATCACGAAGAAGAACGAGGCCTTCTAGACGTATCTCAGTTACATAAGCTGCAGACGCAGTGAATGCCATCTTAATGAGGTCCGATATGCGGGAGACCAACAGTGAGGTTTGCGGAATCTTCTGCTGCTTTGCGAACAAAAGATCTAGGTGCTCTTGTCGACCTGATGATGCTACCGTTCGACAAATAAGATGCAGGCATTGCAATGCGAAAAGCTGAGTCCTCCATCGCGATGTGCTTCCACGGGCTTGGCCAACGGGTGGCTGCTCTTTGGAGACCCCACCACTTAACGATTCTCCTTCGTCGTCGTGGAGCGAACTTGTAGGGGGACCGCTTTGTCCAGCGATTGTTTGTTGGAACGCGTTTGTTTTGGACATTATTCGTTGACACAAGTCAATCCATCCGGAGGGGTTGTGCACAGCTGTTTGCTGCGTCCAGCTCGTGATGACATTCCGAACACCATCAATAGAGGAATCGTCATCAAGCATCCCGAACAAATCCTCCACAAGGCGATCACCCCCGACTTTAGAGAGCGTAAATGCGTCCTTCTGAACCAGAGCATAGAGAGCATCAATTGATGCTAATTTCAATGGAGCCCGAGATGAGCCGAGGTTTCTTCGGAACTCAGCCACTAGTTCTGGCACTTGCATGAAATCCTCGCCAAATATAAGCAAGTGTTTTACACATATGATTGCTTCCACCTTGATGCCTTCGTCGGGTTCTTGGGAGAATTCATTCACAAGATCCAAAGTGAGCGAGCGTGTTCGAGCGGATTCCTGCAATTCTGGTCCGAGCACACCGATCACTGCATCAATGACGTAGCACATTGTCTGGAATGTGGGAAGATGTCCTCGAAGGTTGGCGCTTGTCAAAGATCCCCCTTCAGGTTCGTGCGAATCCGTGCCATAGAGCTTTAGAAGCATACCAAGGGTAGACGGTATGTACTGAGAATAACTAAGATTCGCTGCATTGATGACCTGGCCCAGCGCGGATAATGCCCGGTGGTGAACCACCGGATGAGGATCATTGCTCAAAGACATTAGGACATTGACCGTATTCTTAAGCAATGCACCGGCTGCAAGACCACCCACATACTGATATATCGCTCCGAAAGTCGACGCGCATCCGGCCCGGCTGTTTGGGTCGCGGTTGTTCACGACTTGATCGACCAGTGAAGATACTTGATGTGAAAGGAGGGAAGTTTCTCCCAAACTTACAATTCGTCCTATTGCTTCGCTGGCGGTAAGTTGAAAAGCAACATCTGGATCAAGAATCGCCGTCTTTCGCGAGCGTGAAAATCTAGGCCAACATGCGAATCCAAGACATACCTTTAAGAAGTCAAGAATCATCGAGCTTACATTCGGCGAGCCGAAAACTTCCCGTGCCTGACGCATACTTGAGCGCATTGCGCGACGAAGCGCACACAAAATCGCGAAGGTCGTATTTAATCGCACAGCGGCCTTGCGCCCAGAATTGCGATCTAGTTTCGGAGAACGAATGGCATCAATGACCTGGTGGATGATCCGAGCTGCGGCTTCTGCCGTTTGATTGGGCAGGAGGAGAGAAAACAATTCGATTGATGCATCAACGACGCCCGTCGACGCCGGTGGTGGTTCGATGCACGAAGCTGAGGTCATTCCCGCGACGCAGAGAGTAAGGACGTCGTGCTCTAATGACCCAATGATTGGTTTGGAAATCTGCGCATAACCTTGTATGAGAGATAAGCAGGCTGTTGCACTGCTAAGCTTACCATATTTTCAATTGCAACTTCAACCGCATCTCTATTGAGAGGATTTATCTTAGATCTATTACTGTCCTCGCCCTCCCCGAGGGACGGGAAACGATTCAGCTCCGCGCTGGAAATGCCATAAGCATACCCATCCGAGACTTGCCAAAGGGACGAAAATGTTCCTGCGGATGTGGCAATGGCGGCTTGCGCTGAGGAGCCTGAGAAACCCTCGGGGCTGGCAAAGAGAGTGACTGCCGATTGGAGAAGGGAGAGTTGGACGGACTCGGAAAGTCCGGCAAATCCCAGGATTGAGAAACACCGAAATATCCTCCGGCGCAGCATGGCCTCTCTAGTAGGCAGAGAAGGCTCGGTCCGGGTTGGAAGTGGCCCATCGTGTAACTCTTCACGATATTGAGAAATGAAAGCGTTTGAAAACAGCAGGGCATTGGACAGCAATGTCGCCAAACGCCGCGCAACATCCAAAGTGACTAAAGGAGTGTTGTGTGTCAAGAACGCAAGAGCCGCACTCAAAGCGCCCTCCCGCACCCGAAGCAAAAATGTCCAATCAGCAGCGCTCCTCGTCGCCCCGTTCGTTGTATCCTTACTTGTGGGTTTTGGCAATGCATTTCTCCACAAAACGAGCAGCTGGGAGAGATGAGAACGAAGAAAGTTAGGGCCGAGAGGCATCAAAGATGCAATACAGGTCCAAGCTGTCTCTATTTCAACACCTGCCACAGCAAGCTCATGGTCTCCCGCCTTTTTTAACAATTGGATAGCTGTGTCGAGGAGTTTCGCGCTCAAATCGTAAGAGACATATAGAGGACGTTCCGGTATGACGGAGAACAACGCTGCCAGACCGTATGCATGACCTAGAGCACGATGATGCACATCTACGGTAGCGTTCGGTGTGCTTAGAGTAGATATGTCGCGTTGCAAAAATTCCATCACAGAAAGCACATTTTTAGCCAACCGAAGTGGAGTAGAATAGCAGAACGATCGGAGACACCAAGCTGCCGCAACGGTTGTTGAATGGTTAGGGTGTGAAAGCAGTTCAATCAACGGTGTTCCTAGCGCTTCCTGGGAGAATACCATTAGCATATTGACCAGAAACCAATGAGTTGTACATACTTGTGCGGGCGGCGGCGCGTTCCCCAGTTGCTGCAGAAGACCCGATACCTCATTTAGTGCAACAACCAAGACGAGAGGCGACGGTGGTACTTGGCCCGGCATCAGAGCAGGCCATTTCTTCAAGTAGCTGTTTGACAATTCCGTGATCGCGCCAATTTGACCCTGCTCACTCAACATACGCACACCGATGACCTCACGAAGAAGAATGCCGACGAGCTTCCGGAAAAGAAGACGCTCATACCGCGTTGTAGGGACCCGAGGGTAAGAGACGATCTCGTTCATCAAATGCCGCACGATGCTCGCGTAGTTGTTCTCAACGGACGATGATCCAAGCGTGCTGAAAAGGACAGAATAGAAGTCTATAATCCCTATTCTGGTCTTTCGAGGCGTTGCTGGCTTATTAAACGGTGTCGAGAGAACTTGGAGCATATCCGCCAAAGACATGATTGTCTTACCGGCTCCTTCGGAAGGGGGCTTGGCATCCACCTCTTCTCCCGTCCCCGCTCCCTGATCCTTCTTCCCTCCTTTTTTATGGTCTGATTGCAACGACGCCTCTTCTGTCTGCGTATACGCAAGAACTTGGGCAACGAGATCTGCAAACGCCCGTCTGGTGATTTGATCGGAGATTTCCAGGCTCTTGATGCACAGCGACACCAGCGATTCGATTTCAGGGATGGAAATACCAGCCATACCATGTTTGTACATGACACGCAATATCTAGAGCCCTTGGTCAGTAGGTAATCGCGGGGGATATGTGAGCTTTCACCGACATCCGCTGACACCCTTTGAATGGGCAATGCCTTATCGGATAATCCAGACCTAGCCGTCTTAATAATATCCTTAGCGGTTGCATCAGTTACCGCTCGCGAGGCAGTTTCTAATGATTTCTGCAACGCAGTCAATGCCTGGAATCTAAATTGAACGGACTGACTGGTGTCAGAAAGATGATAATTAAGAGACAAAGTGACCCTACATTGCTGGAATATTTGGCAATTTTTAAGGACGTTAAAGTAAGTTCCCCCATAAAAGACATCACCTGGAAAACGAGTATGCTTGAGGGGAATGGCATCCAAAATGAGAGAACTGCCCACGAACAGACGACCCAAAACTCTTCATCAGATCACCCATGATACTGATCGATGATCTTCATACATAAGTCCGTGAGTTACAATTGATTGCCATTGTGCATCACAAAGACTAACATTTTAGCACGCAGATCTGCGGCCTTGGAAGCATCATTGAGAGGACGCGCCAATATCCTCAGTGTGTCAAAGAGGCGCCTTGTCTCCCCTTTCGAAAACAAGAGGCGAAAACATCGAGCGGCAAGATGACGTGTTGGCCTCCCAGGCGAAGGGAACGGAGGCGAGGCCGTGACAATTTGGATCAATTCAGCCTCAAGTGTTGGTTGAACAATTTTTGTCTCATCCTAACCCATTCCATAATCAGCCATTGTTATATGTTCGGAGAAACCACACTAGGCATACAGTGGACAGAGAAGACAATGTGCGCTCACACCTTGCGAGCCATTGGAATACATAAACTTCGCCCGATTCCCCACTGACTTTCTCCTAAATACAATAATGAAGGACAGTCCTCGCTAGGAAGTAAGCTACACACCTTGTCTATGGATAAAGATTCCAACAAGGAGGACGGGACTGCCATCGAAAGGATGATCCAGGTTCACCACGTGACAATGGAACCTTGTTACAGTCCTTTGGTGTCCTCTTTGTATGTTCTTTGATTTGGTTTTGTTGTTGGTCTTAATCAACGAGGTCCGGCTGATTAGTTACGACCTTAGCTGTTTTTGTAAGCAACTTGCAGGCATGGCACCCGATTTCATTAGACGCAGAAAACTAAAGCCAAAATCAAACCTCTCCTGGGTCCAACGAAAGGTAGTAGATCATGTTTTGATTAAGCTTCACTGCAGTGGAGTTGGCTGCATTTACTGTTTTTACTGGCTCAGGCTAAATGATTGCCTGACAGTGCACGGAAAGTGCGCTCCCCTGCACTACGTCAAACTAGATTCCAGTCACAAAACAAACATGATTCACTGCTCTTCTAATGCCCAAGGATTGTCCAGGGACTATAGAGCCATAAATCTCCCCCCTAAGTTACCGCGAGGTCCTCAGTCGGGTTGGGTCGGGTTGGTAGTCTGATGCAAAGTCTCACTGCCACGAGGATATATTACATATTAGCTCAAACATATCGATGCTAGATACAGGGATCCGAAAACGATTAATGGAGTGGTGCCGAGTGTTCTTGGGTATTACGGAATGTTAAACAGGAGTAATCGGAGTCGACAAGAAGACACTGTCCGCTCAATTATTCCGCATTGGAGATTCGGGCAGTAGGATGCAAACCAAGTATCACTCCTAGCCTATCACTAAAGGAGGGGCCCAGGGATCCAGATTGAAAGAATCCGTGCTGCCATTCTCGCCGGCGAAACGTAAGGTAGATTTTGTGCCAAAGTCGTGCGAAGTTTCGAAGATAGCAAAGTCGCGTAAAGCGTCAAGAACATCTAAACCGTATCCTGCCGCAGTGTCTCCTTCGATAGTCTCGGAATGCCACTCGTGAAGAGAACAGGGGGATGCCTCAGATGTGGGTGATGACGTTCCAGGTGGTTGTGATGCATCACTGAAGTTTGAAGGGACATATGAAGAAATTTCAGACGAGGGTGTGATTACATCGGGAGTAGCGCCAACAGGGGTTATAATTCCGTTTTGTGGACATTTAAAATTGCTGAAATCAAGGTCGAGTGGGGCAGGTCGCGGACGTAACCCGTCGCTGGTACCAGAAAGAAATGCAAGCGGGTGAAGCAAAGACGAATCAGAAGTGTGAGGCAGAGGTAAGGTCTGAGCCGCCACTACTGCATCGGAATTATTCTTATCAAGGAGAATGTCGTTAAAAACGGGAGGACCAGCGTTGGGATAATTAAATGCTGTCGGGCCAACGTTTGAACAAGGGAGGGCACCGTAATTAGAGCCCAGTGGAGAATTAGTACGAGTGGGCTCGTTAAGCGGGGAGCAGTCAATATTGTTTGCTGGGTAACTCTGAAGAGACGGGAGGCAGGAACCAAGCGATTGGTTGTTCTCACAGCGCAAAAGATAAGGCAATTCGGCGACAGACAGGTCCAGGTCCCTTTTACCAGGAAACAGAGTTGTGTCCCATGCCGCAGGTAGCAAGTGTGGACTAGGATACTCTAAACCAAAGAGCCTGAGTGCGTTTCCCGCAGGTATACAGTCATTACCAGCACCGATGGAAGGGCTATGGAGAACGAAGCCCCTCTCTTTGGGGTGTAAACCCTCCACGGGTCCCGGTCGTGCCTTGAGCATTGATTGATTCCTTGGCGGAGGGCGAGGGCGATTGGATGACGTATTGCGGGGTACACGGACGACGCTACGTTTCTTACCACAGGTAGGGCACTCTCTAACGAAACGTGCGATTAGCTCCTTCGGTACCCACGAATAATTTTCATGCACGAGTTTAACAGTTGCATCTCTGCCTCCATGAGACGCATAAAAATGACAATCGACAAGAACCAGATAAATCTCATCGGTGGTCACAACTGGCTTTCCGTCATGCATCAGGCGTTCTGCGTCAGAGGTGAACATTTTCCGAGCCCAGAATCTGAATGAGGCACTATATTGTGAACTGCTTTCGTGACTGTCAAGCACGGCGGAGACGGCAAGGTAAGTGTCTCTGGTTATCAATGCCTTGTCCCGTTTCCTTTCACTGAGGCCTTCGAGATAAGATTTACATAGGTCGTGATATTGCTGTAAACTAGGAAATCCCACAGCGGAACCATCAGGACTGAATTCCAATGGCACGCGCACCGCGCGAGAAGACCGGCCAGTGGAAGATTTTGAGGTGGAAGTATTGGGGAGCAGTCCTAGGCTTGTGAAGGAAGACTGGTTGTTGAACAGATCCGTTCCAACATCAGGGGAAGAACTCTCCATCTTGGGTGTTGGTGAGGAAGATGGGTGGGATCTGTCATAAGGTTTACGAGTGGTCGACGCACGAAACTGACTCCGACTCCGGCTTTTACACGGAACCATCTCAGGAAGAAGAGTTGGATTGGGGGTAAGTAGCAATGGGTCCTGGAAAGTTTGAGGCAACGAGTGACATAGAAATTTGTGCTGTTCTTCGACCGTGAATTGTAAGGGCTCATTAACTTGGACAACGGGGGAATGAGGACTTTGAAGCGAAGCCGATTCAGAGCACGAAGCCCGCCAACTAAGCTGGGGAGGAGTCATGGCGTCAAGCGTTTCGCTCATGTCGCATTGGCGATGTCGTTCAACGTATCGTGATTGACCTGGAAACTAAACATCCCTGAGTCGGGCGTTTTGGTCACAAGGAGCTGTTCTTACCCTACTGTTGAACGATGCCTCCCAGCCGCGAAAAGTACGCGTCAACTCTGGCGAGTAGCGCGTCAAAATGTTGAGCCACAAGAAACCTGAGTTAATCGGGTTCACAAGTTGATATGAAATGAAGAAGTCTGTAAGATAAAGATCGTGGGGCTGATGTTGAATCTTCAGTTGGTAGAATAGCATTTGGCGTCGGATCCGGATGTAAATTTAAAATTAAGATTAATTTTATATTGTAAGACTGAGTCTACAGACGGTCGAGGCCAGCCACGACTAATTATCGCCTCTCCCGGAACCATAATATAATAACAAGAAAAAGCAGCCCCGAAAATCCAGCCAGAAAGGCAAAGAGAACCAAGACGTCTCGATAATAGCTGTCAATCTTGAATCCAAACAACTAACAAAGACAATAATGTTTCATTTGTCAGGCAGCCGTGAATGGAAGGACTCACCAGCTGCATAATGACTACGGCAGACACGCTGACAGGTACACCTTGCAAAACATCAGTGATCGTCAAACCAGAATTGAATTCGTTGACAGCGAGGGCTTCGAGGCAATACTTCAGCAGACTGAAGTATTGAAGCCATCTCAACACGGGCGGTATCGAACTAAGGTGAACAACTTGTGGGATATGATGGGTGTGATGAGTGTAGAAACAATGTAGCTCGATAAGATTGGTCGCTTACAGAACCCTGCATAAGTCATCAAAAACAGATTCCAAATGGCAGACAACAGGATCGCTATTCCCCCATTACGGAATATAGCTGCCAGTAAGAAATTCTATCGATAAGCAGTATTAGTTTCATGGGGCAGGGTGAGTATAATAGGGAAACCCACGAAAAGTGTCATCGCTAGTGAGAATAACACCAAGACAAGGAGATACTTGAAAAATTGATCAACGTGGGGGGATAACCCTGCCATCCAATAGACGCTGCGGTGATGCTGAGTCATTGACTGAGATTTAAATCAGAAAATGCATACATAGTTGACACAATAATTGTCGGAACCACGCGCAGCGGTACGATGTCAAACAAGATCCGCGATAATAACCATGCAGTAGGACTGAATCACCAATAAATTGAAGTTTCAAGTTATCATCTCACAAACAAAGGCCTCACCTGTAGAGCTTAGATGCACGCTCTCGCTTGAACAGAGGACCGATCTCGACCAGATTGAACAAGGCGCTGAGCGATGAGAAGGCCAGGAGAGACCCCTGATTATGGACATCAGAGCGTATTATGGGCTCCTAGACTGGCGACAAACCAAAAAGAAAAGGCATCCCACTCGAGACTGAAATCCAGCGATGGTAGTCTTGGTCTATAGTCTCCTTAGTTGCACTGCGACCTCTCAATCACACTTAAACCGACCTGGAAATAAAGCGCACCTGACATTTTCTCATGAGTTATTCGGAAAACTGAAAGTGAAATAGGCACATACCGCAGAACACTCCAAGAATAGATGCTGCGGCAATATGCAACAAGAACAGGGATTTATCCCTGAAGCGATCGTTACGAACAATAGGGAGGATCCGGATTCCAGCATACGAACCGGAGCAAGTTCTTCCACTCTCGGGCACAAAGCACCTCAAACTGCGTCAAAAAGGCCGTTGGATAGCTACCACTTTTCCACCAGGGGTCGTTGCCTGCAAACATTATTGAAGACATAGGTGATGTCCCTAACTCCGTAGCGCCATGCGATTCCGCCTTTCCGACTTCAGCCACTTCTGGTTTAGACGCGATGGCAGACGTGGAGTGATGCTCGACATCGCTCGCGAGGTCCAGGAGGTGATCAGGAATCGAGTATCCGGTAGGACAATTAACATAGCCCTGTTCGGCAAGCGTATCAACAGGTGATGAGCCACCGGGCCCAAAGTAGAGCTGGCGCCCGCCCAAGCCAAGAACGAGCACTGAGTCAAATGTTTGGTACAGATGTGAACTGCGTCGAACAAATACATGAATACATGGACACAGGCTGTTAGACTCCGTGTGCAACATCCTCACCTTGGCTGATGTATAGACGCAATGACAGCCATCGGGTGTGATGTATCGCGAGACAAGTCACGAAGAAGCGCAGCGACTTTGTATGCAGATGCTGAGTCAAGACCTTTGAGAAGCTATAAGTCAGACATTGCAGCAAACATAAAAACTAAGGTACCAGATGTCTGGAAAATGTCCTTGCTTCAGCAAATCGAAAGCCATCTAGAGTGCAAGTGACTCACGGGCTCATCAAGAATCAGTATGTCAGGTCTTCCTATGAGCTCGATCCCGATACTGACTCTCCTCATCTCACCTCCTGACAGTCCCCTTCTGGAACGATCTCCAATCCGCGAATCCGCCACCGAATCCAAGCCGAGCTGCCGCATAACCTCCATTGCTCTGGACTTCTTTTCGGAATCAGTCACGGATTCGGGAAGACGCAGCCGCGCCACAAAAAGGAGGGCTTCGAAAACTGTTTGAGATGCAGGGAGCACATCTGCCTTGAAGGGACTTAGGCCTCCAGAGAAAAAGTGGAAAAAGAAAAGGATCGCACCTGATCTACGTAGGCAATCCTCGGTTGGACATCTGCCGGCTCAAATGTTCTCCCATCATAGGCCGAATCTGTCCCAAAGAACGACACGGTCCCAAACGCCGCCCCCCTCTTGTTCTGTTTAGACAATATGTCCACAAGAGTGGTCTTCCCTGCGCCTGAAGGACCTAGTACAGCTAGCATGCTGCCAGGTTTGACATTCCCTGACACTCCGTTGAGAATGAACTTGGGGTCCAAGGAGTCTCGTCCCAAAATAAACGAAGAACGCGAGGGTACGCTGAATGAAAGGTTTTGCCACTGCATGCCAACTCCGCCAGGCGAAGTCCCCGGCCGCCTTGTTTCTAATACCGCTCCTCCATCGGGAGACCCCTGCAAGCGTGCTCTACGCTGATTGATCCAACCTACGATATACAAGGCAATAGCGGCGAACAACAAGGCACCCACAACTGCAATCCCGGCGATAACTCCACCACTGAGCCCAGCACCCCCATCGGCGGGCTTGGTTGCCGGGCCTGGGCTTCCAGAAGCTGCGTCGATCACGCCTTGACGAACACACTCGCCAAAGGTACATGATGATAGTGGGAGCCCACTGGGGCCAAATAAGTTAGTGAGAAGGGTCTGCTGGAAATTGCACGAAGAATTGCCGTTGCAATTGATGCTGAGTGGGCCCGGTAAACCGTTAATCACCGTCGATAAGTTGGCAAGCTAAAGAGTAAGCATCAGAAAATACTGCCAGTTGTCCCTAGAGTAAATGCCACAGACACTATTGTCGCAAAGGAGGGTCTGTGGACGGCAGGTGCAATCGAGTGTTGGACATGACCATTTAGAGGAGAGTTGATCAGATGTCTGAGTGCAACCTGATGCTCGGCAATAAAACTGTTCCACTCCGTCATACATAAATTGGGCATATAGTGTGCCAGAAGGACCGTATGAAGTTAGATTTGGAGCTAAAGCCTGAGAGGAATTGTACGTGCGGAGAATGTTAAGAACAGATGAAAGGGGGAATAGATTTTGAAGAGTTGGGTTCTATAGTGTATAATTAGAGGCTGGAGCATCCGTGTATTGAAGCGATGCGAACCTGAACTCGGCAACTCATTTCGCCAGCCGTGTATACTCGAGATGCCGTGTTGCAAACAATAGTCCCATTTAGCCCTGGATCTGTACTTGTACTATTGCCAAAGACAGACGAATATCCATTCTGGCAAGCACTCGCAGAGGCACAAACTGAAATCTGGGCTTTAGTCTGAGGCGAGAAGCAGAGTCAGGGATGACATAAAGCGCACCATTACACCCCAAACCCGACCATTCAGTTTCGCAAGAACAGCTCGAAACATTGCTAAATTTCGAACCAGAAGGTACTTGGGAAAGGGGGCGCGAAAATCCTTGAAAGATGTTGCCCCGCAGGCCAGAAGATTGCAACCGTCCCCTCCAAGGCCGGGAGGGCAAACTCCACAAGTGTTTGTGCCGTTGCCGGTCCCGTAGTTTTCGCAAGATTGCGAGTAGACCTGCACGATGGCAAGGGCGATAAACAAAAGTCGTCGCATTATGTGAAGAGCTTGCATGGTGCAGTTGGGGGGAATGGAAGGTCTCGCTGCAGCCACCCGGGATCAAAGAATTCAGTCCCTGATCTATATATAGTAAGCCTAACTCCGCCGACTCAAACACTTGAACCTCAAGCAACGGAACAAATCGTGTTATATGGGGGTCGGCAAACGAAGGGAGATGTCTGAGATAATATAATGACTAGAAAGGCTGCTTCGCAGCCATGACCTTGCTTTCCGATCACATGAACACTGCTAGGCTCACAAGCTCAAGACGATGTGGTTTGGTATTTGGTTCCTGATTCAAGGGGTGTTGATTCAGCCATTGCCGAACCCCAGGTTGGAGGGGGCAGGCTGCACAACTGCTGTATTTTTGGACACCATTACATATGCTACATCTATGAATCTAACTAAGAGAATTGATGCTTGTGCCATCCGCAATTTCTTCCGTGGTAATTGGAAGATTATGTGCCAATTCCTAAAATCAAGTACAGGATTCAAAAAATCGACTCCCCTTGTGCTGATTTTACTTTTGGTTTTTCTTGAGTTGGCCAAATTCAATTGTTCAAGCGAGCTATTAGAGTGGAAATGACCGAATTTATTGTGTGTGAAATAATATTGGGGCATGTGATCAAATGTCAGAATTCCCACAAAATCAGTGTCAGAATTCTCATGAATTGTGACCATGCAAGTGACCTTGGAAGCAAGGTAATCACGTGCTTGCCAAAAAATGGCTGTCATTCCTCATCGAAAACAATTCCTCTTGACTAGTACACCATGTATTGAATATCACCATAATTATTACTCAATAATGATATTGAGATGCCTGCACAGGATGGAAGCCCAATTTGAAGCAGTTTTTATAGATGATTATGGAATATCAAAAAATGTGTGGGATTGTCTTGGGCTTTCCTCGTGCATCAGGAAGAATTTCAAAAATCCACTAGGCCAAAATTTGCATTCATATCTCTAGAGCAATCATGCAAAGTTTGAAGCCAATTGGAAAAGAGGAAAAGTACATTCTGTGACTCTGAAGCGAAAATGGATGTAGTAGGCCAAAGCTCCATATAATATATAGCTATACCAATGTAATAACTAAGCAAAGAAGTAGTCCAATGCTATTATAGCAATCCTTCGAAGTTTGAAGAGTTCATATGTAGCAATCATTGAACTATAAAGCAATATGGTAAAATGGGATTTTTTGTATGATGAATAACTTGTGATTGAGGAAGAATTTCCAAAATTTGGTAGGCCAAAATATAAACAGACAATATGTCTACAAGCATGCCAAAATTCGAGCAAAAAGAAGGGGATTGAAGGTACATTTGAAACTCATCTTTCCAAGAATGTTGAAATAGGCACAAATAGGGATCATGTGTCATGGTTTACAATGTTGTGGGGCCTCACCCAGCCTCAAATGCGCTGTTGCTTTGGTCCAATCAACTTTATAATTAGGAGGTAATTGTTCGTATTTAGTCTCCCAAATACTGTGGGACAAGACTTCCCAGAATGCCTTCACTCTCATGATATAGATACATGAGACTTGGGGTCTTTACCAACCTGAGTATGGACATTGAAGGGAGTACTAAGACAAATAGCTAGAAATCTAAAACACCATAGCATGGCAATTACAGCCCCTCTGATGATGGAGAATGATGGTGCTTGGCTCGAACATGGTTCAATCATTAAAATGTCCATCTAATTACCCATCCTTCCATATACATAATCTTCAGTCTACATAATACCATTATTCAGTTAATTCTAATATAGTTTACAACCTAAGGATAATGTGTTTTGAGGGTGAGGATGGTGTGGCCAGGATTGAGACAAATGTTGCTTATGTAAGCATCACCAGGCTCTAACCTGGTTTGCCGACCCCCATGTTAAATGCTATTGCAGGCTAGTCAGCTACTGCCATTTTCAGTTGATTTGTCACATGACGGATTTCTTGCTTCCATATGAATCCTGGCACTTGAACAGCACCAAACTTCATCCCCCATTCACTCCACAACAACACTGCTTTTTTCCAAACAGATTGTTGGATCATGTTCATGTTGTAACTCAGGTTATGGCACCTCTGAGATGAACTGAGATGAACTGTAATGTTTATACAAGAGTAGAAACAGATAGAGTTCATCTCTGCAGTCATGTGACACATAAAAAGAAAAGAAAAGGAAATCAAAACAAGAGGTAGATGTACTACAACACTCCTCAACCTAGCTCTTGTCTTCTAAGCCCTAGTAATTGGCATTGGTCTTGATGGAGATCTTTACTGAGAGCCTTGGTCAGGATATCAGCACAATTACTGCTGGATGGTACCCATTCTATCCTCAACTTCCCCAAATCCACCTGGTCTCTGATCCAATAATATTTTGTGTCCAGATGCTTCATCTTCCCATGATGCTCTGGATTCTTAGCCACCTTGATGGATGATTGGTTGTCAATTTGAAGGGGGAATGGTGAGGCTTGAGGGAATCCAAGTTCCTCCAGTAGGTGAGTGTCAGGGACAGCTCTGAAAGCAGCGAGGTCCCTGCGTGCGGGACTCGGTGGGACAAATAGCGGCTGTGCATAGCGGCGATCCCGTCGCAGGGTGAGCGTCCCCGACCACTTAGTCTGAAGTGGGAAGTTGAGAAGAAGGCTGCTTCTTCTGTTCCCACCCCAGGCACTATTATATACATGCGGCTAGGGTCACGTGGAGGAAGCCACATCATCTCCACACACAGCCGCACCTCCCTGGGTGTCTCTGCGGAAGATCCCGGAGGTGGCCGCTCAGTAGGCGGGGGTGTGCGCGGTGCGTGCAGCGATCAGGGGGGCGGGGTTAGGTATGTAGTGGTACACAGAGAAAGGGAAATCGACCGTAGAATAGAAATAGAAATAGAGATAGAGAGAAAGGGGAAAGTGGGGGAGGAGAGATGGGGAGTGATAGCAGGGTAGTGCAGTACGGCGCGGGGTGCGGCATGGGGTCAGGCGGGCGTGCCCTGACAGTGAGTCAACCAAGTCCCATCAGAGGCTCCAGAGTTGGCAGCAATTAACTCTGCCTCTGTGGTGGACTTAGCCACAACATCCTGACAACGACTTGACCAGTTGACACAAGAAGCCCCAATAAAGGAGGCATAGCCAGATGTGGATCTTGCTTTCTCAGTGTCACCAGCATAGTCAGAGTCAGAAAACACTGAGAGGCTGACTCCCCCTACAGTGGATAGACCAAACTCAAGGCAGAAATCTGAAGTACCTTTGAGATATTGGAATACCCTTTGGATGGCCTTCCAGTGGACCTTGGCTGGACAAGAGTTGAAGTGACTTAGCAGCCCAATGTCAGAACCGTGCGAAGGTTCGCCGAGGGTAGCCGTAGGCGACTGAGCGTTGCCCGCTAGTGGTAAAGGCGTCCTACACCCGACCGAGCTTTAGCGAGGGATAAACCCCACCGATCTCGAGGCCGAGGCTACTTAGGCGAGTGAGCTGGGATTTCGGCTTCAACGACTCTAGGAGGAGCGTTGCGCCTCGTTCTCGACGCGGTCCCGATACTTAGAAGGTCAGAGGTCTCGCGGGGGCAGAGGTAAGCTCTAGGGGGTAATTCTAGTTGATTTCGAACTACAGTACAAGCATTAGTTACAAGCTGTATATAAGTGCTAGGAAACTGAATAGGGAATAAGTCGCCAGATCTCGCGGAGATTGCGGGCGGAGAAAAGAAGGAGGAAAACAAACAAAGAGCATGTGTTCAAGACAACGAAGGTCAAGCGTGACCTTCGCCGCGAGGTAACAAGGTGCGGCGAAACATGGGACAACAGGTCGCGGCGCTCCGCACCGCTAGGTCGTTCAACAACAATCAAGAGAGGGGTTGTGGAGAGGTGGCGGGAAGTGGTTAGACGGCGACAGGCGGCGAGCGGAGTGTGCGGGGAGTGTTCGGGCGTGGGAGAGGGTCAGGGAGGAGGTCGTCTGGCCCCGGGGAACGCCGGGTTGTGACAGTATCCCCCTCTTAGGACTGAACCCTTGAAGTCCCAAGGAACTGGCGTGGGAACCGGTTCGGCTGAGCCCGAAATTTTGGTTCCGCCGGCGCGGTGATCGAACTTACCACCACCACAACCTGATCTTCCAACCTCATGGCTCCCAAGAAAAATCCAACGGATATAAGGACGTGGAGCAAGGAGGACATTGTCGATCAGTCCGATGACGATGTAGAGCTGATGGAGCAGAAACAGGCGGAGAGGTTGCGGCGTCGCAGGGCTGAGATTGCGTGTCGTGAGGCCCAACAACAAGAAGAGGCGGCCAGGGCTCGAGCTGAGGCTGCACGTCTCGCCGCTGAGGAGGAGAGGTGATTGAAGGCGTCAGATGTGGTCGCAGGCAAGGTGAGTACCCCGATCAGTGTGATCTTTGCCAGGAACCCTTACTGATCGCCCTGATCAAAGCGTCCTGCTGCTACATCAGTGGCGGGGGAAGGACTGCCCCCCTGCGAACGTTGCGTGAAGAGAGGCGTGGAGTGTGTCAAAGGCAACAGCGATCGTGGCGTCTGCGCCGCATGTCAGAAGTCCAGGCAGAAGTGTGTACGCGGAGCAGGGACACCTCAATCTACGAAGCGACCTCGTATCAAAGTGCCGAAAGGAGAGGGGTCAACGATGGATGTGGACGATGTGGAGACAGAGGAAGATGAGGTGGTCAACGAGAAGGACAGGATCTATGATGTGCTTTGCGACATCCATCAAGCGATCTCTGGTCTAACCGCCGTGGCAGGACGATTGTTGGAACACGTTTGTGACACTGAAGAGAGGCGGTTGATGGAGGTGAGGGTGAGGCACGAGGCGAGGGAAGCGGGGGAGAGGGAGGCGAGTGTGACGGGGTCTAGGGTCGATCATCCCGCGACGTCTACTTCCAACTCCTACTCCACTTTGTTCTTACCTGATCCTTAAGCGCAATCCATCCATTCCGTCCCGTGCCTTAGGCGCGATTTGGTCCCGGCTTATCCAGGTATCGTGAGTGAAAGTCCGCAACGAGGTCTGAAGCGTGACCAAGTTCGGTCGCAGGGAGCCACTCAGTCTCTTCTGTAGTCCCTTCGTAACCGTCCCAACGTACAAGGTACAACAGCTTGCAGCTTCGCCGGCGATCGATTTTAGAGTCGAGGATCTCGGCAATCTCATATTCAAGTTCGCCGTCGATTTCGATTGGCGGCGGTGGCGGCTGTGTGCGGTTCGGGATGGGGTTGGGAACAGCGGGCTCAAGTTGGGAGACATGAAAGACTGGGTGCACAGCCTTCATGGTGTCGGGGAGGTGGAGA